CCCCCCAAGAAGCATTTTAACTTAATCGATGCATAAAATGCATTTCCTCTTGCCAAAGATGAGCTCTTCGGGCCCCAGAGAGAAACACATTGAGCTGCAGTGACATCCACCTGCGTCTAGAGCCTTGACCTTCAGAGTCAGACCAGAGGTTCCAGCAGACACAGAGCTGGGAAAGCTGACCCTGATGTGGACACACGTCCTTATGTGTCTCGCTTGGGACCAAGACGGGAAACACGAGGTCTTTCTTGGTTGCCTGTTGTCCCATCAGTCCCCCTGGTGATTGGGGGCAGTCATATATATATATATATTTTTTTGGTAGAACTGTCCTGATAAAACCAAAAGGATCCCAGAAGAGCGCATGATTCCCTCCTCCGTTCCTGTCTCATCAGGGTCAGTAAAAGCTGTCCGCACTCACTTTCTTCAATCTTCTGGTCCACTCACGATGAACTGTAACATCGAAGAATCCTGAGAAGGTTCAGTGTTGCAGAACCAGTTCGGTTTTCTAGGACCCATTATAGGCTTCGCAACCATTGGGAAGGCTGAGGAACAGTGCCCTGTGGTCCAGTGACAAACAGTGACAGGTGACCGTAAGCGAGCAAGGCTGTGGGTGTGGATGCCGACCACCACTGTGCTCTTCCGGGCTGTGGGCTGTGTGGTCCAAGTGCAGAGTGGGGTAATCTCTCCTGCAAAGAAACAAAGCCAGGAGCATATGCTCAGAGCTTCAAACAGATTGTAGTCTTGAAACTGAATTCCAAGTCCAGGCACTTATTTTGAGAAGACAGGCAGCGCTGAACAAAGGGATTTAAGGCCCAACGTCACAGTCTATTTGTAGCAGCAAGGAGTGGGATTTGTTTGGCCCGCCACACCCCCGCTCCCGGATCTTGATACAACCCTAAGGATGCCATAAATTCCATAAATAATCGGGTTAAAAATAAGGGGAAAACTTGGAGATGAAATAGTACTTTCTCAGAGATGTAGGTACTTTCAGTACCGTTCGATGAAAAAGCACAGAAAAACGTAAGGCACAAGCCCACAAGCCAGTCTGGGCTACAACGGACAGGCCCTGGAAGCCCCAACACCTGCCTAACAATGAAGTTTCAAAAAAGAGCAAAAGAGAGAATGGACTGTGGGAAATAACTCCCCTCCTGTTTCGGCTGTGAGAATGCCCCGTGAGCGTCGAGCAGAATGAGTGAAGGCAGGCGTTGATACCGAGGGGTGGCATTCCAGAGCCCCAAGACCCGAGAAAGGTGCTAAAAGCACTTCAGCATCAGTCGAGTTGAGCCGGCTGATGTCTCCAATTTTCTGGAGCAAAATAATTTCACGTGTGTGTCTAGGAAAGTTATAGTTGATGGACAGTATCACGGTAGTTTCGAGTGTTCGACGCGGTGATTCAATATTCTGTGTGCTACAAAACGTTCACCACATCAAGTACGGTCACCGTACAAAATTCTGACAGTATGATTGACTATGTTCCCTGTGTGCTGTACTCGTCATCTCTGTGATTATTCACTTTTTTTTTTATTTTATTTATGATAGTCACGGAGAGAGAGAGAGAGAGAGGCAGAGACACAGGCAGAGGGAGAAGCAGGCTCCATGCACCGGGAGCCCGATGTGGGATTCGATCCCGGGTCTCCAGGATCGCGCCCTGGGCCAAAGGCAGGCGCCAAACCGCTGCGCCACCCAGGGATCCCGATTATTCACTTTTTAACGACAAGCTTGTACCTCTTTTTTTTTTTTTTTTTTTTTTTTTTTTATGATAGTCACACACAGAGAGAGAGAGAGGCAGAGACACAGGCAGAGGGAGAAGCAGGCTCCATGCACCGGGAGCCGACGTGGGACTCGATCCCGGGTCTCCAGAATCGCGCCCTGGGCCAAAGGCAGGCGCCAAACCGCTGCGCCACCCAGGGATCCCCAAGCTTGTACCTCTTGATCCCTGTCACCTATTTCACCCGTTTCCCCACCACCCTTCCAGGGCGAGGTGGTTCGGGAGGGGGGCGGGCAACGCACAAAGTAATTTTGGAAGGAGATCTCTGTGTTCAGCCAAGTTAGTGCCATTCGAAAGCAAATTAAAGATGTTCCTAATCCGTAAGAGCTTGAAAATGTTACCCCTCAAAGATGTTCGGGAACAAAATGACTTGAGGATGTAGTCCAGCAAAGTGAAATGTGAATCCAAGGAAGATCCTGTAACAAAGACGCAGCTCTAAGCGAATAAGTGAGTGAAACTCAGAGTTAATTGTAAAAGGATTGAGGCATAATTGTGGAAATGATCTGGGATTTGCACTCCACACCGAGGTGATCGGTGGTGGCAGCGGGGTGAAGATACACAGGCTGTCTTTATATTCGATCAAAAATATAAGTTTAGATTCGTGTGCTGCCAGCTTGAGGGTGGAAACCACCAGAACACTGGAAAGGATGTGTACAACTTCCTGAGCATTAGTGGCAAATGTGTTGAATGGAAGCAAAAAAAAAAAAAAAAATCTAATCCAAGCAATGGAGGGTGAAAAGGAATTACGAAGACAGAGAAAGTATGATAACTGTTTAAAAAAAATAAGGAAAGGGATCCCTGGGTGGCGCAGCGGTTTGGCGCCTGCCTTTTTGGCCCAGGACGCGATCCTGGAGACCCAGGATCCAGTCTCACGTCGGGCTCCCGGTGCATGGAGCCTGCTTCTCCCTCTGCCTGTGTCTCTGCCTCTCTCTCTCTGTCTCTCTGTGACTATCGTAAATAAATTTTAAAAAATTAAAAAAGGAAAAAAAACCTGTAGGATTCCATTTGAGTAGATCAATGATCATACTAAAGGTAAAGGCATTAAAACTCTTCTAAGGGAGAGAGAGACGTTTGTCGTAGCAAAATAAGCGGAAAAGGCCAGCCCTTCCCTGGACGTGTACAGGAGGCACCTTCGACCACCACACAAAATGTTGAAAGTAAAAGATGCGTTCGATGTGATTATATGACTCGGTTCCCACGCAGGGCCCCACATCGCGTTAGTTAGCATGTCTGCCCTGTGACTTCCCATCCATCTATGTAACACTTCCTCCTTCTTTCCTTACGTGTCGTGATCCGGACATTTTCGAACGGTACTAGTCATTTGTTTCATGGAATTCTTTCGGCTTGTTTTGGTCCCATATTTTCTCGTTAGCCGACTGAGGTTATAAGTTTTTGGCAAAAAAAAAAAAAAAAAAAAAAAAGTCCACAGGGGTGGTGTACCTTTTTCAGGGCATCCTTTTGAGGAGTATGTGATGTTGCTGTGTCTTGTCCCTGGTGATATTAACCTTGAAAACATGGATGAGGGGATCCCTGGGTGGCGCAGCGGTTTGGCGCCTTCCCTTGGCCCAGGGTGCAATCCTGGAGACCCGGGATCGAATCCCACGTCGGGCTTCCGGTGCATGGAGCCTGCTTCTCCCTCTGCCTGTGTCTCTGCCTCTCTCTCTCTGTGACTATCATAAATAAATAAAAAATTAAAAAAAAAGAAAACATGGATGAGGTACTACCTGTGCGGTTATGATTTTTGTAACTGATAGTTACCTTGGGGGAGTTGCTTTCGTCCTATGAAAACGTGCTGTTTCTTCTTAAAACCTTTACCCCTTGATTTTAGCATCCACCAGTGAACAGTGTCGGCTACAGTTATTACTGTGGTGTTAGCCAAAGGGTGATTTTAAGAAATATTTTATTTAAGTTCAATTTGTGTAACACTCAGTGCTCATCCCATCAACCCAATGATGATTTTCTATTTCCCTCATTCCTAATGTGTTTAGAATTTGGAATCCTTCTGTAAGGAATTGCTGTTCCTTCTTCCCCATTTACTTATTTATTCAATTAATAAGTATTAGTATGGATGTTAGGTTGGTTTTAGATTAGATTACTATTACATATGTATGGGGACGCCTGGGTGGTTCAGTGGTTGAGCATCTGCCTTCAGCTCAGGGCGAGATCCCGGGGTCAGGGATGGGGTCTGGGATCGAGTCCCACGTCAGGCTCCCTGCATGGATCCTGCTTCTCCCTCTGCCTGTGTCTCTGCCTCTCTCTTTGTCTCTCTCATGAATGAATAAATAAAATCTTAAAAAAATATTCCTTGAATATTCATTTTATACTTTGGGTTTCCTATTTGTTTCCTTGTTCAAATCCTGATCGTCACCCTGTATCCTTTTGATGTGCCTGCATCTTTTTTCTGGCTTTTCCTCAATTTTTTTTTTTTTTTGTCATCACAAGATATTCCAGCCTATGATAAAGTAGAATTGAAGCAAAAAAAAAAAAAGAATATATATATATATATATATATATATATAATAGAACTGAAATTTTCAAACAATGCCTAAATATGAAAGAAAATAAAAGTCCTATAAAATTCCTTATTTTCTGTAATGAATATTTTCTTATTTTTGAGCCTTTTTTTTCCTCACATGAAGAAACTTTGATAGTGTCATAAAAGAAACCTTACTTTTAGTTAAAAATAGTTTAATCTTTACAGAGTTACTCAGGTTGGTTTTTTTGTTTGTTTGTTTGTTTGGTTGGTTGGTTTTTTTTGATGGTGGTGGTGGTACATATATATATATATATATTATATATAATGGAACACAGGAAAATTTCATTTTGAGAAAAGGTACAGTCTTCCAAAATTTGAGTCCTGAACTTGTATGCTATTAACAATGTAGGTTGTGAATACATAAAATAAAAGCTGATGGAGATCGTAGTGGACATCTGTCAGTTTCTACTGGCTCAGCATTCATCCCAAGGCCCGTGCATTTTTGAAAGAGAAATACCTTTCTGAGGGATGACTGGAATCAGCCTACCTAACACAGTTAGGTATAGGGGTCAAGATCTTCAAGTTTGCATAAGATTTAAGGATGAGCAGAACGGATGCAAAGCTCCATGGGAAGATTGTGCTGAGTTTGATGGGATCTTGGATGCACGCTTCACGTCTGTATGAAGCAAAGGGGACAGCACGTCCTGTGTGTTGAATGTTCCCTTGGTCTCCTAGTACTTGGTGCTATGTCTTTTCCAGGGTTATCCTCTCCAAGGTGTTTGATGAAGTAATCGAGGTAAACCTGATAGACAGTGCAGACTACATCCACCTGGCCTTTCTGAAGAGGCCTGAGCTTGGGGTCACCCTCACCAAGCTTCACTGTTGGACCCTCACCCATTACAGCAAGTGTGTCTTCCTGGATGCAGATACTTTGGTGAGTACAGAGGGATAATGAGGACCTGATACTCCACTTGGTGAGGAACCCTTCAAGGACATTGCCTTCCCCTTTTTAAGCAGGCTGCTGATTCCTACAGGTGGATTCCCACCAGGTAACATGCATCTGTATCACCAGCATTGACCAAAATTAGATATGACATAGCACTAGCACTGCTGTAACCCTGCCCCCGAGGCTACAGGACTCGAAGGCTTGCTCCTTCCCTAGGAGGGGTTTATAATCACGTGATGTCATCTGCACAAAATAGAATAATTAGAAAAAATATTTTGCCTTGGTTGCCTATTGAGTTACATAGTTCTGATTGGACTGGTGCACCTGGCTTCTTAGGCTGTGGCGTCCTCCGTGTGTCATTTGGGGTAGTGGCCTACGGTGTAGGAACCAATGACGACGACTCTGAAAAACAGCCATTGGAAAGTTGAGATGGGAAATGACGCATCCGTTCTAGATTGTCTTGGTTGTGTCAAAGCGGCTCTCTAGGAAGATGGAGAGGTTCGGAGGAAAGTGAGGCCAGTAACGCAGTTGGAGGCACATTTTCTTTGTTCCAAACAGAGCACAATTTAGCAAGGCGGCAGGTGTCGGAGGGGGTCTGGCGTCAGTAGTCAAGTTCTAGAAGGCAACTGATTGCATCATACCGACTTGCAGGCCTCTCCACGTGTGCATTTTCAGAGGTTTGTTGGTCACGTTTGCTAGATTAAAGAGGATACACAGTCAGGCGAGCTCGCTAGAGGATTTTAAGAACTTTGAGAAAATAGTTTCGGAGACGCTGTTAGTTCCATCAGTCGAAATAAACCGGAGGGCAATCTTAGGGTCTCTCCTCCTCCTAAAGCAAGCCTTAGAGGAAGAGTCAGCCCCCAAAATGGGCACAGGTTTCCAATCACTACACGTTGGCCACCCTCGGGTTCCTGCTGCATTTGTCACCTGCATCCCGGAGGTAAGAGACGTGACGCTACGGGTTCCCCATGCTCTGCTCGGCCAGGTGCTATCCAACATCGACGAGCTGTTTGATAGGACAGAGTTTTCTGCAGCCCCCGACCCCGGATGGCCGGATTGCTTCAATAGCGGGGTGTTTGTCTTCCAACCGTCTCTCGAGACGCATGGCCTCTTGCTGCAGCACGCCACCGACCACGGCAGCTTTGACGGTGAGCGACGGGATGCTGGAGGTGGGTGGGAGGGGAGGGGGCCGTTTCCAGCGCCCATACCCCTGCCTCATCCTCACTCCCCCTGGATATGGGAGTGGCACTAATCGGTTAAAGAGGGAGTGGGAGCATGAGGACGGACCGGGTGGGAGGGATAAGTGAAGGCGACAGACAAACCCATTGAGGGAAATATCCTCAGTGAGTAAGAAGAATGATTCCGCAATCCTGACCATACAGAAGTAGGTAGGCGAACCTTTCTCTAAAGACCCGGTAATAGAGGTTTTTCAGCATCACAAGCCATCCGATCTCTGGGGCAGATATTTAACCCTGTAGTCGTAGAGCGAAAGCAGCAACCGACAAGGCTTCAATGACTATGGCTGTGTTCCTGTAAAACCTTATTAACAAAAACGGATGCCAGCGTCCTTTGACCAGCCCCTGACGTAGAATAAAGTCAAGCGAGCCACGAGAAGCCGATATTTGGCTTGATTGCGCGTTAGTAGATGCGGAAAATGCTAGAATTGTCGTCACAAAAAGGAAACAGTACAGCGACCAAGAATCGTCTCTGGGTGAGGGCGAGGAGTTGCCCACCAGGCAGACACGGTTGGGGAAAGCAGTGTGGCTACCAGATAAAATTCATCACGGGAGGAATGGAGAATTTTGGAGACAATGCGAGGGTATGATTATCAAAGGTTTGGGTTATGAGTAGAGAATTTTGGAGAGAATATGCACTGTTAAAGTTAATGATATGGGTGATCGATTCTTTTTGAGACAAACGATCCTATTGTAATGGGCTTGGAGAAAAGAAGTACGACGGGACCGCACGTGCGGCTGTGTATTTTAAGCCCTTCAGACACGTCTTGAATTCCTTGGAAGCGCTGGACCATGCGTGATTAACCTCCTTGGGTGTACGTTCACCATTTAGGGGCAGATCAAGGCTTATTGAATAGCTTCTTCAGTAGCTGGTCGACAGCAGACATCCACAAGCACTTACCGTTCATCTATAACTTGAGCAGTAACACGGCGTACACCTACAGCCCCGCTTTCAAGCGGTAAGTTCTCCACTTTCTAGATCCTTCCATGCCTGGTGCCTTCCAGCAACCCTGTCTCTAGAATCCTCATCACCCTTTGGCATGTGGGACAAAAACAAATTAGATCATCCCTCTCTTTGCCTCTTGCTTTAAATTATAGGTAGTCAAGGCAGTGAGGCTTAATGGTTGTGGTTCCCAAAGTGTGGCCTAAGGAACCCCCGACGGGTTCTCCACAATTCTTTCAAATGTCTGCGGAGTCTAGATGACTTAAAAAAGTTATTCTAAGATGTCATTTTTTTTCTTCTCTTCTCAATTTTTTTTTTCTGTAAGTATACAGGGGGATTTTACAGGAATTCCATGACGTGGTAAAATAACACACTAAAAATTAAAAAAAAAAAAAAAAGAACCACGCACTAAATGCAGATGCAGATAAGAGAAAGCAGCCATCTCCTCTTGGGATGGTCAGCATCATTCTTTGGAGAATTGCTTTTCGAAAATACAATTATTTTTCACGGAAAAGTATGAAATGAGCGTCAGCATCTCGTGAGCGGATTGATTTCTAACGAATTGGTTAAATCTGTCTTCAGATTTCTCAGCTTTGTTGTCTGTGACGGTAAATGCATACAGATAGGATCCACGTGAACAAAGCTCAAGTCTCGGTCCTCAGTGTGTTTTAAGAATGTCAAGAAGAAAAAAAAAATTAAAAAAAAAAAAAGAATGTCAAGAAGTCTTAGGACCAAAACATTTGAGATTCGCTGCTGTGGGTGATGTTGTTATAAACAAAAGTGGAAAGTTTGAGCAGAATCTAGGGAAAGAAAAATTCTAAAAGCATGTATTTTTAACAGCGAACATATTGCCTCCAAGGAGCAGAAATGCGTCCTTGGGGAGTGAAAACATCCTATTTTTTCTGATGTATAAAGCAGAGATGTACATACAGAATGCAGATACACAGTTCAAATTTCATGGGAAGATGATTATGGGAAAAAAATGTTTAAAGACGTTGAGAGGAGAAAATTCACAATCTTGTAAGAGAACCCAGTTTTTTTTTTTAATTTTTTAAAATTTATTTATGATAGCTACAGAGAGAGAGAGAGAGAGAGAGAGGCAGAGACACAGGCAGAGGGAGAAGCAGGCTCCATGCACCGGGAGCCCGATGTGGGATTCGATCCCGGGTCTCCAGGATCGCGCCCTGGGCCAAAGGCAGGCGCCAAACCGCTGCGCCACCCAGGGATTCCCAGTTTTCTTGTTTGTAGCTAGTGTTGTCTACCGTAAAAGCGATTTTTTGGGGGAGGGTCCCTGTTGTTTTAAGATGATGTTTTGGCGTGGATGGAACTGGAGGGTATGATGCTGAGTGAAATGAGTCAATCGGAGAAGGACAAACAGTGTATGTTCTCATTCATTTGGGGAATATGAATAATAGTGAAAGGGAATATAAGGGAAGGGAGAAGAAATGTGTGGGAAATATCAGAAAGGGAGACAGAACATAAAGACTCCTAACTCTGGGAAAGGAACTAGGGGTGGTGGAAGGGGAGGAGGGCGGGGGGTGGGGGTGACTGGGTGGCGGGCACTGAGGGGGGCACTTGACGGGATGAGCACTGGGTGTTATGTTATATCTTGGCAAATTGAACACCAATAAAAAATAAATTTATTATTAAGAAAATAATAATGAGGAGATCCAATATTAGACAAGGAGGTCTGTACTGATGCCTGACGTCCATTGGCCTTTGTGCTTATATCTGTGAATGATTAATAAATACTAATAATGCTGTAATGCAAAAAAAAAAAGACGATGTTTTGGGCTATCTACCATAATGTTTATCTTTATAAGACTCTTGATTTAGTCTTCTGGTTTGAGGATTCCCTCAAATGGGTTTGAGGATTCCCAATAGTTTATGGTGAAGTTTCTTGGTAGATAGAAAGCAAAATACTCCAAAAGTTGATCGTTTATTTTTTTTAAAGATTTATTTATTTGTTCATATAGACATAGAGAGAGAGAGAGAGAGGCAGAGATACAGGAGGAGGGAGAAGCAGGCTCCATGCTGGGAGCCCGACACGGGACTCGATCCCGGGACTCCAGGATCGCGCCCTGGGCCAAAGGCAGGCGCTAAACCGCTGAGCCACCCAGGGATCCCCAAAAGTTCATTGTTTAAAAAAAATTAAGGAAAATTACCACCCGGTCCACCTAGTAGCGTTGAGACAAGTGTCCATGTACTGCTTTCTTTGATGTGTCTGGTGGTTGTGGGGTGCCTCCTGCATGCGTGTGATCACTTCCACGTGCAAAGTAGATTGTTTTGTGTTTCTTCCTCAGATTTGGCTCGAGTGTGAAGGTCGTCCACTTTTTGGGGCCCACGAAGCCCTGGAACTACAAGTACAACCCCCAGACTGGCTCGGTTTTGGAGGAGGGCTCCGGGTTGGCCAACCAGCACCAGACATCCTTCCTTAACCTCTGGTGGAAAATCTACCAGCACAGCATCCTGCCCCTTTACGAAAGCTTCCGGGATGAAGAAGAACACGCATCTCCGGGACACACCGTAAGCCAGCGACACCCTCTAAAAGCAAGAGTTGAGGACGGGCATAGGCTCTGCGCGATCGGTACCCGGTGTACTTACTCGGAACGCTCCCTTCTGTTTGAACATGCCGTATTTCATAGAGGACGCCGAAGATACAGACACCCTGGTCTGGTTTTTTTTTTTTTTTTTTTTTTTCTGGCTCTAAATCATGAATGTTTAATGGGCCAAAATGTTGGTGTGATTTAGAGGGTTCGTGCATAAATAGATTATTTCAGTTGGCCGCCTTCATCAGGGAAAGAGCCACTTGCAGCTAAGTGGCTGCGGGTGATTGATTGCCATGTTGTTCTAGGAGATTCTTGCCAATTTACATCATCAATTCAAGTGGCTTTTGGAGGACGTTGCTCAAGAGGATTTTTGAAACCGTTGATTGAGACCAATTTGGTTTTTTCAGAATGTAATGGTAACCCTCCATGCACTCAATAGTCCCGTTTGTGCAGCCACCTGCCGCGCAGAAGGCTTCTTGAAATTCGGTCCCAGGAAAGGTTATTACCTGATCGTTATTTACCCCAGCGCGTGTGTTAGTACCATGCGGCCAAACTGAAAAGAATCCATACAAATTGAAAATAATCTCTGCCACGGTTTTTGTTTGCTGGAACTAGGGGCTGCTTCTCTCTGGAAGGACTGAGTTTCTCTGATCATTTCACACGAGGGAATAGGAGTTTATTTGTGTTTGTGTTGCCACTTATTTCCTGCCAGGTGGTTTGCAAGGTGTCACAGTTTTACGGGGAGGAAGAAAAGAGGTGGAGTCGGGTGGTTCTGAGGAATAAGTCTAGGACACGTGACCCATGTGGTGGTTCTTGCCAGAATGGTGGCAACTTCCTGCAGGACCACCTGTCACCTGTTTTATTACCTTTGTGAGTTGTCCCATGGCCACGAACCCTACGGCCCCGGGGGTCTCTGTGTCGGTCCTGCGGCACGGGAGTGCTTGCTTTTGTTTCCAGAGTGTCGGACCCTGGCCCAGAAGATTTATAGGTTGTTGATAGGTTCTCAGGGCCTGGTTTTGTAAGTCTGTGTGCATTCCTTGGGTGAGCTTATGTTTACTGAGTGCCGACGATTGATAGGGTTGGGGAGCACTGGCCTCATAGAGGACTGGACGGGTCCTGGGGTCTCCAGGGCAGCCAGAGAGTTAAAAAGATGTAAGGAGGACTTACCGGATGCATCCCTCTTTGTGCAGGCTGGTGTCGAGGAGCTGGGTGCAATATCAGCAGTGGGGTCCAGCCAGCCTTGGCTTGCTGAGGGCCCTGTGGAGCAGACCGTGGTCACGGATGACACCCCACCCTCACCCAAGGGATGCCATGCGGAAGACGTAAGTACCCGCCCTCCACACAGGTGTGCCGGGAGAGTCAGACGCTGGCTCCCGGAGGAGACAGGGCTCCGAGCCTGCTCCCGGAGCTCCTGGGGCTCCCGGGGAGGGAGAGGGCGTGGCCCCGTCTGCGGGGTGCTCCGGCTTCGAGGGGCTCCTGCATTCGTGTAGATCGTCGCACCGTGTCACACGGCGTACGTGGCGTAGTGCTCTCCCAGGTGTGCATCCCAGTCCTGGGAACCTGAAACCGCTACCTTATCTGGAAACGGGGTCTTGGCAGGTGTGGTTAGGTTGAAGACCCCGAGAGGATGACTCTAGGTTTTCCGGGTGGCCCTGTGTCGTCACCAGGGTCCTCAGACGGGGGAGGCAGAGGGAGATTTGCTGATAGAACATGAGGTGATGGAAGAGGCCACACAGAGACGGGAAGAGGTGCGTTCTGCTGGCGTCAGGGGCGCGTGGCCACAAGCAGGGTTGGAGGGCCCTCGGGACGCAGGAAGAGGCCAGGAGATGGAGCATCTGGGGGAGCCGCCAGAAGGAACTCTACTCGGCCCGCATCTTGGCTTCAGCCCAGGGACACCCGTGTCGGAGTTCTGAGCTCCAGAACCGCAAGATGGTCAGTCTGCATCGTTTGGAGCCACCCCAAAGGGGAAGCGAGGGTGAGCATTTGTCCCAGCGGCCACAGGAAGCTAATACCCTGAGAACAGGTGTCGGGTCTCATCCTGATATTGTGGGGTCCCCAAACATTCAAGTTCGAGAGGTGTCGCCTGCATCTCCCTGGAGCCCAGCTGCCAGGCCACGCAGTTCTACAGCCGGAGAGCTTTCGCCAGCCCCTCGATGAGACTATGACTTGCAGATCCGTGTTGACCCGCGTGCTCGTTTCTCCTGAGCCTGGGTCTGCTGAGTGCTCCTCCTCGGAGGAGAAAACTAATACCGGGTCTTATTTGCAGAAGGGATAACCCCAAACGAGGCCGTTCTTTCTCCCTCCCCGACCGCGGAGTGAATACGTTGGAATAATGCCCAGTGTTTGAAGGTTTCTGAGTTTGAATCCTCATGTGGAAAGCCGGTTTTATTCCCTTAATTCCTCACCGAGATTATTAGGAATTTGTAGCCGGAGATGGCTCTGGGGGGTGGTGGGTTCAAGGGCTGTTGTGTTTTTCTGTGTGCTGCACCCGGGGTTGGCGGAACTGTCATAGATTGGGAACAGCCAGTGTTTGAATTTTAGGAGACGTGTCTGTGGAAGGGACTCTACGCTTTATTATAATGTGGAGTAAATTACCTCGTCTGGGCAGCTTCACGCGCTAATAGTCTTTGAGTTGTGATTTCACGTCAACGCAAACGAATGGAGCAGACACGGGGACAGCCGGGTCCATCCGTGGTGGAAGATTGTGGCGCCATTTGGGCAAGTTTGCTCTGGCCGCGAACCCCACCCCATCCTCAAGGGGCAGGACTGGGGGAAGGAAGATGGTGGGAGAGAGCCCAAGATTGGAGAAAAGTGGGTTCAGAACAAGTCCCTGTATGGAAGGAGGAACGTCAGTGAACGTCATTGAACGTGTGACCCTGCGGGCCGTGGGGTCTATAGCTGGGGCCTGGGGCTGCCATCGTCCTGGGCTCCGTGGAGTCTGAGCCCGAGGCCCAAGCGATCGGTAGACGGGAGGCGACTCCCCGGGTGGGTTGAGTGTGGCCCGTTCAGGATAGTTCACTAGTCCTCACAAGTAATCGTGGGACTCCCAACTCTAGTCTTGGCTGCCGTCCCTGCTCCCGCTCAGCTCCGTACCCCCACGCCCCGGGCTTGGAGAACCTCTCCAGACGGTGGGTGGCTGCGGTCAATGACCCGTGTCTACAGATGGCGAGAGGAAGCGGCCGGAGGAAGGAATACAGAGCAGGCCACCGGGAGGTGTGACTTTGATCCGTAGTAACGTGGTGTTTCGGGGTGTCTGCTTCATTCTTCTCTCCTGCTCTAGCCCACCTCTCCATCCTGCCGTCTGTGAATTATGCGTTGCAGTGACTGACGGTTGAAGAAATCTGGGTGGCCCGCCTGATTGCTGATGAGCACGTGTCTCCAGAAGCGATGAAATCCTCACGCTTTTAAAAGGAAGGGATGCCCACCTCGGTGCCCGCCACCCAGGGGGGCACTTGACGGGATGAGCACTGGGTGTTATTCTGTATGTTGACAAATTGAACACCAATAAAAAAATGAATTTATTTAAAAAAAATAATAAAAAACATTAAAAGGAAGGGATAAGTAAATAAAAGGAAGGGATGCATCACTAAATTCTACTCCTGAAGCCGATATTACACTGTATTAACTCACTAGAATCACGTTGTATGTTAACTCACTAGAATTTATTTTTTTGAAGATTTTATTTATTTATTCAAGACACAGAGAGAGACGCAGAGAGGCAGAGACACAGGCAGAGGGAGAAGCAGGCTCCCCACAGGGAGCCCGACGCGGGACTCGATCCCGTGACCCTGGGGTCACGCCCTGGGCCGAAGGCGGCGCTATACCGCTGAGCCACCCGGGCTGCCCTCACTAGAATTTAAATAAAAATTTGAAACAAGAATAAAAAAGGAAGGGAAGCTTCCACAGTATCTGGGGTATGGTTCCTTATTTGGGAATTAATTATACATCATCACTGCCACCTACCGGCCATGTATTGAATCATTGACCTCGGGTCTTTAGTTTGGGGAGCTGGAATCCTGTCTAAAAATAAATTAAAAATAAAAATAATAAATAAATAAATAAATAAGATCATTTTCATAAATTCCTGAAAGTGTACAAGAGCTGGGTCCTGAAATTGGGAGCCTTATTGAAGATAGCAGCCTTTCTATATATAACGATGGCAACAGTATTGACCAGGTCTCGGTTTTCCAAAATAAAGCTAAAGGTCTCATTTTCTTCCCGTAGGAGTTAATGTATTCGCCATGTACTGTCTTCACAGCCAAGTGTTTTGTCCTCCAGTATCTTGGGTGGGGAAATGTACTTAAATGGAAAGATGAGGAATGCCCTTTATTTTATTTTATTTTTTGGAGTTATTGGTTGTTTTTATTGTGATTTCGTAGAACATCCTATTTTGTTTTCGTAAAACCTTTCGTGGAGGGATAACACACATGCACAGGTTGATGCATTTTCAGAGTGAAAAGCGTCCTAAATCGCCGCAATCCAGGTCCAGAAACTCACCCCAAGGGAACCTCTCGCACCCTCGCAGCCACTAGGAAATGCTCTCCCGACCTTGACCCACACCACTTCCCTGCGGGTGCTTTCGAGGACCTTCTAAAGGGGGCCCCACAGTATGTACTTTTGGGTCTGGTCTCTTTCAGTTGACATCTGTACGAGATCGATTCGTCCTGCCGAGCGGGTCGGTAGTTGATTTATTCTCATGGGCTGCGTGTTATCAAATCGTAGCAAGACCCGAAGAATCGATCAATTCCGGTGTTGATGGGCGCGTTGATCAATTCCGGTATCACCCGGCTAGCAGCAAGCCTATTCGTGCATGTTGTGGCCCTTGCTAAGCGTTTTTGGAGACGTTCTACCTAACAACGGTGGGGTCGTTCCATCAAAGGGCATCGCGTGTACCCTGTTGCGTTAGTAGATTCCGCCCGGGATTTTGCAAGCGGCTGCAGCCCTAGCGGGGTTTGGGAGCTCTGGATGACGCCACATCTTCATTCACCAACCTTCCAAGGTGCCGGTGAGCACGTGGGGCATCTCCTTGTGGTTTTATTTTATTTTTTTATACATTTATTTTTTATCGGTGTTCAATTTGCCAACACCCAGCGCCCATCCTTGTGGTTTTAATTTGCACGGTTGAGATGATGTTCAGTTAACTCGAGCCAGGTCTCAGGTGCTTTTACCAAGCTTTGACTCTTTTGGAAATGCTCGTTCAAATACTTTGAACATTTTTCTCCAGAGTTTCCCTTTTTTTCTCTAAGTTAGCGTCTGGACGACGTGTGTATATTCGAGATACAAGTTCTTTTTCGGTAGTACAGTACGTATTAATATTTTTTCCTACTCTGTTGCCTTTTCAATCCCCAAACGGCATCTTTCTACGAAGAGAAGTTTATAGTTTAGCCACGTTTTAGTATTTCCTTTAGGAGTAGTGTGTCTTGTTTATTCTTTAGGGTATCTGTCCGTAAACTAGGGTCATGAAGATAATCATCTTCGTTGTCTTACAGAATTTTTATTGTTTCCACTTTTTACACAGAAGCGCATCACCTACTTGGGATGGATGTTAGGTAACAAATGCATTTGGGGTCAACATTCACTAGTGTTACTTGGGTGTCTGTCATTAATTCACAGCACGGGTTATCGACCACACCATTGCTCCCCGCCTGCTTGGTCATGTTTCCTTTGCCCTCAGTCTACTGCCCATACGTGGATGAATCTATTTCCAGACGCGATTTTTTTTTGTTTTATTTCTCCCTTTCTTGCACCGATAATCAGTGCCATGGTTACCGTGGCCTTAATTAAAAGTCTCATTACCGGTCCTGCAAGTACTTCAACTTTTTTCTTCTTTCCTTGCCTCTTGCTAAATTTCCTTTAAATTTCCATATGAATATTAGGATCAGCTTCACAGTTTCTTGGAATACAAAAAAAAAAAAAATCATCTGGAATTTCGGCTGGGATTGCATTGATTCTATAGATGGGTTTTAGAAGAATTAATATCACCAAAGTTTGAGTCTTCTGCTCTATGGACTTAGTATATTTCTATTTTTACATTTTTTTTAACAACTTTATTTTTTTAATTTATGATAGGCACACAGTGAGAGAGACAGAGGCAGAGACATAGGCAGAGGGAGAAGCAGGCTCCATGCACTGGGAGCCCGACGTGGGGTTCGATCCCGGGTCTCCAGGATCGTGCCCTGGGCCAAAGGCAGGCGCTAAACCGCTGCACCACCCAGGGATCCCTCTTTTTAGATTTTTTAAAGGGTTTTATTTATTTATTAGTTTGCAGAGAAAGGCAGAGACACAGGCAGAGGGAGAAGGAGGCTCTCTACAGGGAGCCAACGTGGGACTCGATCCCAGGACCCTGGGATCACGACCCGAGCAGAAGGCAGATGCTCAACTACTGAGCCACCCACAGATCTTCTTTAATTTCCTTCAATATGGTCATTTTCCTAGTAAAGATCTTGCATACATTTTACCGGACTTATTCCTAGTTTTTGGTGGTTTTTGAGGCCATTATAAATAGTGTTATTGTAAAACCTACGATTTTTGCCCTGGATCCTTTTGGTTATTCTGCATACCTCATTACATCACCTGCAAGGAAAAAACAGTCCCGTAGTTTGCTAAGATGTCAATCATACATCGACCAGTGTCATCTGTCCATTCCACTCCTACGGTATTTACTCAAGAGAAATCAAAGCATAAGTTCGTTCATACAAAGACAGCAGATTTGATGTGTAATAGCTCAGAACCGGAGACGACTCAAGTGTCCATCAACACGTCAAAGTGTGAACACATTGCGGCCCGTCCATACACTGGAATGCTACTCGGGCAATGAAAGGAAATGCACTCCGGAGACAGGCAACCGATGTGCAAAGCGTAATCATACCGAGTCAAAGAAGCCGGACCAAAAAAAAAAAAAAAAAAAAAAAAAAAGATGATATGTACCAAGCGGTTCCATTTCTCTAAAATACTACAAGAGGTGAAATAATCTACAGTGACAGATAGAAGATGAGAGAGGGTCCCTGGGGATGGTGGAGGAAGGAGGGAAAACTTTTGGCGAGGACACGTGTTTGCTCTCTTGACTAGGTCAAAACTTGCCCATTTGTGCAGGTTAGTCCCGATTTATAGTATGGAAACGGTACTTTAGTAAAGCGGTTAACGAAGCAAGACGCGTGAAGTTACTATATGGTCTTGGCCCATCTTCGTCTTGTTATGAAATAATTTCTACCAAAGTTTATTGCCTTAAAGCTTCATTTTGCTTAGTACTTACGTGGTATGTTTTGCTCTGCCTTTTTCCTGTCAATCTTTCCGTGTTCTTAATGTTGAGGCTGGAACTATCTAAAAAATTCGGAATGGGGTTCTGTTTTTATCCATTTCCTTTTTTTTTTTTTTTTTTTGCCTTTTAACTGGGGTAGATTGTTGACATTTGATACAATTACTGGGATACTTATGTTTAAATCTCTCCTATGGTTGGTTTATTTATTTATTTTATTACCGATTTGAAGGATATTTTTCTCTCTTTTTAATCTTTCTTTGGATACACGAATGTGTTTTTAGTTATTTCATTTTAGCCTCCACTTCCATGTCACTGTGGCATTATTTTGATCATTTTTTTAAGTGGTTACTTGGAGATTTTCCAATTGTCATTCCTGACTTTGATGTAATGTAATGTGTTTAGGACTTCGAGACTTTCGGGAAGTAGAAGAACCCAGAAGGGTTTCAGATTGATCTCTTCTCCCCTGACATTTTGTGCTGTTGTTGTCTGTTTTAATTCTGTAACCACTTCCTGCCGTCCAAGTCCACTTACCTATGTCATCTTATTTTCATTCTGTGCTTCATTCTATCAATAACAGCTGTCTTCTCCCCTCAAAGAACTTCTGTTATTATTCATTTCATTTTATTTTATTTTAATTTTATTATTATTATTCATTTAATTTTATTTTTTTAATTTTTTTAATTTATTTATGATAGTCACACAGAGAGAGAGAGAGAGAGAGAGGCAAAGATATAGGCAGAGGGAGAATCAGGCTTCATGCACCGGGAGACCGACGTGGGATCGACGTAGGATCGCGCCCTGGGCCAAAGACAGGCGCTAAACCGCTGCGCCACCCAGGGATCCCAATTATTATTCATTTTAATTCAGGCTTCAGGCTGAAAAATTCTCTCCACTTGTATATCTGAAAATTCCTTTACTTAACCTTCATTTTGCGACCAGGTTTTCCGGGATGCAGAATGCTCACTTGGCGGTTCTTTTTACGAGGGCACCTTGACGACGTTGTTCCTGCATCTCCTGATGCCCACTATCGCTCTGCAGGTTCATCTCCTAGACTCGTGTTTAGGCACTTGAGGGCGATTTATCTCTTCTCTCTGGCTGCCCTTAAGATTTTTCTCCTGAGCTCTGATTATCTGTTTTATAATCAACAGCTCTGGCTTTATTATTTTCCCTGTTTGTCCTACTTGCAGGCTGTAGCTTGAGCCTGTATTCCTTCTGCGCATTCTGTGTCTCTGTATGTCTCTGTCTCCCCCTCCCTCTCCCCACTCTTTCTTCCTTTTAGGACCTTGATGACATCTCATTAGGACTTGTTACCTTGTTTACCGCATCTATGATTCCCTTCTCTACGTCTTTCCTCCCATTTCTCCTTCCATGCTTCATTCCACTGGCCTATTTTCCAATTGATCGATCTTCTCTTTCGTTGCGTTTCATCAGTTGTGAAACCCATGGTCTCAACACTCCATTTCAGCTATTTTATTTTTAACCCCAATTAACATAAAATGTTAATAGCGCAGCTTCTATATTTCATTGAAATTCTCCAACTTGTCCCTTTATTTCATTTAAAGTATCTCTTACACTTGATTACAGTCCATGTCTGATAAATCCTATATCTGGGATTTCGTGTGGATCTTGTGGTTCTTGTGGTTTGATTTTGTTTTTCCTCTTGCTCTTCATTCATGTGGTCTTGTCTTGCTCTGTGCTAGGTGATTATTGATACCACACGACACATTGCTTATGGAGAAACTGCAGGGATCGTTGGGAGTTTTGAATCATCAACATCCAGTGGGCATTGCTTCCCCCCCGCCCCCCAGGAAGGAAATTTTCATAGAGGTGATTTGCCCACAGCCCGTGAGAGGTTGAGCTGGTGTGAAATTGGGCTTCTGTGTTTGTAAGAGCGCTCTCTTTCTGCCCCTCCTTTTAGTGGAGTCCCTCATGAAAGCCTGCGGTGTACAGGGGGTCCCTCCTGAGCACCTCATCATTTATGGGTTCCTCGGCCTCATAGCACCTCTGAAATGTCTGCTTAAACTCTTGTCTACAGCCTCTTGCTTGCCTAAAGGGGAAATAAGATGCTGGATGCACTTATGAGATTGATATTACAGGTGCAGCCCAGCCTGCCCACATGACTTCTGCGTGTGTTTGCAGGGAGAATTGGGGCAATTCAGAGAACGTGTCAGTGTTCTCTAGCTTCTGTGGTGGACGTGATTAGGTTAATCTTGCGGAAGCCTTTGGATCATTTACAGACCCCAGCCTGTGGGCACAAACTTGCTTCCTGACCATGAATTGATTAGGCACGGGGTATTAACAGCCCCAAATAGGTAAAAATCTATGTCTGTGTCCCAGTCAGCTTTGGTGGCAGAGGCATGCTGGGCTCCATGCAGTCATCGTGGGATCCAGTATCTTCCTGTTGTTCTGCTCCAGCTTCTTCTAGGACATCCCATGTCCACTGTGGCTCCCTGAGACAGAATGAGGCCTCCCCGCTGAAGCCAGCCATTGCACACAGTGCCCTGTATTTTCTCCTGTGCACCTGGAATGACCGTAGCTATGGACCATCCTTGGAAACATGGAGAAAATAATCCCTCGAGTTGCTCTCTGTAGGGGTTTGTTTTCTTGTGGAACCTCAGTTGAAATAGGTTGGAGGGATCTTGTTCCTCATGTGACATGTGAGGAGCAAGAGTGGGAAAAGCATATCCCACCTCAGTGGAGGTGAGTCACAGTGCATCTCAGTGGCGTGGGTGAGAAGTCGCCGTGCGTCTCCACATACGTACAAAGAAGACGGGAGCCCAACACAGTGTGAGCCCAACACAGTGGAGCAGCTGCTGGAGTTGGTGACCCTGGCCGTGTCTGCCCCGCACCTGTTCCTTGTCGTGCTGCCTTTGTATCGTGGAATCCAACAACCTAGATATTTGCGTGTTTTCAGATATTTGCAGGAGGGTTATTCTAATGTACTTTTCTTTCTCTCTTTATGACAGACGATAGGGTGGCCTGAACTTGAGACATCCGCTGGAGTGAGGTGTGACCCATTGTCACCACCCTCCCCCCAATGTGCAGACTCCTCAGGGACCCAGAGCACCTCGGTACACCTCATTTATACTCCTCCCGCACATCTGTGTCTCCTAGTGTTGTTTTCTTGGTGTGTCTGTGTCCGTCGAACAGCAGAGAAGATGCCCCATGCTTTTATTCTTCATCCTGTGATCTTGCCGAATGGTTTTCCCAACCTCGAATACGTGTTGTGATTAGTCCGTAAAGGACCCAAGTGTCTGTTCAGACTTCTGTTGGTCATTTGGTCAGTCCATTTCCCTTTAGGAACATTAGAAATGACAAAGGTGTAACATCACCATAACACATATTCCCCCTTTTAAAAAGATTTTTTTGGTAGGATTTTGGATCCATCTTTAATATCAGTATTAAGGGATTATGGGTCATACCCTTGTTTTTGCTAAATGTGCCCTCATGAATCTGAGCTTCTGTTACCATGCATCATCAGAAGATAGAACTCAGAGTCTGCTATGCTCATTGAGACCCGAGCTTAGTAAGATACTTTCATGGGCACTTGGTATAAACTATAGTCAACCCTTCAACAACACAGGGTTGACCTGCACGAGTGCACTTATACACATGGATTGCTTCCCAAAAAATGTACGATAGCACTATATAAATGTATTTTCACATCTTGTGATTGTCTTAATCACATTTTCTTTTCTCCATCTCGCTTTATTATAAGAATACACTCTATAATATGTAGAACGTGCAAAATACATGTTGATCGACTTTTTATGTTACTGGTAAGGCTTTCGGTCAACAGTGGGCTATTGGCAGTTATGTTTCCGGGGTGTCAATCGCTATATGTGGATTTTCGACTGTGTGTCGGTCAATGACCCTAATGCCACGTCGTTCAGGGCTGAACTGTAATTGAATCCCTGTCTGAAAAATTACCTTTGGTGCATCCCATAGAAACTTCCAGCATCTCATCTTGTGTGGGAAATAGTGGGTGTCAGGGGTGGATGGTGGGAGCGGTCAGGCCTGCCTTTTCAAGTCTTTGCAGAAAGGGCCATTTGGCACGAGATTCATTTGATCTTATTTTCCCCTGGCAAAGAGTTCTCTGTCCTTGTGGTTAAGACTAGTTGCCCGAGGCCGTCTGCAGACTAACAATGCAATGGTTATGTTTCTAGCAGCCCGCGGATAAAGCAGAAGGTGACCCGTCTCTGGAAATTTTGGAACCAAGCCAGGAGCCCCCTGTGGATGTCACCGGGGACCCCAGTCCTCAGGATGCTTTGGAGGTGGTACCCTAACTGTCTTGTCTGGCACTCCTGGTGGACGCTAGCTATCCACCATCTCTGGGGCCGGCAGCACTCGTGCGGCAACTGCTACCTCAATTTCCAGCTTGATTTGGTTTGAAATAAGACTCAGCCTGCATCTCTTGGTACTTCTGATTTGTCTCTCTCCTTCCTGGCATTTGCGTGGGGTGCTTGGTCACTTTATTTCCCATCCTTAATCACTGTGGCCTTTCTCTCTTTGCACACTTTTCTGCAAAACTGAATTGACATTCAGGGCTTTGCTGTTCTGTACGGCGAGCATGGGTACAATTGCCCAGCGAGCCATTGTCTCAAATGAAGAGGATGAAAGCGAGAAAAATCTGGGGATGAATGTTTTGAGCTAAAATGGTGCTAGTGGTACCTTTCCTTCCTCTTCTGTGTTCTTGTCTTAAATGTTCTTCTTTCTGTGGATATGTTTAATCAAAGCAATTGCAAAACAATTTTCTTTTTCTAACAGTGATTGAATGACACCTTTTGGTTTTTAAGTAAAGTTAATATGGCTCCAGATTCGGGTATTGGGTCTCCGATGAAAGTTAATATTGAACATGTGGCCATTTGAGAGGCTCTAGCAGCATACTATAGACAGGGGGGCTTATGCACATGGTACATTTATTTCTCACAATTCTGAGGGCTGGAAGTCCAAGGTCAAGGTGAGATGCGCTTCCTAGTTCATAGACCTCCATCTTCTTGCTGTGTCTTCCCACAGAGCAAGGGATGAGGAAGCTCCCAGGGGTCCCTTTTATAAGGACACTGATTCCATTCATGGGGGTTCCACCATCATGACCAGACCACCTCTCAAAGGCCCCCCTCCTCATACCATCCTATTGGGGATTGGCATGAATTTTGAGGGAGCACAAATATTTAGTTTATAGCAATAGTCGCCATATGGCCTATTATGTAATACATATTTTAGTTTGTACAATGCCTCTACTAGAATTTACTGCTGGAGGAAACATGTACGCTTTTCGTTGCCTCTTTGTCAGTGTGTTAAATGCCAAATGCGGTATTTTGAACTTATTTCCAGAAGTGTCAGTGACAGGGTTTCTTCTCAACCTGTGCTGTCCGGCATGTGGAACATGAGCATATTCAGCTCCTGTGCTATGGCTCTGAGGCTCTCTGATTCGGATAAATAGTGGTTAGGGGGTAACACGGTATGGGGGTGCTGCTGAGCAGACCTCATGTGACAGCCCAGCCATGTGGTGTGGTGGGTTTGGGACCATTGGTGAGCTCATTACCTTCTCTGATCCATGAAGTGGATAGAGGGGTGCCCACCTGAGAAAGTGGGAGATGGGGGTGGGGATTAGACCCAGGAGTGATTTAGAAGAATCCATGACAGTGCCTTGCTCATAAGGATCAGCACCACCCCACCACCAGGGCTTTAGCCTGGCTGTTCCCGGCAGATGGCACCAGGAACACTCGCACCTTCTGGGGCGATGCACCTGCATGCACCTGATGCATCCCGATGAGGGGGTGTTGTGAGCACCCGAAACAGGCACTCCACTACTTGTCTGCTTAACTGGGGCACGTTCACTTTCTCCTCCTATGTGTGTCTTCACTGTCGTGTGGAGGACCCTCACTGTTTTGTATAATACCGTGTGTCATAAAATCAAGGGAGTTTGTGGTTTTCCTAGATATGTACCTCTTCTTGGTATCATGGATGATGCGATCACTACACTGTTTTGTGTTGGGCAGTACTGTAGCATGTGTGCTATGCGTCCTGTTCATTCTAGAAAGTTTAACTTCCCAGACATGCACTGAGCCTGAATCCAAGTGCTCTTAGAGGAGAGAAGGGCTAAGGTATGCTGGAAAAAAAAAAAATTTAACTCTTGCTATTATTTCCTTGACCAATAGGATGGCTATGTTTGAACATAACGTTTGGAAACAAGGGTAGGACATGGAAAGTTATCCATACAAACTCTTCAAAGACACCTTCAAAAAGTTAGAGAGTATGTACCATATGCCCAGTGGTATCGAAAGTCGAATTGAACCATCTGGTATTATCCCACCAACGCACACGGCGTCTGGGGAGTACCTGGGTGTCCCCTGTAGCGTCTGTGGGTGTGTATATTATCACCACGTGCATATTTCTAGATGTCTTTTCCTAATCCTTGGTAAGAAATTTTTAGAACAAACGTATTTACTACTTTTGTTGGCTCATTGGGTGCCAAAGAAAAGGTGAGTGTGTTTGCACATGTGTGTGTTTATATATTCTCGCATATTTTGGCCTTAGGAAGATAAAAACCGTGCCATCTGCAAGCAGAAAACCACTGGGGTTATTGCTGAAATGGCTTTGCCGGGTGGTCCAAACTACTATGGGCTTTATTCATATATGGCAACCATTCTCTTGATTTCACGTAGTTTCATTATATGCGGTGATGCAAGACATTGAGGTTTCGGGTGCGTGGAAGCATTAAATAGGTGCGAGTGTGTGCGTAAATCAGTTTAGTGGCCAGAAATTAAAACACTTCTAACGCAAAAGTGAACACATGTAGAATGGTATTTTGTAAGACTTCACAAAACGTGGCCAGGAAAAGCATCGTCTTCAAAGAGTGTGATATTCAGCTCAGCACGTATTTTGTTCAGAAGAACTGAGCTTCATTTGTAGAACCAGTGGCTAAAGCGGACATTATGTCACCCCAGTGATGGCCTCAAAAACTGTCTCCTGTCTGTCTGTCGTCCCTAGGTTGACCTGGCCGTGTCGGTTTTCGAGATTTCCATTGAAGAGAAGGTCAAGGAGCTGAGTCCCGAGGAAGAAAGGAGGAAGTGGGAGGAGGGACGCATCGATTACATGGGGAAGGATGCATTCGCGCGCATCCAGGAGAAGTTGGACCGGTTTCTGCAGTAACCCGAGCGGTCGTGTTACGCCATGTGTGGTTAGACAGTGTTCTGTTGCATGATCCCGTGAACGCGGACATCTCCTCCACGCCCTTCAGAGGGAACAGGTGTTCAACTATGTGCCTCTATTTGCGGCTGACCAACTTGAGTGCCTCACAAAAATTATGTAGACCGCCAAAAACTCAGCTTAAAGCCCCCTACCTCCCCGCTCCCGCCCTGCCGATCCAAGCTACCCATGCCTTCTTGGCTTCCCTGAGCTGCCAGTTCTTTTCAGCAAATGGGAGCAGGAATAAACTTCTGGTAGACCCTTCTTTGTGCTCTCTGGTCCTGCTCCAAAGAGCTCTGGGATGCTGCCTTGGGCAGGTGCTACCATGACCTATCCTATGTAGGGTTAGACGTCCCTGCAGATTCTCTTCTGTCCCTGAGCTAATGACACCAGTGTATGTATTCAGGACCTCAGGAACCCTCAACAATGGAAAGTCCTTTCCTTGAGGACTAGGGAGACGTTCAGACGAGGGTAAGTCTCATGGAGACACTACAGCTGCTATTTCTCTTCTGCCAAACCCAGTGGGACTGCCAGGTGCCGTTGACGGATGTCCAACGGGAAATGCTGGAGGTAACGTGGAAGGGAGACTCTAGCTGGCTTGGGACATAGAGCGTCGTCTTGGTTTGGGAGAACCAAGGGTTTACTCCAGCTGGTTCTGATGACACCTCATCCACACTAACAGGATCTGGGGAGGCTCTTGGTTTAGAGGCAGATCCGTTTGCCATCCAGTGCACTTCACTGCTCTATGCTGGATATCGCTACCTCAGTCCCAAGTAGTGAGTCAAGTCACTGTGTTCTCTAGACCATTTCAATGCACCTGTTTGGGGGAGAATATTCACTTTTATGAGACTGGATGCTGTAGGAGAAATCCTCATCTTCCGAAGTACCCCAATTTTGTGAATTCATGCAGTGTGTTGGAACAGCTCACAGGGTCACTGCTCATGGCCACCACAATCATAATTAGAAACAGGCATCACTGTCCTAAAGAGAGGGAAATGTGTGTGTGTGTGTATTTTTTTTTTTTGAAGTTAGAATGCATTATCATGCACATGGTGTGGGACATCAAAAGGTTTCATACAGATAGGTTTGGACCAAGTGGTGTTGGCCCTGCTATAGTTGGGTGGGTGTGTTTGGCCACATTTTACATCATGTCGAGCAGGTGAGCCCTTGGGTAGGGGAATCTGGGGGAGTGCATGACATTAGTTGTGATGTGAGCTTCTGCAAGATGTGAGTTATGGAGGGGTTGTTTCCTTTACGTCTGGGTGGCTAATGGTCTGCAGTCTTGGTTGGCATCACACCTAGGATGCTTCCAGAGCTAAGTGAAGATAGCCATATGGATATAGCCTTATAGGGATAGAGCTGGGACGGTCATCAGCCATTAGAATGACACTATATTTATTCTGGGGAAAGACCGTGGGTGCTGTGTGCTGTGGTGTTGGGTTATGGAAAACAGGAGCCTGGGTCTGACATACTGAGAAGGAGGAAAGAGTCCAGATGTTGGATATTTGAATCTGGTTCAACTTCTGTGTGGAAGAGAACTCCTGTTTCTGGACACAAGTTCCTTGCTTTAAGGTGTCCGTTCAACACGGACTTCTGTTCTGCATTCTGGTCTCTATCTTCTGATGTGAATGGATGTTAATGCACTTCAATTAAAATTTTAAAATAGCGACATGGTGTCCCTTCTGGTGTGTGTTTGCGTGCGTCCTGAGCCATCAGAATGATATATTATATGTAACAGAGGGAAGGGATGTGGGTGTCTTTGTCCTACACTAAATTTAAATCACCAACATTTTTTTTCCCCCAGAATTCCTAATTGCAGTAAAATGTGTAGAGCTATTTACTTCTCAGTGTGTGAAATTCCCTAAGGTCTCTCTCTAGGGAAGCTGCCCATTTCCTAACACTGTTTTTCAGTGTCGTGAATTCATTCATTCATTCACTAATTCATTCATTCACTCAGTCTATCCATCCATCCAACCACCCATCCATGTATCCACTCATTCATCCATCCTTTCATCCATCCATCATCCATTTATCCACCCATCATACCTCTTTCCATCCATCCATCTACTGGTATATCCATCCATACACCTATCCATCTATCCTTTCATCCATCCATTATCCTTTCATCCAGCCATCATATTCCTATTCAGCCAGCCACCCATCCATTCATATATCCATCCATCCACTCACCCATCCACACATTCATGCATCCTTCCTCCAGTCATCAATCTATCCATCCTTCCACCCACCCATCCTTGCATCCATCCTTCCATCCACCTATCCACTCATCCTTTCATCCATCCATCTACCCATCAGTCCATCCACCTAACCTTCCATCCATCCCTCCACCCATCCTTCCATCCAATCACTTACCTATCCATCCAACCATCCACTCATATGTCCATCCATCCGTCCATCCATCCATCCATCCATCCACCCATCCATCCATCCATCCCATGGTTATTGAGTTCTCTGTATGGCAGGCACTGTGACATGTTCATATGTCATATCATGACGTATTCAATAAATGAATAGTTCATTCTGAGGTTTCTAAATAACATATTTGTAAGAGGTATAATATGGTGGTGTTCTTTGAATAATGCCAACGCCAGAATCTATTCTACATAAAGTCAGGACTACACGGTTGTAGAAGTTGAATCCGCAAGAGATTTGACCTGTACTATCACTAATATTTTGGCGCATTAAAAGAGGCTTGTGTGGGTTTTTTTTTTTTACATTGTATTTTCCTAGTAGTATTTTCCAATTATTATTTGGGGGCAGGAGGCAATGGCATGTAGGAGAAGCACTTGTAGATATCCTGATGTTGTAGGGTGGGTGAAGGTGCTTAGATGTAGAGGAACAAAGTATAGTGTCCTCAGTTGGTCGTATCCTGCTGAAACCATTGAGTGCTACCTGAATGCACACAAGCAGCCCGAGTGCTGATGGGTTTTGGCATTGGACTGCAGACAAGTTGAAGCAGAACGGGGGTTCTTTCTGGCCCCCACTCCTGAATTAGGAAACACAGACCAATTACCATTTTACATGCTTATTAGTCATTTGTATCTTTAGTAAAATGACTGCACGTCTTTGCTCATTTACCGGATGATTTGTCTCCTTATTATGGATTTGTATTCATTTGGAAATATTTTTCTCCACGGTCCCGCAGCTTATCTTCTCCTTTTCTTCACGGTGCTCTTTGAAGCACTCAAGCTTTGACTTTTGATAAACTCTCATTTATCAAGTTTTGAATAGTAGATCAGGCTTTGGGTATCCTTAAAAACAAAAATCTCTTCCCAATCCCCAAAAAACAAAGATTTTTGTCCTGAGTTTTTTTTCTGAAGGTTTTTCAGATTCTTCTCCTAGCGTTTAGGTCCCTGGTGGACTTGGCGTTCATTCTTGGAGACACTGTGAGAGGTAGAGTGTCCAAATATGTGGGGTTTTTGGCACGTGCCAGTGAGCGCCCCACTGGATGTTTAACCAGCTGATCTTTGGGGCCACCCAAAGCTGAGCACATTCTGCAAATTTTCCCCAGTTTGGATACTGGAGTGCACCCCCGGGACCCCTCTGGGCGTGCTCACACTCAGGCAGAGCTGGCTACAAGGGCGTGGGAGGGGAGGGCAGGCAGCCCTGGGGATTCAGCAACATCCGACACCGCGTGCAGAGCTCCCCATTTGCTGTGTGGGAGGAAACTCCTCTCAAGCTGGCTCAGAGCGGACAGCGGAGGGGAGGGGTCTGTCCTGCCCCTTAGTTAAGCCACAGCCGGTCTAACCGGTGAGGCTCCTTGCCAATGTTTCACCATGAGACCAGAGCCCTGGAGACTGAGCTGGGGCTTGTCCGGTCAGGTTGTGAATGAGCTCTGAGTGCCCGAGCCCTGCTGTGAATCCCGCTTACCCCAGAGGGTCTGCACCCAGCTCCCTGTGCCTGGGGGGGGGGGGGGCTTTCCCCCATCCTCTCCACGCCCCCACCCCCTGCTGGGCGTCCCATCTTCTGCCTCGGTTTTGCATTTTGTTGTGTATATTTTTGCATTGGAGCTCGATTTGCCAACATACAGCATAACACCCAGTGCTCATCCCGTCAAGTGTCCCCCTCAGTGCCCATCACCCAGTCGGTTTTGCATTAAAAAAAGAAACACAGTGATGTAGAGCTGGATACTGATAGTGTTCTGTGAGCAGAGACATTTCACTGGAAAAGACTGACTCACAAGAAGATAAACAAGTCATAAAGGACGGAAAAAAAAAAAAGAAAAAATCCCTGGAGGAGATTTCTTGTAGAAATTCCTGACGTTTATAAATGAACGGCAAGGGCTAAATATGTTTAAGAAGTCACTTAATTTGGCAATGAAATGACGTATCAAAGACCTTGGTCAGGGATCCCTGGGTGGCGCAGCGGTTTGGCGCCTGCCTTTGGCCCAGGGCGCGATCCTGGAGACCCGGGATCGAATCCCACGTCGGGCTCCCGGTGCATGGAGCCTGCTTCTCCCTCTGCTTATGTCTCTGCCTCTCTCTCTCTCTCTCTCTCTCTGTGTGTGTGTGACTATCATAAATAAATAAATAAATTAATTAAAAAAAAAACTTCAGACCTTGGTCAAGTAAAAAAAAAAAAAAAGGCTGTCTCACCTTCAGGCTGAGATGAACCCTGATTCTAACACTGGGGCTGATATGTGCCCACTTGAAAGAGTGCATCTCTCAATTCCCAGTTCTATCTATGGATGGAAGCAGGGGTCTGGGGTTAGGGCTTCTGCAAAATCCCCTTTGCTGGGGCTGACTCGACTGGGAGGAATGCCCTTCTTCCTGCAGCCCGGAATGTCCACGTCATGGCTGGAGCTGCTGCAGCCATCCTGAGGCCATGAGGCAGAGGACAGTAGAGCGTGCATTTGCAATGAAGCTGCCAGCCCGCGGTTGCTCCCCTCCGAGAGCACACATCCTTCTCTCACTTATGGCATTTATTCCTGATGTCTGTTACTAGCAGCCCCAAAGTAATTTCTAACTCGTAAGATGAGGACAGAGGGATGGTGAATGTAACGTGTGGGGTCACATCAGCCACTCAGGAGATCCTCCAATCCTCAACACCAGACATGGAGCTGGTTTCTCTGTTAGCCAGAAAGACGAGGCTGGGAAACATCAGCCTCCCCTTGTGTAAGGCTGTCCGCAGACGCAGCGAAACCCCAAGGATGGATGCTTTAAAATCAATGTGTACAAAAATCGGATCCTGGCATCATGATCACTCCCGAGCTTTAGGAGAGGAGCAGGACTGGGGGCATTACTGGGTGTCCACTGCCCACTCTGTGCCCAGGACACGGTACTCAAGACAGGGAAACCCAGGCTAGACCTTATGGTGTGTGTCCCCTTCCATCGTCCTGGTATGTGGGCGAGATGTGCCTCTCCCTTTTAAATATTCAATTTAGGGGATCCCTGGGTGGCGCAGCAGTTTGGCGCCTGCCTTTGGCCCAGGGCATGATCCTGGAGACCCGGGATCGAATCCCACGTCGGGCTCCCGGTGCATGGAGCCTGCTTCTCCCTCTGCCTGTGTCTCTGCCTCTCTCTCTCTCATTCTATGTGACTATCATAAATAAATAAAAATTAAAAAAAATTTTAAAATAAATAAATATTCAATTTAAACGTTCAATATTTATTTCGCAGATTCACGGGGGCAGAACTGGCAAAACTGTATGTATTTATGGTGTACAGCACGATGATGCGATGCCCGTACACCGCGTGAAATGACCACCCCGGTGAAGTGAATTAACGCACCCATCACCTTCGCTAATGATCACGTAGGGTATGCACGGCGACGACACCGCACGGCTAGTCTCTCAGCAGATTTCAAGGACAGGACACAGGATCAGTAACTAGACCCCCCCGTGCTGGCCCAGGCATCTCCAGGATGTGATCCTCTCATAACTGAAAGTTCGTGTCCTCTGAGCATCCTCTAGCCACCTCCCCGCAAACTCCTAGCAGCCATCACTATTGTACCCTCTCTTTCTACAAGTTCGAATTTCTTTTTAAGATTGCATGTATCGGTGAGCTCATGCTTTTTTTTTCCTAGGTGTGTCTGACTTACTGCACTTTGCACAATGTCCTTGAGGTCCACCCCACGTCATCCATAAATGGCAGGATCTCCTTCCTTCTCGTGGCTGAGTCATGTTGCATCATGTGGATGGACCACCTGCTCTTTATCCATCCATCCATCGATCCATCGATCCATCGATCCATCGATGAGCAGTTGGGTTCCTTCCAGGTCTTGGCTGCCATGAATCATGCTGCTGTGCACATGGGGGTGCAGATTTGTTTGAGATCCTATTACCATTTCCTTTGGGGCCCAGCAGTGGAATCATTGGGTCATAGGAAGCTCTATTTTGAATTTTTTGAGGAGCCTCCATACTGTTTCCAGAGTGGCTGCTCCAGTTCGCATGCCCACCCACAGGGCATGAGGGTTCGACTCTTTGCCACACCCCTGCCAACTCTTTTCACCCCATCTGTCTGTCTGATGACGGGCATCCTGCCAAGTGTGAGGTCATGTCTCACTGTGATCTCCATCCTGCCCGCACGCACAGAAGGGGAAGGTCCCACAGCACGGCTGCAGCCACGGCTTCCAGATGATGTTGCTCAGGGAAAACTGGGTGGGCACAGGGCTCAGGGTCTTTCTGTGCTGCTCCACGGCCTCACCCACCCGTGCTACTACCATGTGGTACAGAGGTTCAGAGCCAGGGGACAGGGGCCGAGCCTCGGAAGGGTCCCTGGAGAGCTCGAAGAGCAGGGGCGGGCTGTGCTGGGTCACACCATCACCCGAGCAGGGGCACACGCCTCGGCCATAGCAGGCCCCTGCACCCTTGGGGTGGAACCGTGGAGTCATGTAGTGGACCTTCCAGAGTCTTCCACCTAAAGGCAAATGGAGACGTAGTCAGGGCACCCAAGGAGATGAACATTTATATTAGTAGACTGACTGCCCTCCAGACTGATGGGTCTCACCCAATCAATTGAACGTGTGAGACAAAGGAGACTGAAGGCCCCTAAGAGGAAAGAATGCCTGCGGAGTACGATCTAGAAATCATGCCTGAGTTTCTAGGCTTTAGAATCCAGGTGGCAGCATCCACACTGGCCAGACTGCGGGCTGGCCCTTAACGTTTCAGACTTGCCAGTCCCTACAGCCACATGAGACATGTCTTTCAAATCTCTCTCTCTCTGTGTGTGTGTGTTTCTATCCATCCATTTGTCTACATCTCCTTATCTTCTCTGTCATTCATCCATCTATTATCTACTTGTCATCTATCTCGTGTGTTAATTTATCCTATTACCAGTCCACCATCTACCATCCACCCAAGCATGCATCTGTCCATTCATCTGTCTGTCCATCTGTTCATTTGTCCATCCATGCATCCATCCACTCATCTCTCAAACAGCCCATCCATCCATCCATCCATCCATCATCCACCCATTCATTTATCTATCCATCCACCCATCTCTCCACTCATCCATCCATCTCTCCACTCATCCATTCATCCACCCATCCATCTATCCATTTGTCTATACACCTGTCCATCCATCTATCCACCCATCCATCTCTCCGTCTATCCATCTCTATCTGACCATGCATCTGTTCATGCATCCATACATCCATCTACCTGTCCATGTATCTCTCCACCCATCCATCCATCCGTCCACCCACCCATCTATCCATCTGTCCATCTGTCTCTCTCTGTTCATCCCTCTGTCCAACCCATTCATCCATCTCTCCATCTTTCATCAATGCGTCTCTTGTCTATCCATCCATCCATCCATCCACCCCTCATCCCTCCCTTCCCTCCATCTATCCATGCATCCCACACATGGTGGGTTCTGTTTCTTGGGGGAACCCTGACTCATGCAAGCCACCCCTTGCACCGGGGGAAGGCATGTACTCACTGTCCTTTTCATGCCAGCGTGCCGCGTGGAGATACTTTCCACAGTAATGAAACAGGAACTCATGTGCTGAGTGCTCAGCAGCCCCTCGAAGCAAGGGCACCAGGCTACGGCCATCAATCACCCTGATTCCATGAACAGACATAGGAAGGAATCAGACCAAGACCACTCAGGCTGTGTTGCACCTGTAAATGAAACTCTAACCTTGTAAGGGCCCCCCAACTAAGAGCAAGAACAGCACAGATGAGCTGTCTCTCTGATACTATGCAGATTGCAAGCTGCTGAGCAAGATGCATGTCATTGTTTTTAGACACAAAGTCACTAAGTTGTGGGGTCATTTGTTACACAGCACTACCGGCAACATTTTAAGACATAACAGATTCCAAAAGATGTCATACGTCCGCAGGAAGCGGATGAAGACAGCCAGTGATGGTCACATGACCTGGAGAGTCTTCCTTACAACAATTGATATTTAAAAAAAATCCTTGATCTGAATTTAATGTGCAAACATAGTGTTTTTCCTTACGGTTGTAAAGCACTTTTATTTTTAAAGAACTATTTTTTTATTTTTATTTATTTATGATAGTCACAGAGAGAGAGAGAGGCAGAGACACAGGCAGAGGGAGAAGCAGGCTCCATGCACCGGGAGCCCGACGTGGGATTCGATCCCGGGTCTCCGGGATCGCGCCCTGGGCCAAAGGCAGGCGCTAAACCGCTGCGCCATCCAAGGATCCCGTAAAGCACTTTTATTTTAATTATACCCTAATGATGACAGTTGCTGGGTTACAGTCTTCAGTGATTTGGTAAAACGCCAGTCTAAGGGTTGCTGTGAGGGCACTTGTTTTTTTAGAAATGGTTGACATCCACAGTCAGTGGGCTCTGTGCAAAACAGAGCCCATTCATAATGAGGGTGGGCCTCACCGAATCCGTTGACAGCCACCAAGAGCAAAGACGGGTTTTCCAGGGAAGATGGGATTTTGCCTCAAGATTGCAACACAGCAATCCTACCTGAGTTTGCAGCCTGATGGCCTGACGTAAGGATTTCAGTTTGCCAGCCTCCACAATTGCATGAGCCAATCCCTTAAGATAAATGTCTTATTTTATAAGCACAGACACGTACCTGCACTGGTTCCATCTCTCTCATACGGGAGTATTTATTTGCCCCTCTAAATGGAGTAAAATCCAATCATGATCAAAATATTTACTGCTTTGTTTTTATCTTGTGTTAGCAAGAGACTTTGGTCGTGTGCTAATATTGAGGTAATAAATCATTTTTTTAAAGCATGCTGTGAGAGCCTCACTAAAATATGGGCAAAAGTCCATTTCAGGAAATCATAGGGAGATGAGTTTCAACAGATCGACATCTAATGCTTTCAATCCCCCCATTGTTGTGCGCAGTTCTAAAATTTTACCAAAACAGCCAAACGAGAAGGACCCAATATTTTATATCATCACTCTTTGCCGAGTGTGATTATTTTGCATTAGGCTGTCCCCTCCATGCAAGGATGTGAGAACTTTAATCTCGTGGTAGGTTTTCTCATTACATGTGAAATAGTAAAGGATAGCTGTCAGGAATTGGGGCACGAGGGGGTCTCACTGCATGTGTACCTGTCCTGGGGCACCTCGCCGCCCCCCAGCTGGACCACGGTGGGGAAGACATCCATCAGGCTGGTGGGCTCGTGGATCACTCGGCCGGCTGGCAGCACCCCAGGCCACCGGAAGATCCCCGGGACGCGGATGCCGCCTTCCCAGCCCCCCATCCCTTTGCCACCTGTAAGTAAGTGCCATTAGAATTCTCCAGGAGATGGTCCCATCCACACACACACACACACACACACACACCTGGATACACCTGTCTGTCTCTGTCTATGGACCTGGGCACCCCTGCTCACAAATGCACACTTTAGCAACCTGCACCTCCCAAAATGTTTGCAGCAATAATTCCAGAACCTCGCCATACCCCCACAGGCAGGTGGAGTCCATATGCTCTCCTCTTGACATTCGATGAGTCTTTATGACCATTGGAACACACGGGGCGTGCAATGCGTGGCTTCAGAGGTGTAATGCATTGGGATTTCACAGTGTGCATGATCCTTCCTCTATCCTTTTTCTTTCTGGAAGGACTAGAAATTGGGTCTGGGACCCCCCTGCTTCTCTTCCTCTCCCACCTGCTTGCCATACCACCCACCTGTTCCTTTACTGCTTTTCCTGGTTATTCTTCATTTCTGGGATCCCTGGCAATGGGTTGGGGCCCAGATTGGCTCTTGGGGAAAGGCGTATAGGTACTGAGCATTAGACAACATGCTTACACTCCCTAGGAGCTCTGGGTATGGGAATTAAAGCCATCCTATGTTACAAAAGGAGACTTGTGAACAAGAAGGGTACATGTGTTCAGAGTCTTGCTAAATAAATGCAGCTTTGTTGCAGTTTGGAAACTGTAATAACGCACTCGCCTCGTCTGCCTTCGTTTTGCGCTGCTGCTGCTGCATAATAAGTTACTGTAAACCAGCAGCTTCACTCCTGTGTATTAGGTCTCAGTTCTGTACGTTGGGAGTCGGATGTGGCTTTGCAGCTACTCTGCTCTGGTCTCACAGTTGGAAATCAAGGTGTCGGCGGTTTGTAGAATATACTACTGGGAATGATGAGAATCATGAACCTATTACAGCTTCAGGATGTACACGGAAGACGGGGGAAAACATCCACTTCCAAGCCATAGGAACATATACAGTCGACCCTCATTACTCCCCAGAGTGATGTTCTACAAAGTCGCCACAAACACCCAGTTAGCAAATACTGAACCCCGACTTCCAGATTTAATACAGGGCTCAGTACCAGGGAGACTCTGTCCCTGTATTTGCTTCAGTCAATTGGTCTATTTTCGTATGTTTTGGTTTAAAGACCCCTTCTTGAGTAGATACTCCAATTCGTTTGCATTGACCTCATGGCCAACAGTGTGGGAACTCGCGTCTGGATGAAGCCAATCTAACGTACTTATTTTCTCCATACGGCCCATCGCAAGCTTCTTGCCCTTGGGAACAGAGCACAGCCCTTTGGCAGTACAGTTGGTGCCACTTGAAGCAGCAGAGTCATCAACAAAACCCAAACAAAACCACAAAAACATGGCCACTAAAGACACCACAAAAAGGACACGTGTGTATAGTCTGAGAGACGAAATGTAGGCAACAGGGTCGCCTCATCTGACCTTAGCTGAGAACGTGTGTGTCGGGCAATGAATGTTTTCACTGCTGTTCAAATGAGTGCAAAGACATTGCAAATACTGATTTTGGGGTTACAGATAAATTTTAGCAAGTAAATATGGAATCCACGAATCATGCAGAGTGACTGTATCAGATTTTTTTTTAATGGCAATATAGGGGCGCCTGGGTGGCTCAGCTGGCTAGGCATCTACCTTGGGCTCAGGTCATGATCTCGGGGTCCTGGGACCAAGCCCTGTGTCAGGCTCCCAGCTCAACAGAGAGCCTGCTTCTCCCTCTCACCCCCTGCTCATGCTATCTCTATCTCTCTCTCAAATAAATGAATAAAATATATTTAAAAATGGAAAAACAAAGGTATAATGCCCCCAATCTCGCATGACATAGTGGAATATGTAACTAAGCTTATGGTTACTGCCCTACCTTTGATTTAGGGTGGCATTTATTTTAATGTTATCTTATTTATTTGTATATCTCTCTCTTCCACTAAAATGTAAACCCTTGAAGGGAAGGGCGTATGTCTTATTTTCTCTCTCTTAACATCTGGATAGAATTTGGTGTATGGCAGCTGCTCAAGAAATCCACCTTTGAAAGTGCACACTTTTCCCCCTTCTGGTTGTTTTCCAACCTGTATTTCTGGGAGTCATTTGGTGGGTCATATATCTGCCTTTTAACCCCTGATATCCATTGGTCTCACCTCTGAATATTCCATTCCATCCCCCCAGCTGGCCACGTTCGTCTCTTGCCTCCAAATGTCCTCCATGATCAGAGGTAAAATAGGTGAATGTCGTGTTTTTCAAACCGTTTTCTTCAATGGCATTAAGGACTTCACCTTTGAAAGAATTGGAACATTTCACGACAGAGCCAGTGAAATAGCATCAGCGAATGCAACCCCAATTTGTCCTTTCTTGCTAGAAAGTCTCATAAGGGGACTCGGCAGTTGCCAGGACACCATCATTATGAATGTGATCACAAAGTGTGAGCCCCTATCTTGATTTTTCTGATACCACAAGATTCAGAATCTTGTTTACAAAGGTATCACAAATATAGAAAACAGAATAAACGCCTAGAGGCAGTATGCCAGGGATGGCGTGCTCTGAACATGCACTGCTGGGATGAATATGTGTGTCCGTAAAGAGTGCATGGGGGTGGGAACGTGCTGAGAAAGGATTTCATGGGAGACCCCTATTGAAATAGGAGGAAGTCAGAGCCATGAGCATCAATTTGTGGTGTTGGCATATGCAGGCCAAGGCTCAGGAGAGCAGAGCCAGCTATAAGCCCAGCCCTTGCTTTCTCTACGGAGACCAAATGCACATCTAAAGCACTGAAAGTAGAGATTTCAAACCACGTGGGCAGGTGCAGCAGTGGAAATGCGTGTTTTTAAAGCATTATGTAACCCACCCTCATGTTTTGAGGTTATTTGCCTCTTTACTGGTCTACTATAATCATCATGCTTCTCCCAGGACAATCATCTGGTCCTGCAAGAATTTAGATGTCTACGTTCTTTTAAGAATCTATATACACTTGAAATGCGGTAACCTTGTGTATCAACTATACTTCAATGTGAAAGCAAACAGAATCTACAAGGTCACTCACCGGATCTCTCCAGGCTTTCTCAAGGTCATTGGGGGGGGGGTTGGCGGTGCGGGGGGAAGCAATGTTGGTCTGTTGCCCTGAACAACAGCGTTCTTGCTTCCCTTTCTGTGATGTCACATGACAGCTTTAAATAATGCATTTTGTGGAAGGATGATTTGGTGCAGGAATGGATTGAGGAACCGGAAGTGCTGAAGGAGCATGTGAATGATACGGGGAAGTCTCCCCCTATTCTTTGCCTTTTGTCTTATTCTTTATTGCAACCCGGTTCATAGTCAGGAGGCCCATCTGTTACCAAAGTTGTGCGGTGAGGCCAAGGGTGAATGAGGGACGGCCGCACCTTGACTTACCTACAAGCCAATCCATCTCTTCCACGTTGTCACCATATAAGCCGTGCTGGCTTTTCCCAAGAAACTGTTTTGTGGTTACCAGGGGAATGTGTACATGCAGCAAGGACAAGAAGAGAAGAAATGGTTGGTGCTTATTTCTGAAAGAAGAAAAACATCCTTCAGATACAATGGCACCTGTTTCAACCCTGTTTGATCCATCTGAGTCCTTGAAACCCATCTCCCCATTGGGGCTGGTTTAAGAAATCCCAAAGATGGCAAAGAGACTCACTCAGGTGCTCTGAGAACTCACCTCCTCTTTAAAAATGGGAGGGTTTTATTACCTTTCAATATACGAAATGGCCTCCCGTAGCATGTGACTCGTCGTTCTTTCCAAATCCATGGGCTGCTCTGTGACGTCATGGTTTCTCATCAAGATACAGTTCCAACGGCGCACGAACCCAAAGCTGGCGTACCAGGAGACAAAGAAGAGGAAGACGAGGCTGGCCGCACCCAGAACTACCTTCCAGGGCACGGAGATTAACCCGCAAACCTTGCCAACAGCAATGGTCAGTACCGCCAGGGCCGCCATTTGGGTGGAAAGCCACAGCTTTGCTCTGGTGGTGGCGTCTACTTCCGGGGGCCTGTCTGGGTGACAGTCATTCACGAGTGTGAAAGGCATGCCATAAAAATAGTCAAATCCATGGTTCAGTGGGTGGTGGCAGTGGTCGGTACGGGATTCACAGTTTATACCCTGGTGCCATTTTCCTGAAAATAAGAGCAGAGGGGTAAAGAACACACACTGAAAGTACTCTTGAAGGAACTCTGCGTGCTACCGATCACCTTCTCAATAACTGCCGTGCTCCAATCAAAAGGATGCTATGCAAACAGCAAAATCTGAAATAGGAAAGGAACATAATAGGGACACCTGGGTGGCTCAGCAGTCGAGCATCTGCCTTTGGCTCAGGTCATCACCCCGGGGTCCCGGGATCGAGTCCCGCATCGGGCTCCCTGCAGGGAGCCTGCGTCTCCCTCTGCCTGTGTCTCTGCCTCTCTCTGGGTCTCTCATGAATAAATAAATAAAATCTTTTAAAAAAGGGACATAATAGAAATTCAAAATAGAAAGGAATAAAATGAATTTGTTTGATATAAAATGCATGGCACTACTAAACGAACGTGTGGAGTCATGATCGTTATCAAGAGATTGAAAGTTTAAGGGATCCCTGGGTGGCGCAGCGGTTTGGCGCCTGCCTTTGGCCCAGGGCGCGATCCTGGAGACCCGGGATCGAATCCCACGTCGGGCTCCCAGTGCGTGGAGCCTGCTTCTCCCTCTGCCTGTGTCTCTGCCTCTCTCTCTCTCACTGTATGACTATCATAAATAAATAAATAAAAAAAATTAAAAAAAAAGAGATTGAAAGTTTAAGATTTTCTGGACTGTTAGGAATTATAAGTTTGCAAGCTTAGACTATCCTGCTATTAAATAACTCAGAAAATATCATTTACTGATATTTCTTACTTAAAAGACAACCACTTGATAAAGGGGGTTGGCTCTAGAATAATCTGACAACAGAATAGAAGGAACTGGCTCACTCCACTAACTAGTGAGCAACAAATGCTTGTAATAGACTTTTTTCCAAAGGCAGTAAGTTTTATAAAATCATTGAGATGGAACATGAGGAGACCCATATGTCTAATTCTAGCAGGATATACAAGAATTGGGTTCTTCCTATTTTATGTGCTCCAGACACTCAGCCAGCTTAAATCTAGCTACAAAATAGGACAGAAAAGGGTCCAACATACTATTTGCCATAATTTCCAAGTGCAGAGGTTAAACCAGGTCCCCACCCTGTTCTTCCTTCCCATTACAGAGCATTGGTTTTAGTTCCAAGCCCAGGGACATCCCTTTGTACCCCCGCTTACATTTAAGGAAGCGAAAATGCCGGAATGGGTTGAAACGGGTGGAGAAGAAAAGTATCCAGGAGAGTCTCCTTCTCGTCCGCTTTCTACCATTTGGGACGTGAAGAACAGCCTTGTCTAAACGTAGATGAGGTGTGTGGACCAGAAGAATAAAGATTCACAGAAGGAACCGATACCCTGGTCCGTAGTTCCAGTAAACACTAAAGAAATCTACTTATCTAGTGTTAAAAACAATTCCACCCACAGAGTAGAAGATACATGGGTGGTTGTAGGGATGAAGGACATTGACCCAATGGCAGTGAGCTGGTAATGGAAAGTTCTAGTAACTAAGAAGCTTTGCTCTACGTCTTAAGATTGAAAAGAGAAATACAGGCAGTAGAGTAGATGCGCACAAAGTCCTTGAAAATGTCCCTGAAGAAGCGATAAGCTATGTCCTGAGTATCTATGTCTCCCCAAAATTCTTACATTGAGACCTGACCCTGAGGTTGATGGTATTTGGAGGCAGGACTTTGGGGGAGGAGGAGATCAAGTTCTAAGGCTGGAGCCTCCACGAATGGAATTAGCGCCCCAGAGAGACGGTCACTCCTTCTTCTCACGAGTGACACATGGAGAGAAGACGGTCATCTGTGAAGCAGGATGAGGGTCCTCACCAGACACGGAATCTGTCAGCCCGGGATCTTGGACTCCTCAGCCTCTGGAACTGTGGGTAGTAAATCTACATAATCTCTATTTCTAAAGTAGTAGGAAATTTTAAAAGGGGGGAAGGGTGATTACCCCTCCCTCGTCCTGACAAAGTGGGGGTGTCACGGTCCCCTCTAAACTCAACGGGGACTCTGAGTGTGGAAAAGCTGATGAAGACTCAAATGGGACCCCCTTGCACACGGATCTGACCCAGCCCTCCCTTGACCGAGGGGTCAGGGAAGACGCCGTCGTCATCTAGCCTCCGATTCCTGTAAGACGGGATACGACTTCTAAGCACACAGGCTGAGCAAGGAGTGAAAAGGGTCACAAGCGTCTGGCCCATGACGGGGGAGCGCCCATCTGCAAAGAAGTAACCTAGCAGGTGTCAGAGTGCCCTTCTCAGACAGGTGGTCTTACAGGGTTGGCCCTTGAACTAACGATGTCTGAGAACCAGCTCTCCAGAGGATTCCCATCATCCCCTACAGAATGACAGACGATCCAACAGTATGACTGGTCCAAGAGAGGTCACATGGGGCCAGCCCCTGATTTGGGTTCGGACACGTGACTTTTTGGCCCCGTAGGGAAACAAGTTCTTTTGATGGTTGACCGTCCTGCTCCCTGAACAATAGGAGTACCTATGAGGCCGGTTGCGTAACCTTGCTGCTGCAGGATTCTCGCAAATGTGGTTTCGTTCTTGGGGAGTCCGCCCGATGCCCCGTTCCACTGGAGGGCGCGGTACCCATCATGGGCTTCCATGCCTGTGGAGCAGAGCAGAGAGCACGCACTCACTCTCCCATGACTACAACACGGGTTCTCACCTGGGGAGGGGCCTGGCCCACGCCAGTGGACTCTTCACCCTGCTTGGGATTGGTCTGGGTGATCGCAGTTGAGGGAGGGATGCTACTGGCATGTGGTGGGTGGGGACACCCTAGCGTGCCCAGGATGTCCACACCACAGAGAACCATCCAGCCCAGATGTCAGCACTGCTGAGGTTGAGAAACCCTGTCTTAGAAGGAGAGATTGTGTCTCTATCTTTCTCTCTCTCTTCATCATCCAACCATCCATCCTCTCATCTATCGATCGATCCATCCATCGATCCATCCATCCATCCATCTACCTATCTATCCATCCACCGATTCTATATCTATCTATCTATCTATCTATCTATCTATCTATCCATCCATCCATCCAACCATCCATCTATCCATCCATTGATTCCTCTATCTATCTATCTATCTGTCTTTTTTTTTCTATCTATCTATCTATCTATCTATCTATCTATCTATCATCCATCAATCCATCCATCCATCGATTCTATTATCTATCTATCTATCTATCCATCCATCCATTGATTCTATTATCTATCCATCCATCCATCCATCCATCCATCCACCCATCGATTCTATTATCTATCTATCCATCCGTCCATCGATTCTATTATCTATCTATCCATCCATCCATCCATTTATCCATCCATCCATCCATCCATCCATCCAACCATCCATCTATCCATCCATCCACCTACCTACCCATCCATTGATTCCTCTATCTATCTATCTATCTATCTATCTATCTATCTATCTATCTAATCTAATCATCCCTCCATCTATCCATCTACCCACCCATCCATTCATCTTTCTATCCATCTATCCATCTATATTAATCTATCAATGCATCTATTATCCATCCATCCATCCATCCATCCATCCATCCATCCATCCATGTATCTATAATTTATCTATGTATCTCCCCAGCTATCAATCTATTAATATCACCTATCAATCTATTATCTATTTATCTATCTGCCTACCTACCTATCTCTATTGTCTCTCCATGATCTATCTGTGGCAGTGGCTCCCAACCAAAGGTAATTCTGCCCCGCGGGGAATCCTTGGCATTGCCTGGAGGCATTTTTGGTTGTCACAACTTGGTGGGGAGAGTGGCTGCTACTAGCATCTTGTGCATAGAGACCTGACCCCCAGCACCTCAGAATGCAACTGTATTTGAAGATACTTTAAAGAGGTATAAATGAGCTCACTGGGGTGGGCTTTGATCCCCATAGGACCAGGGTCCTTATAAGAAGATGAGGTGAGGACACAGACATGCACAGAGGGGCCACCACGTGAGGACACGGGGAGAACACGGCGTCTACATGCCCAGGAGAGAGGTCTCACAGGGAGCCAGTCCTGCCGACACCTGGATCCCAGGCTCCCAGCCTCCAAGATGGTGAGAAGATTCATGTCTGTTTAGGCTGCCCCATCTGTGGTACTCCATTTGGCTGCTCAGAGAATACAACAATATTCCAATACGTGGATACGCCAGTTTATTAACGCAGTCTTCCACTGATGAACTATATCTATGTCAGCACCTTACAGACTGTGGTGCCGTGAACATTCCCATTCCATCTTCTGCAGAACACGCACATGTGTACATGTTGGGCACGTACTTAGGCATTGCTGGGTCACGGCACGTGCGTGCATTCAGCTTCAGTAGACAATGACAAGCCATACCTGAAGTGCACCACACCAACGTCCTCCTTGTCCTCTAACTCATGCTTCTCTCTCATAAGGACCTTTGTGAGGACATGGAGCCACCTGGATAATCTAGAATAACGTTCCCATCTCAAGACCCTCCACTTAATCGCCTCTTCGAAGTCCCCTTGGCCATATAAGGAAATATTCCTCTAAACTAAAATATTTAAACCAATAAGTGTGATGTCAACCCAAACCAGCTACCCTTGGACAGGTTCGGCGTCTGAATTCCCAATCAACCCAATCATCGCGTGACTTACCTAAAACACAGTATTCATTCTTTTTACATAATTTCAGGGTGATGGCACCGCAGATGGTATCTGCACCATTTTCCCTGCATCTCAAGCATCGCTAATGATACCACGGGCAAGACATGAGTGGACGCAGATGTGCCCCCCTCTCGGTCGTCCCCACCACACTGACCTGATCTGAAGGAGTGCCTCCCCGTGAGGAAGGAAGATCTGCTGGGGGTGCAGAGGGGGGCGGCCGCCAGGTGCTGGGTGAGCCTCACGCCTTCCTCTGCAAGCCGGTCGATATTGGGTGTCCTGAGCAAACCACACACAAACATCCCTGTCAGGCGGGGGACGTGCTGACCAGGACCCCTGCACCGAGAAGTAGGGCGCGGAGCACACCAGTATTTCCTTAGGGTTTTACATAGGTAGCTGCCTATGGGGGTTCCACCCACCCACTCTGTGACCCCTGCAGCTTCTTTCCTGACGACTCTGTTCCTAAAGACACAGCGCCCCTCGCCCTGCTGTGTGCAAGCTGTTCTCTGTAGTCACTCGGCTGTGGCTTCCTGGCCCCTCGCCGGCCCAGAAGCCACAGCTGATGCTAGTACTCGACACCTGCTCCCCCGGGCAGCTGCTGGGGCCTGGCCACGCCTGTTTTCAAAGAACAGCTGTCAGTTAAGATTGCCCTGGCTGCTTTTGTCCCCTTTGACTCTTTTTGAAATTGTGAGCGACTGAAATATAAATGCTGTTATTAAAAATCACCCATTTCGGTATTAAGGTTGGGTGTTTTCAATAACCCAACTATTAAAATTTACTTTTTTTTTTTTACTAAGCTCTGAATATGAATTGCAAGGGCTTATAGGATTCTAGCAGCGAAGTATAATTATGTTAGCTCTGAGCTATGTCTCAGTTTACAGAAGTTCTATCTCTAGTTTGCTATCCAATGGTCGTCCATCTATTACCTACCGATCTATGTATCATGTATCTATCCATCCTTCCATCCGTCCATCCACTCATCTTTCCATTCATTCATCCTTTCACTCATCCGTCTTTCCATCCATCATCCACCCATCCACCTTTCCTTCCATCCATCAATCTTTCCATCCATCCTTCATCCACCAATGAATCCATCCATCCATCCTTCATCCATCCATTAAACCAACCATCCATCTTTCTGTCCATCTATCCATCCACCCACCCATCTTTCCATACACCCATCATTTGTCCACTCATCCAACCTTCCACCCATCAATCTTTCCACCCACCCTCATCCATCCATCCATTCATCCAACCTTCTACCCATCCATGTCTTCACCCATCCATCCACCCATCTTTCCAATCATCCATCCATATTGATGGAAATCCATCAATACTTCCATCCATCCATCCTTCACCCATTCATCCATCCATCGGTTCATTTCACCATCCATCAATCATTTATCTGTCTAGTATCTATCTCTCTTCTATCAAGTATTTATCTCTTACAGATGTCTTCATGATTATCTATACTGTGGAACAGAATGAAAAACATCACAGGTTTCAACCCCAGCATTGAAATCTTTCCTGCAGAACCTCATTCCTCTACTTGTTAAAACGCACCTTAAAACAGGAAAGATGCTGCTAGTGATTTTAAATTCTCTGCTTCTCAGTCAATGTACGTCATCTCCCTCTTTCCCTAACCAAGTTGATTGGCAAATATAATCCTGAAATACTACACTCAAGTGCCTTTCATTTTTTATGCATTCTTTTTGTTTAAAATAACTCTCTGGCATGTGGGATCAGATATTTTTATTTAAAAAACAGAGGGAAAAAAAAGCAGAAAGAATAAGAGTTCTGAGAATGATATTAATATGCTGAGGAATAGCCCAGTGACTCTCAGCAAAGGAATGGAGGGGCAGGGCATAAATGCGACTTTCCCGAGAGAAGAGATATCTTTTCTTCCTATGATGGTAATAAAACGGGCAGGTTCCACGTTATCTAGAGAGTTGGCTATATCGTTAACACATGCCTGGTGTGGATTTGCTGTTAGAGCATCAGGGGTCACTTCCGTGTTTTGCATTATGGGGCCAGAAAGAAACATGGAGATCATCCAATGGCCTTACATCAAGAAGGGAAACTGAGGCTGGACATGTGACTGATGGCACAGCTATTCAGAGGCAGGTTGAGGGGGCCACAGAGCCAGTTCCGGGGCTCCCTCTTCTGTCCTGAACTCCTATCCCCCTGACCCTCAGCGGCTACACATTCATTACACACCTCATGGGTTCTTGAGGCCCCTTTCTTACGAGGCAAGATACGAAACGGAGCTGGTGTGGCCCACACGAGCGAGCGGAGGGATTGACAAGGAGGATGTCTGAGCCCTGATTTCGAGCACAACCGTCTTATAGGGTATTTAGGCACGCACGGCAAATACTGTGGTTGCTAGAAATGATTCGAGGGGACGGATTTACTAGTGAAGAGCGGCTTATGTGATGTGCGACAGAAGTCGGAATGATTCCATAGCAAATCACTGAAGGACGAAGGCAAAGATGGCTTATGGGACATGGAGCCAAAGACAGTTTCCCTCAGGCAGGTGGTTCTTACACGCAAGTTAAGTCTTCACCTGTCAGCCTTGATAGCTTACTTTGGCAGGATTTTTAAAGGGGGGTGTGGCCTGCCCGTGTTGGGGTGGGTGGACGTGCAGTGTAGACAACATTTTGAAGACCAGCAAAGTGTAGTAGGTTTGGGCAGAATGGCCACGTTTCTTACAGGTGCATCGCGAGGGGCACGGCCCCACATCCCTAAGTGGCATGCTGCAACTCGTGTGGCTGGTTGGCCCAATGTCTTCATCAACGAGCCAATGAGTTAAATTAAGAGAACATCTTTGCTGGCTTTAGGATGTCCCCAAAGATTGTCCTTGCACTGCCAGTATTTTAGCTGGAAGGAGAAACACTAGACATAAAAATCATGGGTGCCGACCCCCTAGGGGTGGTAATGGGAATGCAGCCCCAGTTTCTTGATTTCTTAATGGCTTATGTTTGCTGAACCCAAACCAGCAGCCCACAAAAGGTCCTGAGGGGTTAGGAATTCATCATATATGAATTCTGGGGACACCCTTCAGTCCATAACAGGGCATGATGGCTCAGAGAGTGCAAGGCGTTCCTTGGGGGTGTGAAAATATTCTAAAATGCATCGTGGTGATGGATGCACATCTCTGAAAATGCCAGAAGCCAGTGAACTGTCCACTTTCACTGGGTGAAGGATCTGTTCTGGCAGATGTAAGTGGGCAGGGTCAGCGTGGGGAAGGAAGGTCCCTGGACACACAGGCCAGATTTCTGCTGATGTTAGAGGGGCTGTGACCAAAGGGGGGTGGGGTGGGCCTCTGCAGGCCAGTCCCAAGGTGGGCAGCTATTCCAAGGCAGGTTGTGTGACGTTGGGGTGGTGGTCTTCCTAAAAGAAACGGAATGAGGTGCTTTCCTACCTTTTCTCCTCTTGCTGCATCGAGCCTGCAAACATCACCGTACACTTGTTTGCCACCAGGGATGGCCTAGGAGCCTGCATACTGTGAATGTGCAATCAGCGCCCGCTAAGGTGGGTGAATAGCAGCCCCCAGGGCAGATCCGCCTGGCCTAATCCACTAGGGTGGGGGGGCCTTACTTGGAAATGGGGTCTTTACAGGTGTAATTAGGTAAGGATCTAATGATGAGCTCATCTGGGATGAGGATGAGCCCTACAGGCAATGACAAGGGTCCTCGTAAGAGACAGAGGAGGAGATACAGATGCAGAGGAGGATGGAGGCGGAGACTGGAGGGATGTGGTCACCAGCCGGGGAGGCCTGGGGCCCCAGATGCCAGAAGAGGCGGGAGGGACCCTCCCTGGAGCTCCCCCAAGAGGGGGAGCGTGTCTCCCCCACTGGGCCTCCATCTCAGACATCTGGTTTCCAGGACTGAGACAGAATAAATTCCTCTTGTCTACACTTACTCCTGTGGGGCCCTGTGTTAGGGCAGCCCTACGAATGAATCAAATACCCCCACCCACCAGAGTGCCCTGTCTGAAAATATCAGTTTGGCACCCTGCTTCCCTGCCAAAAAATCATTTCTTCGCTCTTCACTCTGAGGCACTAAGGAGTTTCCCACTACAGGCAGGTTTTAAGCGCATCATTCAGCGCCGTGTACCCCCCTACGCCTGGGCATACCCAGGACCCCCAGCATACTGTACCTGAGGGTGCTGTTCCCATAGCAACCAAGATCCCCAATGCCAAGATCATCTGCCATTATCAGTAGAATATTGGGTTTGAAGGCATTTGCTGCTTTTAAGTGACACGTCCCCGGGAGCAAACACAGGAGGAGGAGAGGCCACCAGGAGTGCCTGCAGAGACAAGCCGGCGGCCAAAAGTAAGGTCTCGGGTTTACGTGCGACGTTAAGCCGGCCTGGCCTCCCGAAGCAGCTTGCTGGGGCGGCACGTGGTGCCGCTAGGTGCGAGGTTGGGATTTACTGACGGAGCCGTCTCCTGTGCGTTCTGCCTCCTTTTGCTCTGATTGCTCCCGATACTGACACCCCCCGCAGGACACCCCGCAGGACCCCCCCCCCGGGAGGACCCCCGCAGGACCCTCCACAGGACCCACATCAGGACCCCCCGGAGGACCCCCCCCCCGCAGGACCCACTGCAGGACCTTCCCCAGGACCCCCCGCAGGACCCCCCACAGGACCCACCGAAGGACCGCTCCGCAAGACCCCCCGCAGGACCCTCCCCAGGACCCCTCATAGGACCCCCCCCCCGCAGGACCCCCGCAAGACCCGTGTGCCCCAGTGAAGTGTCTTGCGCGGAAGGAAGCCCTTAGTGCCCCCCTCCCGACCCTTGGTAACCCCGCTCCTTCTGGGAGTGCCCTCGCTAAAGGGTAGGGTCGCCTCCCCGGATCGCGCCCTCCTGCCTCCCCGGCTGCCCAGGTGTCCCCGTCCCTCCCCGGGGCGACCCCCCGGGACGCAGGCCGGCCCAGAGGTCGCCGCAAGGGCGGACACGCACTTTCTAAGGAGGAATGTGGGGGGGCCCGGGGCGCCCTGGTCCCCGTTCCTGGCTCCAAGCTGGCGGCTCCAGCGTGCCCGCGGCCCCCGGCGGGGTCCCCCCGTCGCGCCCGGAGGCTGGGGGCCGGGGTCTGGGGTGGCCGCGGCGGGACAGGCCGTGGGCGCAGCGTTCGGGGGCGGCCGCAACCCGGGAGGGGGCCCGGCGCGTCGGGGGGGGGGCGCGGCGGGCACGGGGCACGGCTGCGCTCCGCCCAGGGGTCGCGGGGGCTGCGCGGGCCCCAGGGTCGCGGTGCGAGGCCAGCGCCGCGCCAGGGCTGGGGTCGGGCGGGGCCGGGGCGGGAGCGAGCCGCGCGGAGGAAGGAAGCGGCGCGCTGCGGGGCGGGACCTGGGGGTGGGACCGGACGTGCCACCGAGTCGGGGAGGGCGGGGGGGGGCGGGGGCGGGGAGCGGAACCCGGCGGGGAGGGAGGGAGGGAGGGAGCGGGGTGGGGGTGCAGACGGAACGGGGGGGAGGAGTGCCTGCCTCGGAGAGTGGGCTCTGGGGACCAGGCCGCGCTCCGGGGGGCAGAGAGTGGGGGGAGGGGACACTGGGGCCAAGGGAGCGTGTCCGGGCGGTGGGGGCGGTGGGGACCCGGCCTCTCCGGGGGGGTGGGGACAGGGTCATGGAGGGAGGGGACACTGGGGGCCAAGGGAGCGCGTGGGGGCGGTGGGGACCCGGCCTCTCCGGGGGGGGGGACAGGGAGTGGGGGGGACAGGGTCATGGAGGGAGGGGACACTGGGGCCAAGGGAGCGCGCGGGGGTTGGTGGGGACCCGGCCTCGCTCTTGGGGGGGGCCGCAGGGTCGTAGAGGGAGGGGACACTGGGGCCAAGGGAGCGCGTGGGGGCGGTGGGGACCCGGCCGCGCTCTGCCCGGGGGTGCCCTCTCTGTCCCCCCACCCCCCGGGTCCCTCCGTTTGTGTCCCCCCCGACCCTCCAGCGCCAGCTCTCCAGTCCCGCGTCCCTGCGACTGCGACACGGACGCCTCCCCGCGATTTGGCGACTCCCGGGGCTCACCCCGCCCGCCCTGCCGCCCCGGGGGCCGCGCTCCCCCGTGTGCACCCCCCGCCCCCTTCCCCGGGCCCCGCGCACCTGGCAGCGGGCGCGCCGCGTCCCCCGGGAGCCCCGGGAGTCCCGGGAGCCATGGCCGCGAGCGCACGGGGCGCGCAGGACCTTGGCCCTCGGCGCCCGTCCCGCCTACGCGCCGCACCTCCTGCGGCCCCGGGGCTTCCGGGAACCGATCCTGCAAACCTGTTTCCGCGGGGCCCTGGCGCACCCCCGGGACACTGGGGTGCAGGCCCCATGGGGAATGTCGGCCGGCGAGCCCCTTTCTTGCAGCAAGCGCTGCAGCGCGCGTGCCCTGGGGCCGTGGGTCAGACCCTGCCCCGGGGACTCTCCCTCGGGGCCTTCCTGGTGCCCGCATCCCCGCCCTGCCCCCCATGACCCGCTCCCCATGACCTGCCCCGACTTCTCCGTTTCCCTTCCCAACTCCCATCTGCGCGTTGGGGAGACAATGCTTGGGAATTCAGCTTTCCCAAAGTGTGTGTGTGTGTGTTGGGGCGGTGGGGGGGGGGGGGGGCTGCCCTAAGTGCCCTGGAGGCTGTTCCTTGAAAACTCTGCGAAGGGTGTGTTTGGAGAAAGACCTGTGCGCCTTGGAATTGGCAGAGGCCTCTGGGCAGGAACCCACCCTGCTGCCCGCACCTTGGTCCCGGCTTGCCGCCTCCAGAGCTTGGAAAGGATGAGGGCGAGGCCTAAGCTGCCACCCTGCTGGTTGTCTAGCACACAGGCTAGCTGGGACCCAGTGTAATAACCTGCCCTGAAAAGGGGAGACCCCGGGGAGATCCCTGGGTGACTCAGCAGTTTGGCCCAGGGCTCGATCCTGGGGTCCGGGGATTGGGTCCCCCGTTGGGCTCCCGGCATGGGGCCTGCTTCTCCCTCCTCCTGTGTCTCTGCCTCTCTCTCTCTCTCTCTATCATAAATAAATAAATAAATAAGCAAACAAACAAACAAACATTAAAAAAAAAAAGAAGGGGAGACCCGGGGACCAACTCAGAGTGTCGGTTTATTATTTTCAGCGTCGAGGAGAAAAAAGACACTTCAAACAGGGCCTCTTCAAGTGATTCTTGAGCACATGCCCTGGTGACTTAGGGAAGCCCAGAACTGGGGGGCCGTCCTGGGTATTCGGTGTCAGGCTCTGCACTGGGAGGTCACTGCATGAGGACCCGGCTCAGCGCACTGGACGTGCCCAGGTCGGGCCTCCAGCAGGATGGGGATCTTCCCCCAGGCCCCACAGCCAACGACGTCTCTGCGCACGCGAACCCCTACTCCGTACGACACAGGAATAGCTTCCACTGGGGCTGTGCACTCTTGGTGGGGTCCCACCAAACGGATGGGGCTGGGGTCCGCTGGTGGAAATGCCCATGGCAGGACGGGCTTTGCTCCCCACTCCCTTGTTGCCAGGCCTGAACGACCCCTCCTGGCTCGTGTTGCCGTGACGAGCGCACGCCCCTGCCTCTTCCTTGTACCTCTGCGTTTTGAAGGGCACAACTGTTCCACTCATGGAAATGGACGCTTAACTTCAGATGGGGGTTTAATTTCCACCGGCAACAAAGGGCAGGGGTTGGGGTAGGGGGGACCCAGCTGTCCTGCCGGGCAGTTACCGTGGGTCGCCTTCCCGGTCACACCAGCACAGGGGGAACTGGCCACAGCACGGCTGCAGCCAGGGCCTCCAGATGTTGCCCAGCGTATCCAGCTGCAGCGGAACTGGGATGAGGGTCCGGCGATGCTCCTCCACGGCCCGAGCCACTGTGTCCATCACGTGATAGAACGAGGGCTCCGTGTCCGGAGTGAGGGCGTGGGCTTCAGAAGGGTCTCTGGACAGGTCGAAGAGCAAAGGTGGGTCGTGATGGGCTACCTGGTCCCCGGAGCAGGGACAGACCCCTCTCCCATAGCAGGCGCCGGCTCCGTCTGGGTGGAACAGTGGGGTCGTGTAGTGGACCTTCCACAGTCTTCCTCCTGAGGGAAGGACAAGGATGTCAGGGGGCTCACGTGGAGACATAGAATGTGTTGCTGGAGACAGGCCCATGTGTCCTTGAAGCGAGGAATGGATAAGCAGATAAGCAGCTGTGGGCCAGCCCCGCAATGGGATGGCATTCTGCCATAAAGGTCAATGGAGCTCTGACATAAACCTCAAAAACGGGATGCTCCGTGAGAGAAGCCAGACACACGAGGCCACAGAGTGTGCGATCCCAGTTGTATGAGGCGTCCACAACAGGCAAATCCATAGACCCAGAAAGTAGAAGGGTGGATACCAGTGCCTGGGTGGGAGAATGGGCAGTGGGAGCTAATGGGGACCGGGTCTCTGGAGGAATGGGATGTTCTGGAACTAGGCACAGATGATGTCTGCACAACATGTTGAATGTGCTAAATGCCCCCAAGCTGTACATTTTAAAAGATTGAGTCTTACAGTATGTGAATGTTACGCACCGAATTTGCGTGCCTCCAAAATTCATATATGGCAGCCCTGACCCCCAACAGGATGGAACCAGGAGGTGGTCGTTGGGAGGTTAACAGGTCACGAGGACAGAGCCCTCAGAAATGGGATGAGCTCTGACAAGTGTCAGGACAGAGCTTTGCTTCCCTTGTGTCTCTCCACCATGTGGGGACACAGCAAGAAGGTGGCCATCTACCACCCAGCAGGTGTCTGTTGTCTGGAAGCCACCAGTCTGTCCCGAGCTAAGATGGAATCACAGCTCGGGAAAACTGTTGGCAAAGGAGTGAGCTCCTCCTGTCATAGGTTGTCCCAGGCAGGATGCTCAGAGGCTTAAAATGGCACCAGTGAGTCTGGGGAAGCCATGTGTGTCACTGGAGGGTAGAGAGGACTCTAGTGGCCCTGCCTCCTCCAGGGGCAGAAAGACCAGGAAGCAGGGACAGATATGGGTCACAGCTGCTCCTGGGATCAGGAGAAGGAGGCCAGGAAGCACGGCCCCTCCCTAGCAAGTGTGTGCAAGCAGGAGGGCATGCCCCCTCCTTCTTACGCCCTGCCTGAGTCCTGCTTCCTGGGGCTGGTGCCCCTGTGCTTTGGTGTTTACAGACCTGCACCCTGTGATTAACATCTCTGTCCTCTGTCCACCTCTGAGCACTTAGGGTGACCTAGCAGCTCCCAGTCTGCTCGCTTGAGACATGGGCATAGCCTTTGTCATCTACCATTGTCTCCAGGGTGAAATGGAATACCCTCCGTCACCTGCTCAATAAAGGTCAGTCACGACTTCCATAATCCAGCAAATGTGTTAAGAACAAAGAGAAGAGAGATTAAGTCTCAGTGAGTGGAAACAGACCAGATAGTGGTAAACATACACAAATAAGGAAACTGTGAAGTGCAAAATGCCTGGGGAAAAAATGCAACTGGTCCAGGTGGCAGGAGGTGATGGTGGAGGTAGGTGTGAGTGTGTGGGGCGCATGGGTGTAGGGGGACTCGTTTGGGTCAAGAAAGCCTTGCTGGGAAGGTAATTTTGCATTTGACCATCAAGAATGAGCCAGTCACATGGAGATCCAGTCGCCCTACGAGTGTTCTGAGATGGGGAGGGCCTCGCTCATAGTACAAGGACGAATTTATCCTGATGTGTGTGTGCAATGGGGGTCTTGGGATGATTTTCAGCAGGGGGTTAAGTGGATCATGCATGTAGGATAAACAGGAGACCTCTGGAGGCCACTCAGGGGTACCACTGAAGAGGCTTGGGCCGTGGGAATACACTCTAGTCACCATTAAAAAAATATAGAAATATTCGCCCAATAACAGAGATGACAGGTCAGTGATGGGCTAGCCACAATGTAAAAGAACAGATTTGAACACTGGACCCGGTTATCTGTGCTGCTAGGCATGCATGGTTGTAGACTGGGCTGTACAGTGGAATGACGGTTTTTAGAAAACCCTCAAAAAGGGAAGGAGATGTGTAATAAATGATTTTAAAGAACCAAAAATGTAGCAATAAAAGTCATACCAGATTACAATGATATTGAAAAGAATGGATGAAAAGGAGGGACATTCAAAGAAAAAGAAAAAAAAGACGGCTCTTAAATAAGGGAAATCCCAAGAGGTATGCCTTCACTCTTGATTCACACAGCTGGAGGCTTCTAAGAGAATGGTTTTGAGGAATGGAAAGGTAAGAGATAAATCACAAGGAGAATACGGCTCTTCCCAAACACCAGAGGAAGAAAAGAATCATAAAACCTACGCAATCACAAAGTCACACATCCAATCAATCGTAGGGCAAATCCAAAAGAGAGGAGAAAATATCAGCACGTGGCAAAATAATAGGGAACTAGAAATCAAGAAAAGTCACTCAATTAGGCGAAACTCTGTTATCAGAAGGCAAAGGTAGCGGCAGAAATCAGCTGCGTATAAAATTTAAAAATAACAGTTTTTGAGCAGATGCAAGAACTGGATTTTCGAACGAAAAATGACGCCTAAAAACAGAAAACCTCTGGATATGCCAGTTAGGTGAAGATGGAAAATAGATTCATATAAACGTGGAGGCAAATGAAATACAGTGAGATTACTTGGGACGGGAGAAACTGTGCTTGATGAAATGGATATTTTTGAAATAAGAAGAATAAGTGGAGGGACATAACATGTTTCAGTTGGGAAAATCCGATATTGTGAAGATAACCAGTCTTCTCCCTGAGTAGAATTTACACATGGGATGCAAAGCCAATTCATATTTCCATAGGATTTTTAAATAATCTAGCTGTAAATTTTTTTTAAAAAAATGATTTTACAGTTATTTTAAAAGCCCAGTTGGGCCAAAACAGCCCAGGAAATTTCTAAGTACAGAGATTATTCCGCACGGACGTTGCTGCTTATATCACAAAGTTATGATCATTACAACAAGGATGTGATGGAGTCATTGAGTTACGGTGGTTGAGACGGGTGGAAACCAATGCTGTTAAGGGCAGAGGCTTCGAAGGGGGAGAGGCAGACTGGAGCACTGGTGCGCAGGAAAGCCATATAAAAATCCCGTAAGCGACGGTAATGGGGTGCTAAGGTGACTGGCGGCTTGCATTAGCAAGGATGTTGCTGATGTCAGGAAAAATTAGTGCCAAGAAACAGAGAAAAGGGCTGGTGTGAAGCAGAGCCACGGGAGCAGAGGCCAAGATGCGACTCAGTCACCCAGAGTACTCACCGTCCCGTTGGCGCCAGCGGGCTGCGTGCAGGAAATTCTCGCAGTAGTGCAGCAGGAACTCGTGGCCAGAGTGTTGCGCTGTCCCCAGCAGCAAGGGCAGCAGGTCCCGGCCATCGATCACCCTGCAGACAGGAGCACGGAGACTCACGGATGCTGCAAGTGCGCACACAAGGCACGCGCGAGCCTTAGCGAGCTTGGGGAAGCATTGAAACCACCACTCCCATTACTCGTCTACAGGCATCAGCTTTGGCTACAAGAGCCCCGAGGATCCGACATGGACATGCTCGGCTTAAGGTATCACCTTCCCAGCCTTATTATGAATGCAAGAAAAAGCTGAGGATTCCGTGAAATGCCTTTTTGGTCTTACACTCTATTGGGCTCTAAGCCATTAAGGGATATGGTGCGTTCTTCATCAACACCGGGTACCATTCCCTTGTCTGCCTCCGAAGCCCCTCCTCCACGCCTGCCTGCCTTGTCTTCCCCCCCTTTCCCACTTCCTCGTCTTCTTCAGTTTCCATGATCCAGCTCCAGTCCCATTCAGGATGGGTGGAGGTTTCTTGGGATCCCACTTGCACTTTTCTCCACCCTTCTTAGGAGAAAGCCCAAATCTACCACTTGTGATTTGCAGGGATGGCCCTGAGCATTTTCTGTCCCAGTGACCTGGTCAGTTTTCAGGATCAAAAGTAAATCATCAATATTGAGGATAGATTTTTACAGATGTAAAAGTCTCAAATCTAAAGGGATCTTTAGATCTAAAAAATCTAATCTAATCTTAAAAATCTAATCTAATCTAAAAACTCTAATCTAAAAAGGGATCTTTCTCTGCAATTTGACCAATGTTCTTTATCAAGGTAGAGAATTCAGAACCCCAAGTAGACTTTGCTTAGAGTCACTAATTATCATGAAAATGAAATAAAAGAATCTATCAACAACATGGATGTGCGTGCATACACGTGTATACATATATATAATCACACCTTCAAATATATGTATTCATATACACACAAGCACATATATATGCACACACTATGTGGCTGTATTTATTTTACCTTCTAGTGCAACAACACATTCGCAATATACATGTCACATAAATTTCTATTTTTAAAGCAAGTGATACATTATAACTTAATTTAAAAATAAGCATGGGGCAGCCCTGGGTGGCTCAGCGGTTTAGCGCCGCCTTCAGCCCAGGGTGTGATCCTGGAGACCCGGGATCGAGTCCCGCGTCGGGCTCCCTGCATGGAGCCTGCTTCTCCCTCTGCCTGTGTCTCTGTCTCTCTCTCTCTCTGTGTGTCTCTCATGAATAAATAAATAAAATCTTTTAAAAAATTAAAATAAATAATAAAAATTAGCATCCAATTAGGGGGAAAAAATGAAAAAAGATATGATATTCAGTGCAAGAAAAAACAGAATGTTAAGGTGAAATAGTCAACCTCTCTAGTGATAAAACAGTGAAAATTACAATACACACATATATGTATGTTTGTACACACACATATGAGGAACCTATGCAGGAATTTATATTTATTTTAGTTCTATTATGTTTTAAAATAGACATCTCCCTTATGGCTGGTGGTGATCCCCAAGGAACAATTTGACAAAACATATCGAGAGATTTACCTATAAATGGCCATATTCTTTGACTCAGGAATTTACGTTCTAAAGGATTCTTACTAAGGAAGTAATTATGACAGGCAGCAACATGACAAGATAGTGGTTATTTTTGTTGTTGTTTGTTTTTTTACGGCAAGGCTAGTGTCCAACTATAAGGGGATGGTTGAAAGAAAATGCCACGAAGGCATTAAATTCTTTATTTATTAATTAAATATTAATTATTAAATATTTATTTAGAGGCACAAGGACCTCTAAGTCTCTCTCTATATATTTACATAAATACATATAAACTATGGAAAATCTATCTAAAAGATATATCTAAATCTGCATATCTAGGGATCCCTGGGTGGCGCAGTGGTTTGGCGCCTGCCTTTGGCCCAGGGCGCGATCCTGGAGACCCGGGATCGAATCCCACGTCGGGCTCCCGGTGCATGGAGCCTGCTTCTCCCTCCGCCTGTGTCTCTGCCTCTCTCTCTCTCTCTGTGACTATCATAAATAAATAAAAATTAAAAAAAATAAATCTGCATATCTAGATAGATCTAGATGTAGATCTAGATACATGATATGTATCGTACAATTTGTAATTGTCTGAGGATCATTTATCATGCGATTGCATAATAATTATATGATTGTATACATAATTATCAGATTATGACATAATTTTATTTTCTACTCCCCCACCCTAAATTTTCTGTAATTTTTAAGACAAAGGAAAATTGGAATCTAAAATCTCTACCGCAGTACGTGAAAAGGAGTTTCCTGTGATGAATTGTTACCTTTTTCAATGACCGCCATAATGAAATGCCTCCACTTAAGAATCGGGAGAGGAGAAGTGGATTCGTACGTATAAAATGAAGCAGACAGCTGACCCCTGTCGCTAATAACAGGGAGCCTAGAGTGTTGTCCCAGATACTCATTTCATGGATGTGCCATGCAATACAAGAAGGACAATGACATTTCACAGACATGTTTCTGTGCCAAATTGAGTTGCTAGGGTTCCCTGGGCTGTCTGTACCTGTCCTGGGGCACCTCGCCGCCCCCCAGCTGGACCACGGTGGGGAAAACATCCATCAGGCTGGTGGGCTCGTGGATGATGCGGCCGGCCTGCAGCACCCCAGGCCACCGGAAGATCCCTGGGACGCGGATTCCACCTTCCCAGCCCCCCATCCCTTTGCCACCTGTGTGTAAACATGAACAGAAAAGAATATGATTGTTCCATGTTTTTTTTTTTTTTGGCAGCGTGTTTTACGATCTTTGGGGGGGGCGGGGTACATCCAAGGATGATGTGTCTCTAGTTGATAGGATTCCAGTTTGAATATGATGTGGCTGCCGTGGCACCCACTCTGCTTGGATGCATTGCCTAATTCCTGAGTCCATCACTTGATGGAGGGATAATCAAAATGTGGTCCATCCGTACAAAGGAAGGTTATTCAACCATGAAAAGGAATGAAGCAGTTAACACTTGTCAAAATGTGGATGAACCTGGAAAACGGTGAAGGAAGCTGGTAGCCAAGGACCGCATCCTGCATGGCTCCATTTACCTGACATGGTTACGATGGGGAAATACACCGAGACTGAAATAAGTTGGTGCTTGCCCGGGGCTGGGCGAAGGAGGAACCGGGGAATGACTGCAAATGGGTACTGAGTCTCTTTTTGAGGAGGTGACCATGTTCTGCAATTCAGCGGTGGTGACGGTTGCACAATTCCGTGAATATACCAAAACCCACGGCATTGTGCAAAAGGAAAAAAAAAAAACACACCCACACAACAGATTTGACCATGACAAATTGTCATTTCCACCCTGAATCGCAAAGCAAAGTCCCTGGTGATTCTCTTGAAGTGGGTGGCCCCATTCCATAGGAAGGGTTGGGAACTGTAGGATGGGGATAAAGACCATACACAAGGATCGGGTCATCTCTCTACCTTTGTAGATTCCATTCCAGCCGCCATATTGCTCCTTTCCGAGTTGGGCCTCTAAAGATCCCCCGTGATCCGACGTAAAATAAACAAGCGTGCTGTTGGTCAACCCTTCCATATCCAAAGTATCAAGGATCTGCCCTGCAGAGGATACATGCATTTGAGCCGGTCAAAATGGAAGAGGGTCTGAAACCAAAGTATTCAGCGTGTGCTTCAGCATTCTGGATCTTTCCGTGAGAATGAGCCTTTAGCGTTAACATTTAATGGGGGTGAGCAGCGGTAGAATCATGCTGACCCAAGATTCATATACGCCCTTAGATACACCCCATCCTGCTTCCAAAAAGTTTAAGGCAAGCTGTAGGGCATACACTACATAGGACAACATAGCAAAGTCTTAAAAAGGAGGTAGAAGAAGATTATAGAGTCAATCATACTTCAATTTTAAAAAAAGGAAAGAGGGGAGAAAAAAAAAAAGAAGGAGATCGAGGGGCTCTAGGAAGAAGGCTGACAATGGCACTGGCGACATGTGTCCATTGATGAAGAATAGTTTACACCTCTGGCTCCAGGTGTCTTATAGTCACCTCAAAGGGAAAGCTTATGGTTGATGCAATTTGCCATGTCCATGAGATTTTTTTTTTTTAACCGGACGAGAAGAATCATATTATTTTATTTCTAACAATGGACCAGGCTTTTAATCTGCCCCCTGTCATGAGGACCGGACACCGTGAAAGTTGACTATGGTCTCAAATAGATCCTGTTTTTGGATAGCTTTTACTGTGACCTAATCTGTGCCTTTAGATCTAAACAGCATGTCTTTTGGGTTCCGGTCTTGCTTTTTTTTTTTTTTAATTTTTATTTATTTATGATAGTCACACAGAGAGAGAGAGAGAGAGAGAGAGGCAGAGACACAGGCAGAGGGAGAAGCAGGCTCCATGCACCGGGAGCCCGACGTGGGATTCGATCCCGGGTCTCCAGGATCGTGCCCTGGGCCAAAGGCAGGCGCCAAACCGCTGCGCCACCCAGGGATCCCCCGGTCTTGCTTTTTGATACGGTCTGATGATCCTGCATTTTATTGGTTCGATTGAGCGCAATTAAGACAATTGTCCATTCACTTAACTTTAAATTAACCATGTCATTATTTTTGCTCTTTCTTGGTCTCACCCACGGTTCAACCATTTCTTTGTTTTCAGGTGCTTTGTTTTGGACACAGATTTGTGAATTTGCGGTTCTACTAAATCCCCCTCCTTAAATTAATAATATTTTTATTTATTTATTTATTTATTTATTTATTTATTTATGTATTTTAATATTTTTAGAACAGCTTTGGGTTTTATGGGTAAGCCGAGTCTTCGTGTCATCAGTGAGCCAATAGTGACACGTTACTATTAACCAAAGTCTGTAGTTTCTGTGGTAGTTCGCTCTTGGCGTTGTACATTTTAAGGGTTTTGATCAATGCATAATGCTATGCATCCAGCATTATAGTATCAGACAAAATAGATTCTCTGTCCTAAAAATCCCTTCTCCTTCACCTACCTGCACCAGGACAACGGTTTTCATTTAAAAAATGATCATACTGTGGCTTGATTGAGTTTGAAACTGGAACACAGAGGCACGGAAGCCATAGAGAAGATTCTAGAAATACGGCTTCAGAGTTCCTTATCTTGAGGGACTTAGGGTTTTTTTTTTTTTTTTTTTTAAACTCTGTACTGGAGAATTTCAGACTTTATCATCCAGTACGTGTTCTACTACCTACATCCTCACCTATATTCACGGAAAAAGGGTTTCCCTCAACGTGCGTCATGGTGAATTGTGTTTTAGACACTTAATATTTGGTATCACATAAAACAGCCTGTATCTTCCAGAGATTCTTAATCTCTTCCACACAAGGACCATACATAGTGCAGCACTGAGTGAGTTTGTCCTGAAGCCCCACTAGGGATGTGATGTGACATTGCTCTTTGCCTACGTGTCTCCCAACGTCCAGCATTTCCCCCAACAATTCACTCAAATATAATGCATTTTCCTCCAAGTTGATGTTTTCAACAGATTTTTAAAAGTATGTTTTCTCCTGAAATCTCTGATTCCCATGCTGCTGTAGCTCCTGGCCCTCTCTGTCTGCCACTACATCAACCCAGGGGCACCCAAGTCCTTGGGTGAGACTCAGAAAAGTGGCTGTGTCCATATCCATGTACCATTGAAGAAATGTGTGCTGTCTGTCGTGCCAGATACGATTCCAAGCCCAGGGGATGCAGGAGGAAAACAGAGCAAGACCATCCTACCCATGGGGATTTTAATCTACGTTCTCCTGGGAGAGAATCGAAAATCAACCCACCTACGACAGTGATGAGCAGAAACAAAGCAAACGCAGTGAGGAAAAGGCTATAATCGCGTACACCCTTCATGTACGCGATGAGATCGCACTACTCACACTGCCTCTCCCAGCTGTCGCCTGGATCAATGTCATCTCATCCTGCATGTCCTTTCCTCCTGCTGTTCCGGGAGGAGCACCAGTTCCGTTTTCACCGGGGAAAAGGCACTTACCCACCATCCAGTCCATCTCTTCCGTGTTATCCCCGTACAGCCCGTGCGCGCTCTTCCTGCGGAACTTCTCGGTAGTGATCAGAGGGGTGTGCACGTGTAGAAAGGAGACAAAGAGGAGGAAAGGTCTGTGCTTGTTTCTGAAAATAAATAACAGCGACTGGAGCCACTTTTACATAAAAGCAGAGATTCGGGTCCCGGGGGATGCAAAATACAGACCGAGATGATCACGTCCAAACAAGTGTATCTGCTACTCTTTAATGGGATGACTTGACCCTTCTATAAAGTCTGTTGCAAAATTTGCACTGATACTGTGCGTTCTTTCCCGGAATTTATCAACTTATAACCCTACATACTTCTGGCAAGTGAAGGCAAGACAGAAGAAGGCCAGGCAACTGTCTGATCTGACAATTATTCCATTCAATTATTTCGGGATATGTTCCCCGTCCCGAACATTAGCGTATAGAACAAAAGGACATTTTGCGTATATGGTTTTCTGTTTAATTGCTCTCGAGCGACAAAGTTTAGGCCCTGACATGATTGTTTAAAAACACACTTTTAAAATGATGATTATTACGTTATTGATTTCGGTTTGACCGTCCCCCCACCGAGGCGATGCCTCACCTGCCCCTCCCCTCTCTCCGTCTGATCTCTATGACCCACTGTGTGTCGTTAAAGTACAGAAACAAAAGTGAACGTCTTAGACTTACTTGGGGCACGTTAGGCTCACCCGCTGCCATTTGCAAGCTACGGTTGACCCTTGAACAACACAGGTTCATTGTGTTGCAGATCCACTTATATGTGGGTTTTTTTAAAAAAGATATAAATACAGTACAGTACTATAAATGTATTTTCCTTATGATTTCCTTAATAACATTTTCTTTTCTCTAGCTCACTTTATTGTAAGAACTCATACAACCCATGGGTTGACCGACTACTTATGGTATCAGTAAGACTTCCAGTCAACAATAGGCTATTAACAGTTAAGTTTTGGGGGAGTCAAGGGTATGTGTGATTTTCAACAACACATGGTGTCAGCTGTTGATACCCCAGGGACCCCATGTTGCTCAAGGGTCAACTGTAATTATCAGCATCATTTCTGACCCATGTTAGGCAATTCCATGACAAGAATGTTCTGGAACATGATCGCAACCTCATCACCACCAGGTGAATTGGGTTTCCACGGTGTCCCCCACTTTACTGGGACACACTTGGGGAGCGTGGAACTGACTCTGGTGTAGCTTTTTACCAGGCCCCTCTCGGCTCTGACGTACTGAGTCCCTTTGTTATTCAAATTTACATTTAGGGTCAAGTTAGCAACAGTTCTGATGACAGAGCTTTAAAAATATTTAGAATCTGTTGTAAATCTTCAGTGATTCAGTTTGTTTTGTTAGTTAAATATGGCCTGAGGTGATCAGTCAGTGCTTACTAAGAGGACTGGCTCCAAGTAGGAGGGGCCAGCAGCAAGTTTCAACTGACCTGTCACTTGTTTCTTTTTTTTTTTTTTTAATTTTTTTATTTACTTATGATAGTCACAGAGAGAGAGAGAGAGAGAGAGGAAGAGGGAGAAGCAGGCTCCATGCACCGGGAGCCCGACGTGGGATTCGATCCCGGGTCTCCAGGATCACGCCCTGGGCCAAAGGCAGGCGCCAAACCGCTGCGCCACCCAGGGATCCCTGTCACTTGTTTCAATGGGCGCGATCAAGCTGGACTCAACTGAACAACATCTCTGGCCCGATTTACCAAAAATATCTTTCTGGGCCAGGGCGATTTCCCCATTCATAGCTCCATTACAGAAAGGAACTCAAAAGATTTTTTCAAATGCATTTTGAGCATGGACCAGAGCGCTAGGATGGAGCTAACTCTTTGACGCTCACCTTTGGACAAAGGAGGAGACCTCTTTGAGAATAAGAGATGTCGTCCTTTGAAAGTGCATGGGCTGCTCAGTGATGGTGTGGTCTCTCATCAGAAAGCAGTCTGCGTGAACAATCAGGACACCTATAGAATATGAGGTCACGAAGAGCAAGGTGGCAGCTATGGTTGACCAGACGACCGGAGTCCATGAGCCTGATATCAGGTGGGTGAGTTTCCCAGCAGTGAGCGTGAGGGCAGCGAAGGCCATGATTTGGAAGCAGACATTGAGTTTGTGCTCCATGCCTGCACGCTTCTCTGACAGCTCCCAGTGGATGCAATCTCCCATCATGGAAAAGGGCATTCCGTAGAAATGGTCGAATCCATGGTTGAGTGGGTGGTGGCAGTGATCATTGGAAGATTCACAGTTGAGGCCCAGATGCCATTTTCCTGAAAGGCAAAAAGTACACCCACGTGACAACTAGTTGATCACTGGCTGGTAGGTATTGTGTGCTTGCTGCATTCCAGGTGCTCTGCTGGGTTCAGGAATAGGGCAGGGAAGTAGAGGTGCATGGGTAGAGTTCCATCACAGCCTGGCTTCATTGTTACAGGGGAATGAGGACCCTGCGTGGCAACGTTACGTGATACATGGTTTCCTGAGCTGCTGAAACAAATTTCCGAAAACGCGGTTGCTTAAAACAATAGCGATTCATGCTCACCCAGTTCTAAGGCCACGAGTCCAGAATCAAGCTGTGACAGGGCCATGTTCCCTCTGTAGGTTCCTGGGAAGGATCCTTCCTGCCTCTTCTAGCTTCTGGGGACTCATGCATTCCTTGACTTGCGGTCATACCCCTCCCATCTCTGCCTCGGTGGCGACACGAACTTCTCCTCCTCCGCGTCAAATATCCCTCTACATGTCTCTTAACAGGACCCTTGCCCTCGCATATAAGGTCCACCTGGGTAATCCAGGATAATCTCCACATCTCAAGATCCTTGAATTAGTCCCATGAGCAAAGACCCCTTTTCCATATAAGTTAGTATTTTCTTTTAGCTTCCAGCAAGTAGGACATGATATCTTTGGTGACCATGATTCAGTCTACTGTACCTGAATTTGCAAAGGTCTGTGACTGAGCAATAAGGAAGGCACGGAGTGGGCTGATTGCTCTAGAAAACTCAATCTGCTATAATCAGTGGGTGTAAAAGATTTCCCAACTTTGGAATTACCATTCTTTCCCTGTCTTTGTTAAACCACTGTAATGGTGGTCAGAGTCATGGTAGGCCATAGGTTCTACATGGCACAGGTTTCAAGTACAATCAATGGCACATGCTTCTCTATGGTCACTCCTAGAGTGTTGATAGAGACCTATGTGTCTTCCCACCACCCCAAATGGCATCTCTCATCCAGAAAACCTCATGCAATTTTCCAATTTTCCAAGGAATGTTCCACAAAAATAGATTTCTCTCTTGAAAAATGATAATAAGCCTATTGCATGTGATACTCAGTGTATCAGCTCGTGTTGCTCTTCATGATCAATAGATGGCACTGTTAATAAAAAATTATTACTATAACATGATGATGACAGTGACAGCTTGGACCCCTGTCAAGAAACGATTATCCTTCATCGTACTTCATTCTATATAAGACATGGTTTGTTGACATCTAGAAAGATAAATATGCCATTTATGGAAGCAGAGAGGGAAGTAATTAAGCCTTGCAGTCGCATTTTTGTGCAGAATTTAAGGAAAACAGCATTATGGAAATTGATGGTGATTTGGTGACTTTAGAAAAAAATTTCCTTTTTTTAAAAAAAATCAAGGTGCATCAACAAATACCAAGAAATGGCAGGTGTTTCATTAAGCTGATATTTCTTGAGCAACTACTTTGCAGTAAGCATCTTTAAAAAAAAAAAAAAGATTTAATTTATTTATTCATGAGAGACACAGAGAAAGAGAGAGAGAGGCAGAGACACAGGCAGAGGGAGGAGCAGGCTCCATGCAGGGAGCCCAACCAGGACTCGATCCCGGGTCTCCAGGATCACACCCTGGGCCAAAGGTAGGCGTTAAACCACTGAGCCACCTAGGGATCCCCCAACACTAAGCACTCTTTGTAGTGAGGTCATCCCTGCATTCATGGAGCTTTCTGTCTGGAGGACAATCCCACTGCCTCAAAACCACTGCCTTTCCAACCTTTTCGGTTGAATATACTCTCCATAGAAAAGAAAGGTGCTTAATACTAAAAACGTACATACCTATTAGTCCAGTGGCGTATCCTCTGTCTTTTAATATTTTTGCAAAAGTTGTCTCATTGGTCGAAAGCCCTCCAGATACTCCGGTCCATTGAAGAACACGATAACCATTACTGGAAACCATACCTTTGGGGAACCATTTTCAAAGAAACGTTAACCATCGCACATTGACAGATTCTATCATTATCATTAATTGACAGATTTTATCACTACTATTAATTTTTCACTTAAAATATGTGGTGAAAAATTAACTGAAAACTTAGCAAGAAGGCTTAGTGTCCTTTTACGTGAAGGTTATAAACACAAAGAGACTTAAGGAGAAAAAGGAAGGAGACTTAAAAATGGTTTTATCATTTCACCGAAGTCTTTATATAATGCAGGGATTCTCAAACTCGCCTGTACTTTGGAATCATTTGGGAAGCTCCAGAATATTCTGAAACCTGGTTGTCAATCCATAAAGTTTTATTTTATATTTTATTTTATTATTTATTTTAATATTTATTTATTTATTTATTATTATTTATTTATTTATTTATTTATTTATTTATTATTTATTTATTTATTTTAGGGAAAGAGAGAGAGGGAGTGAGCAGGGAGAGGAAGAGAACCTCAAGCAGACTCCAGGCTGAATGTGGAGCCTAATGTGGGGCTCAGTCTCATGACCCTGAAATCATGACCTGAGCCAAAACCAAGAGTTGGATGCTTAGCCAACCGAGCCATCCATCTGCTTCCGCTCCCCACTAGAGACTGTGGTTTTAGTTGGTTTGGGGGTGGAAGCGCAGATTTGGAACGGTTGCAGGATACCGCAGACAATTCGTATGTGCTAACAACGTAGGGAGCCGCGGATAAAAATCACACTGACTCTCATAAATCCAAGGCATCTACTCAAGTGTTTAAAAGAGGTAAACTGGGATCCCTGGGTGGCGCAGGGGTTTGGCGCCTGCCTTTGGCCCAGGGCGCGATCCTGGAGACCCGGGATCGAGTCCCACGTCGGGCTCCCGGTGCATGGAGCCTGCCTCTCTCTCTCTCTCTCTCTCCCATGACTATCATAAATAAATAAAAAAAAAATTAAAAGAGGTAAACTAAACATTTTTCTAAAGTTCTGCAGTATGCAGTGGAAAACCACCGATTTGGAAGATGCTCTGTGCCTCCTAGATCATTTTGACGAAGGCAGCTCCGTCTTGCTAGAGATCTACCTGGTTCCAAGAGTGAATCTACCTCATCAATCATTATTGAGGAAGTTGGAGAATTCTTTCTGAGATTTTTCTACACCTTTGAGCATGCGTCTGGTTCAGGGGAAGACTAGTGAGACACACATGGTTCTTGGCCATAACAAAGACAGCCGGCGTGTTTCTGCTTACGTTGGGTGGGATTCCTTCTTCCCTGGGGCATGAGAGGGTGCCAGGGACCCACACATGTGAGGGTCTGTGAGAGTCTGTTTGATGTGTCCCACAGCCAGGTCGGTCTCTAGTTATTCAAACACAAGTCCACTAGCTGAGGTGTTTCTGTGAAGGTCTTTCGAGATATGGTTTAACAATTGCAATCAGTTGGCTTTAACCAAAGGAGATAGCCCTTGATGCGGAGGTTTCTTATCTTTAGGGTCAAAGAGCAGGAGCACACGAAGGACATCACACAGACTTTTTGAACTTTTCGACTACTCCCTGCTCAATCCCCCTGCCTGTGTGACCTCACTATCTGTGGGGCTCTATGGCTCTTACTGACCGAATCTGATGGTAAAATTATGGAGGGATTAGATTATTGTCTACCCACAGGGAGAATAATCTCCCCACCCTTTAATTCCTCTAATACCGGGAGCTTTTTCTTCTCCGGAACCATGGTTGGACATGAGGGAGGACAAACCTGATCTCAGAGGGTATCTGCCCGTTAGGAAGGCAGCCCTGCTTGGGGTGCACACTGAAGCAGCCGCGATGTGCTGGGTGAGCATCACCCCATCCTCTGCGAGGCGGTCAATATTTGGAGTCCTGCAGAGGGAAACAGGAACAGTTTTATTCCTTAACAAACAAACTCAACAGGCTTTTCCACAGGCACACCTACATAGTCCATAGAAAACCAGGCCATCGTCATGTAACACATCAAGGTGTTCTTGGGAATGACCAAAAGGCAAGATGTTCAAATGTCATCCAAACCATCAGAGAAACGGAAACTCAATTTGATATCGTTTGCTAAGTTTTTGCAACACGCTACTCGTACTGAGATGGGCATTAGGGGAAACTCAGAATCGAGAGCCCGCCGTGCTTTTTCACGTGGGATTCACAGTTTTGATTGGGAAATTTGACCTCCTGGCACCAACAGATGGTAGTTGGTACGGGAGGGTGGGATTCAGATGTAGCTCCGTGCTGTGGCCTGAGCCGGGCCCTCAAGGGTAATGGGAATGTGACTAAGGCGATGCAGTGAGCTCATTCTCAGAGAGATGGAGCAGCATTGACAGATAAGCATGTCGTGGTGGTGACATGGATTCTGCTGTCTGAAGCAGAGCTTTTCAGCAGGAGGCGCCGAAGTCATGTATGAGCGAGTGGTCTTGGCCTGATGGGTGGAAGCGGAGCATGAGTAAGCTCGGGTCTTTGACTCAGATGCAACACAAATGTTTTTTCAAACACTGTCTACCACAGACCGTGCTGATGGAAACCATGTCTCAAAGTGAAGTGAGGAGTCACAGGCAGGATGAATTTGAGCTGGGGTGAGTGCTGGGGTGGGAAGAAGGAAGGGTGAGAGGGTGTTCAAGGAAACGTGCACAGAATCCTGTCGAAGTTTGGATCGCACGTCTGAAGAGCGAGATCCACTGTCACTGGTGTCTTCGTCGGGATGCCCGATGAGCGATTCTCGGATCCTTGCCTGATGCTGTTGTTGCCATAGCAGCCGATATCGCCGATGCCAAAATCGTCCGCCATCAGAAGAAGGATGTTTGGACGCGAACCGGATAAATCCCTGCAAGCCGAGGGCCTGGCACCCAGAAGCACACCGACCATCACAGCCAGCCAGCTCCTGAAACACAAGGTGCCGATGAACGCTTCACCCTGCTTCCCATTTCATTTACGTGACTTCTGTAAATGGGATTTTTTTTAGGGGTGTCACCATTTTAGGGGACTTTGATATTAGCATCCCACTGCAGAAGAGTTTGAGTCTATTCTTAGGCATTTAATTTTTTTTTTAGCTGAAGACAATTCATGCTCTTGATGGTTTTATTTCCCACTGTAAACAATTTTTTTGAATCCCTGTTGTTAGATCATCATACCCATGATTAAGAAAAAGCCCTAATTTGGTTTCTTATTATGCATGGATCAGGTCCAAGGAACATCTATAGCTCCTTCCCCCTTGCCTCTTGTTTATTTTTCCTTAAATAAGTGAACTGCGCTGAACTGGGTTATCTTTGGCACTTTGTGGGACTGGACCTACCGACCAGAGTAAGGCAGAGCGGAAAAGTCAGGGCAAGGGTTTACCGATACCATCTGGTGATTCTTTTTTTAAAAAAGATTATTAAAGATTTTATTTATTTATTCATGAACAGACACACAGAGAGAGGCAGAGATATAGGAGAGGGAGCCTGCTTCTCGATCCCAGGACCCTGAGTAACGTCCTGAGCCAAAGGCAGATGCTCAAACCACTGAGACACCCAGGTGCCCTCTACCTGGTGATTCAGAGTCAATTCAAAGTCTCTGTATAGTCCAGCACGAATGTGACTGACCTTTTTCGCTCACTGATACCTGATGGGAAGTGGGTCTGTTGGGGTGATGGAGGTTCCAGCCCAGGGTAGAGACTCCCTCGTGGTGGCATATCAGAAGGAAGAATTGCCACAAAGGCTGGAGGCTGTTTCACCTTCATCACTCCCATAACCGTGGCGTCCGTGGAGCCACTTTGGCCACGTCCACACAGAGCAGGACAAGAGTGTTCCAATCCCCAGTGCCATGAAATACAGATGGGATCTGAGTCTCTGAAGAAGATTGGCCATACGGGCTCCGTGGAAAACATGAGAAGATTCCTTCAGAAGCTCCCGGATGGGGGGAGTGTGAGTCACTGATATGAATCCTGAGTCCCAGGACCAGTCCCCCCGATGCACAATCAGTGACTAGGTGAGCAAGCCTACTGGGTCGATGCATCCTGGCAAAGGGACGTACAGAAATGTAGAAGCAGAAACAGAAGATTAACGATCGCCCGTAATCCCGTCTTACCAGGAATGCTCCAGATGCAGCATATTGTCTTCTGCCTTTTATTCCCTGTAGGAAATAAAGAGGTGTATTGTAACAAAGGCAGCAGATTTGCACCAATTCCATATGTAAAATAGTAAGTACGGAGCAAAAGGGAGACTCTCTCTCTGATGCTCTCAATAAAACCTTAAAACAATGACTGAAAACTCATGAAAAGAATGATCTTCCTTATTGGAGAGACTTAAGATGCTGAATGCTGCGTTAAGAATATAGGACGTGCGTCTATCGAGGGCCAGGTGGTAAGCATTTAACATATTTGGGGCTTTCCTGCCCCGATGGTCCACCCTGTGGCTGTAACACGGCAGCTGTCATGGACAATACACACGTGACTGGGGTTGCTGGCTTCCGCTGCAACATTATTTGCAAATCAGGTGATGTTTGCCCCCGTGAACCACAGATTTGTGATCTTTGATATCGAATGTAGAAAGGAGAGAAAATGCAAAATTAAGTGATAAGATTATTCACTTGAAATAATCTCCAATATCCAACTTTTAAAAAAAATTGTCATAAATGCATAGAACGAAATGTACCGTCTTAGCCATCGTTAAGCACGGAGCTCAGGGGCCTTGAGCATATTCACACAGTTGAACAACCATCGCCACCACCCACGTCCAGGAATTTCTCATCCAACCAGAGTGAAACTCTGTCCCCATTAAGTACGAATTCTTTATCGAATTCCCCAGCTCCTGGCTCAGACATGAAGGGAAAACCAAGCTGGGGTTCTGTGGGTCAGGGACCTTGACCTGGCATGGCCTTTGCAGTGACCTGAAGCCCTACTCATGAGTTGTTTGAAGAGATCTTGGCTTCCATAGTTGGGGGGCTTCTGAGCCCAGAAGGCACCCAGCCCTCCTGAGTGCCACCCCCCACCCCGAGGAGGGCCAGATGGGCTCCTCGTCCTTCCAATCCAGCCTGACCTTTCCGTGCCCTTCATGTTCTGTGAACATCAGTCCTTGGCCACAAGGTGGTAGGGGTTTTTTCCCAAGCTCCTTGGCCATCTCAGGTGATTTCTCACACCCTTGCACACTTGATTCACCTCAGCAGAAGGACAGGGTAATGAGCCTGTGGTCAACCAGATGCCCGTAATGCGTAGCGAGGACAGGGCCAAGCATGTGTAGAGAAAGACCCCACGGGATAAGTTCATTTGTGGGCTGTACGTGGACACCGCACGTAGGGTGGTAGGGAAGTTTTCAGATGCGATAAAGGCTGACGGGTTCCATCAGCGGGCAAAGTCTAGCACCCAACCATGGCTGTTGACTTGCTTTATTCATTTCCAGGAAGGATTTTAGTGAGGTGTGAGCCACCCAGCTCCAAGGACTTTTTTTTTTCTTTCCCCTTCTGGAGGATGTATGGTGTCTTGTGATTACACCTATGTGCTGTTTCTATCATCCAAATCGTTCAGTTTACATCGGGGCTCACTGTTGGCGGTGTCCATTCTGTGGGTTTGGACAAACGTATAATGACATGGATCCACCATTGTAGCATCCTACTGAGTGGTTTCACTGCCCTAAAAGTCCCCTGTGCTGCACCTGTTCATCCCTCCCTGCCCCAACCCCCGGCAACCACTGAGATCTCCCACTGATGTTTCTGCAAAATCCCTTCTAGAGGATGGCCAGAGAGGCCTCCGAGGATGGGGGGGGAGCGGTGGGGCCGGGGTGCAAGGGGGAGGGTGCCCTGTAGGGCGGGGGGGGGGGGGACAGGGGGAGGGTCCCCAGCAGGGCGGGGTGAGCGGGTGCCTTGCAGGGGGCGTGGGGAGGGCCTGGGGGTGCAGGGGGAGGGTGTCCTGTAGGGCGGAGGGGGGGACAGGGGGAGGGTCCCCAGCAGGGCGGGGGGAGCGGGTGCCTTGCAGGGGGGGTGGGGGGGTGCCACGTAGGGCAGGGGGGCGGGGGAGGGTGCCCTGCAGGGTGAGGGGGTGCAGGGGGTAGGGTACCCTGCAGGGTGGGGAAGACGGGGGAGGGTGCCCTATAGGGCGAGGTGAGGTGGGAGGGTGCCCTGCAGAGCGGAGGGGGGCTAGGGGAGAGTCCCGTGCAGGGCGGGGGGGGGGGGGGTGGGGGGTGGGGAGGTGGGGCAGGGGTAGGGTGCCCTGCAGTGCAGTGCAGGGGGGCAGGAGGAAGGGTGCCCCTGGGGGGGGCGGGGCGGGGGAGGGTGTCCTGCAGGGTGGGGTAGGGGGGATGGGGGAAGGGTGCTCTGCAGGGTGGGGGGGCGGTGGGGAGGGTACCCTGCAGGGTGGGGAGTGCTGGGGGGGTGCCCTGCAGAGCGAGGGGGGCTGGGGGGTGCCCTGCAGCGTGGGGAGTGCTGAAGGGTGCCCTGCAGGGTGGGGGGGCGGGGGTGAGGGCGCCGTGCAGGGCAAGAGGGGGGGGAGGGTGCCCTGCAGGGTGGGGTGGGGGGGACGGGGAAGGGTGTTCTGCAGGGTGGGGGGCGGTGGGGAGGGTACCCTGCAGGTTGGGGCGGCTGGGGGGTGCCCTGCAGTGCGGGGGGGGGCAGGGGGGAGGGTGCCTTGCAGGGCGGGGGGTAATGGGGCCGGTGGGGGGGGAGGGTGCCCTGCAGGGTGGGGGGCGGGGGTGTGCCCTGCAGGGCGGGTGGGGGTGCTGCTCCGGACAGCTGCGCAGCATCCGGGCTCGGGCCCCGCGGGGAGGGCGTCTTACCTGAGGGGCTGCGCTCCGGGAGCGAGGCGGGGGCGGGGGCGGAGGCGGGCGCTGGGGGCTGGGGCGCTGGGCGCTGGGGGTGGGCGCTGGCCCCGCAGGGAGCGGAGGCTGCGAGTCCCGGGCCTGCGGGCCGCTGCACGCATGTGCGTAGCGGACTCGGGCCTCAAAGCGCGGGCAAGGAGCTGGCGGGAAGCAAGTTCGGTTGCGCAGGGAGCTGCCCCCCGCCCCCCCCCGCCCCCGCCCCGCCCCCGCCCTGCAGGGCACCGTCCGCCGGGTCGCACCGGGGACCCGCTGTTCTTCCGCAGGAGCCTTCGGGCAGCGGCAGCGGGGCGGACCCCCCTGCTGAGCGCAGTGACTCATTCATTCCCGCTCCCGACTTTGTTACCCCCCGGGGGAGCTCGCCTGCTGCGCTCCCTCCCACAGTGGGGAAGCCCTGGCCTTGACAAATGCCTCCCGAGCGCGCCTGGCGTTTTGTGGCTCCCCCTCCCCCTGCCCCAGCCCCCGCATCTGCCTCACAAATGACCAAATTGCCAAAAGAAGAGAAAAAGAGGCGACGACAGCTGTGCGCACCCCACCAAGCATCCTCACCGCCAGCAGGTTGCGCCCCCCTAGCCCCACCGCCGCGCGCGAGCTCCTTCCACCTTTACGCCCGTTGCTGTTTGCGTGTTTTCTATTCACTAGAGCCCCCTGTCTTCCCTCCTCCGGTGGTGGCAGGATGCAGATTCCAGGCATACGTGATCCCTTTCAAAGACTTCTCTGGATGAGCGCTCTCCGCACACTTCCGGGGGGGGGGGGGGGGAATCACATGCAAACGCCCGTCCTTGTAGCCCCCCTCGTGCATTTTTGCTCTCTGCGGCCTGAGCTCCGGCGAGGCCTGATGTGAGGCTCACGCGGGGCCCATCACCGTCTTACGACTTCCCGGCTTCGAGAATCCGTCATGAATTGAACAAATCATAGCAAAAAGCAGGTGAGCGCCTTTCGGTAGGAGTAGCTGGTGCTCGTGGCAGGGCTGGTGGATGATGCTGGGGGGTAAGGCACTAAGGGGTACACTGAGGCTCCGGGCCCAGACTTACAGCGCCTGGGAGCCGCTGGATCCTCCTCGTAGCTGAGAAATCCCAGGAACAAGCCCTTGGCGACTTTTCACTGTACGTGCCCCACACGTAGCACCTCTTGAGACACCTGTTTTTCTGCTGCCCTGAAACGGGATCATTGTGCGTTTTGGTTTTGAGTCATTTGTGGCTGTAGGATGACATGAAACGCTGTGTCTATGTGGCTGGCATCACTTCCTGCCAGGATGGGTTCTAATTGGCACCACACCCCCTCCCCAACCTGGACCTTGAGCTTCTTCTGTATTTGCTTTTGTGCCTCCAGGCAGTCTCCAGCAGCAGCCCAGACATCACAGGGAGACGGCAGCAGAACGGCCTTAGAAGCAAACCAGGCTCCCTGGGGAGCAGGTCTGTTTGCAGAGATCGCATTACAGGGTGAGGGCTTCCAGGATTCCAGGATTAGGGTGTCCTTGAACTGTGACCTCCTTGCAAGGCTGGCTCCTTGCTTGTATCTCCAGAAATGATGGAGCTCTGGCTGAAGCTGTGTGCTTGGCCGATGACATGCCTGCCTTTTTCGTGGTATTTCTCACCTCAACACACGTGTCTCCTTGTCGTTGCACACATACCCCCTTTTTCAGACACATGATGGGACCACAATAAAGGGTGTAATTAAATGAGAAAAGGTGCTGTGATAGAAGCGATTCTTCTATCCATCCAACCACCTATCATTTATTCGTCCATCTATCCATCCATCCATCCATCCATCGATCATCTATTTATCCATCCATCATATCTATCATGTATTGATCCATCCAACTATCGAGAATATCTACTATCATCCATCCATCATCTATCCATCCATCCATCATCTATCCATCTGTCCATCATCTATCCATCCATCATCTACCTATTCATCCATCACCTATCATCTATGCATCCATTCATCTGTCCATCCATCATCTATCCATCTATCCGTCCATTATCTATCCATCCATCCATCATCTAACCATCCATCCATCATCTATCATCCATCCATCCATCATCCATCCATCCATCCATCATCTATTTATCCATCCATCATATCTATCATCTATTGATCCATCCAACTATCGAGAATATCTACTATCTATCTATCATCCATCCATCATCTATCCACCAATTTATCCATCATCTATGTATCACCCATGCATCCAATAATCATCTATCTATCCATCAATCCATTCATCCAACTGTCTTATCTACCATCTATATCTATCCACCCTTTCATCTATCTATCTATCTATCTATCTATCTATCTATCTATCTATCATCTATCTTCTAAGCATTTCTTCGATCAACTATTTTTCTAGGAGTGTGTAACTGAATCTTGCATCCAGGCTGTGTCAGTGCGATGCTATATCCACCTATATGTGCAGCTAATGATGCTCACCTTCCGGAGAGGTGTGCGTTGAGGCTTAAAGATGCAGTGCTGATAAGACACATTTAGACGGCAAGATGGAAGCTACTCTTGAGAGTTTGCAAAAGATGTTAAGATGCTGAAACTCCCCTTGCACATCTACTCTCTCTTTGCTCTTTTGAAAAACCTAACTGCAGTCGTTGGTGGAGATTTTAAGAGAATTATCCCGGCGGAAAACATATTTGACTTAATTAAGCCCCCTTAATTATATATGTATGTTTGGTGGCCCTTGAAAGCTGAGATGAAAGATCCTTTTGCTAAATAACTATGTATCGGCTGCCGTGGTAGGTTATGCCTACATATAAAGATAATTGACAGACTTGAGTAGTGCCCAACCTCGGTACTTAATAAACGTTTAATTATAATAATGAGTGCAGTCACTTGGAACTGTGGCAGGAGCCTGGACACACAGGATCAGTACCCACAAATGTAGGAGCTGGAGAAACAACTTGTTTCCAGTAAGTAAAATATGTTAAGCTCATATGATTCAATAGATAATATGTGAAGTTCATGTAATTCCAGCTTGGCCTGCTTAAATTTTTAATGGTCAGCAAGGTGGAGAGTGATGGGTGGAGGATTAGTTGTATCAAATCATCATTCTCTCTCTCTTTTGCGTTTCCTAAGATTTTAGATAAATGGGAGCAGAAGGTATTAGATACTCTTTCGTGTGGCTTCTTTCACTCGGCATACTCATGTGGAGATCCTCAGGGTTGTCGCCGGTATTGTCAATAGCGCATGGCTCGTGGTTGCTGGGGGGTATTCCCTTGGATTGGCGACTTATCCATCCACCTGTTGGTGGACCCTCGGGGTGTAAAATTCTATTTTCTGGAGTGCATGCTATGTGTTCAAGAGTGTTTTTGTTATTCCCAGGAAGACAAGTAAGTGGGCTAATAATCAAAGGTCGTGGAGGTGAGTGACCTTTGCTCGGTAGTAAAATGATAAAGTCTCTACAAGTAAGCTTGCAAACTTTAAAATTTGTTCCCTTCCTTCCTCCCTTCCTTCCTTCATTTCTTCCTTTCTTCTTTCCTTCCTTCTTTTGTTCTTTCCTTCCTTCCTTTTCTTCTTTGTAGATGCTGTTATAATCCTTGAATGGGATAATGCGGCTCGTACCATTGCAGTGAACGAATGAACACCAAAATATTGAAAACCGTAGGTTCACACATAGCATAACAGTTTTGCCTATTCAGAAACCTGGCTTCTGGTCTGGTCTCTGAATTTACTTCACAGTGGTTGTCATTTAATGTTTTACTATTGGACCTTTTCTTAGTGGAAAGCAAATAATGGAGGGGTGGGTTAATCTCATCAGGCAGAAAATGTGGCTTTATAGGAATTGTTGGGGGTGGGGAAGAGAGTCGGCTTTTAATGACAGATGTATTTAAGACGTTTCATGCTGTTGAGTATTCTCTTTTTCACTTTATAATAACGATGTTGCAAGAGTCATTGAATATCAGTCAATTTGGAGGAAGTTTGGGGCTTTATGTGAATCTTTTCAGAAGTGTCTTATTTAACTGAGGAACCACAAGATGCCATTCAACCTATTAAACGCTCTCCAGCAGGAATTAGTAAAATAAAGCAATGAGAAAATTGCTACTTTCAATTATTTAACATTCGAAATATTTAATATATTATTCAATTATATTTAATATATTTAAATGAGGGGCGGGGGGAGAATAGAATCACAGCCGGTCTACTCTAAATCAACAGCTCTGGATGAGAAACCAGAATCTTGCTTCATGAATGAACAGCATTTGAAATCATCCAAGGGTGATTTCTGAACGGTCTGGTTCAATGGAGCTCACCACGGAGACGGTGATTTCATGCCCCAGGGGCACTTGGCAATATGTGGGAATAATTGTGGTTGTCATATCTGGGGAGGGGGTGCTCCTGGCATGTGGTGGGTGGAGACCAAGGATGCTGCTCGTCACCCCACAGTGCACAGGATGCCCCACCCCAGAGAACCATCCAGCTCCAGATGCCCTCAGTGCTGAGATGGAGAGACGGCCATCTGGTACGTCTGACCGGTTTCCCTGGCTCTGCCTCTCAAGCTCTTTTTAGGGACACGGGTGGGAATTTACGTCTTTGAGCATCTCCTCTGCTTTAGCTGCATTGACCGGCCTCGCTGTAGACGTTGGTCCTGAGCATGTAGCAAAGGAAGGAAGGAAGGAGATGCTCAAGTGAAAATTATCATCAGTTGTTTGCTCCACTTTGAGTATGACCTGCTGAGTTTTGCCCGGCTCCCCCTGGGTTGCAACTATGTCTCTGACTCGCTATCCTACACACGTACTACTGCCGCCCGCCCCCGCCGTAGTAACATGGTGGGCCTCCACCGGGCATCAGGCCACCAGCACTCTGCAAGTCAGCTGTGGCTTCGGTTATATAATTGCATGATTTTTCCAGGTGTGTAGGGGAAAGAAGGAGCTTCCTTTTTTTTTTTTTTTTTTTTTTTTTTAAGAGCATACAGGTAGTTCTGAGACTAGGTTCAGTGGCTAGAAGATTTTTATTAGTGAATATTAATAGAGAGAATGTTTTAATTAGTGGAGAGGGTGCATTTGACTTTACTAGTTGGCCCTAAAGCTATACCCTCACCCCTGGGGCCCCCTGTATCCACAGAAGAGTGGGAGTAATCCTATCATTACCGTCCTTCCTCCAAAGCTTAAGGACATAACATCCAGGTAGCATCACTATGTCCTTGGATGAAAGGTCCCATGAAAGTAATTACTGCTTTGATTGCCGCCGTGCTTGAGGAATGCCTCACAGAATTATACGGCTTTACCATCAAAGAAACCCAAAAGGTCAATGAGGGCATCTTCCTTCTTTTCAAGGAGATAGCATAGACTTCTGCACTATGAATAAATTCCCATTTATCCAGCTATTCTTCGTCAGCGTGATTTCAGTTGGCTTCAGCCTGATTCTATTTAAAAGTGATGTTGCAATGAACACGCTTTCTCCCGCCTTTTGCTTGTTGGCTGAGTCCCTCCGGGGTGAGAAGCCATGGTGTCATGGCTTACGATTTTTTTAAAAAATTAATATTTAGTGGCAACAAAAGCTTCCACTGACAGTGTGCAGGTAACCTTCATGGAATCTTGCTTGGAACTGCATGCTATCAAACTTGAAGAAATTACTGGGGTTTTGATAGATATGCAACCTGATGATCCTTAAAATTTACTTTTTCTAGTTGCTGAAGAGACTAAGCATATAGTCATGAGCTTATTGGCCACGTGTGTGTCTTCCATGAGTAGACACCAGATGTCTAGTTTTTCTATTGTGTTTTTATTCCCTCTTCCAAACTATTTATAGAAAATATTGCAGATATATTCTCCTTCTCCAAACATGGCATTTTTGCTTTGTGGATGGTGTCTCCTGGTGTGCAGAAATTGTCCCCCCACCCCCAGTTGCTTATATTTGTTTCTTGGTGTTGCTGTAACAAATGACCACAAACCAAAGGCTTACATCAACAGAGATATATCTTACTGCAGTTCTGGAGACCAGAAATCTGAGATCCAGGTGAGGCAGGGCTGTGCTCCCTCCTGATGCTCTAGGAGAGGGTCCTTCCTGCTTTTTCCAGCTTCAGGAGCTCCAAGAGTCCTTGGGCTGCTGGCCATGACCCCCCCATCTCTGCTTCTGTCCTCACATGACTTCTCTTCTGTGTCTCTATCTCCTCTCTGTCTCTTATGAGAACACCTGTCATTGGATTTAGGGCCACCCTCATCCACAATGGTGTCAACTCCAGATCCTCCACTTAATCACATTTGGAAAGACCTTGTTTCCATATAAAGCCCTACCCACAGGTTCTTCCATGTAAGCACCTGATAACCTCTCTCTCACTAAGCTGTCTATGACTGATATGTTTTGCTATTTCTTGGTCATTGGGAGTTAACCTCTAAAGCCGAAAACATGAAAATCTGGAATTTTAAAGACTTTTCTCCAGATTTATTGATATGGAATTGACATAGAACATGGTGTAAGTTTAAGGTGTACGATGTGATGATTTGCTGTCTGTATATATTACAAAGTGATTACCAAAAATAGGTTAGCGAGCACATGAATCACCTCACATAGTTGCATTTTCCACCCAATATTTTAGAAGGGCCACACCACCATCCAAGGGCACTGGTTTGGTTTGGTTTTGGTTTGTTTTGACTCTCACTCTCAACAGAGTCTACGCATATGTGCACGTGCATTTTCACCCATTTGAGGATGTAATTCTCGTGTTGGCTAATGTGCTTCCTACTTTTTCTTAGATGCAAGTTATTGACAACGTGATCTTATAGGGTAGTTTTTCGAGTGGTGCTTCTTGATTAGGTCCGTAACTTTGAACATCTCCTCAAAGGCCTGAAAAACCATAATCTTATGTTCCCCTTCTCCAACCCCACTGCCTAACCCATTACATGGCATTCCTGTATATTTCCAGTAATTCCCAGAATGCATTTCCGGTACATGCTCCCCGGAGACATCAAGCATTTCCTAAGTGTTGGGTGAAAAAAAGCAAGAATGGTGCTTTTTAAAAATTTACCAATTGTAGCCGTGTCATTTCATAAGTAAGTATCTCTCCAACCCAAGATTGGTAACAGTCACAATGGATGGTCTTGGTCACCTGTGCAAAGTTCTTCCTAACTGGCAAGGAATAAAAAGCTATTTGCAAAATAAATGGAAATAAAAGTTAACTTCCTGGTGTAAGAGCTCCTAGAGTCTCAAAGAATTATACATATCAGATCTGGATTTTAAGGGATATCAAGAAGACCATGTCCACCCAGGTAGCTCCTCTATCTCTACCCCATTCTGCATGATCCCATTCTCCACTTCCTTTCCCTACTCCCAAATATTAACCTAGGATTTTAGAAAAGGTGGGCAAACTGCTGAGGCGTACCTGGGCTCCTGGAGGTGTAGAAATGCATGAGGCTGGCATCACATACGAATGTGGCTTTCCAAATTGGTTTTATTTTCTAGCTGCCTTCAAGGAGATGTTCAAAGGTCACCATGGAACCAAGTCGAATGCGCAAGTATTGCTTCGGGGTTTGTGGGGCAGAGACAGTGGGAGTGTACGTTTCATCAAATGCCCCCTCGAGAGTTGACCTCTGGCAATGCCCCATTTGAGAGCCTTACTGGAGGTCTAAGATGGTGAGGTAGCCCTGGGTATGGGACACACATACCTGATTACAGAGACCTCCCAAATGCCACATCTCCAATTTACCATCCTTTGTGAAAGTGTTCTGAACCCTATGACCTCAGCTCCCTCTCCCATAAAACGAAAGAGGTGTCATTAAGCCTTCAAGGCAAGCTGGGTGAGATATTTTGAGGATCCAATGGGAACGTGTGTAGAGATGCCTTGGGAATGAGAAAGCCCAATAAACTCTGTGGTGGTGTCATTAATCATTATTACATAGAATTTGTCTTGTGGGATGGCTCCTCAGCCTACAAAGCATCACCTACTTGGAGCTGTTTGAGGGTCTTCCGCGGGGGTGGGGTGGGGGGAACACAAGACTCTACCACTCTTTGGACTCTTATAAAAGGATCATAATTACAGCTCCTAAACATGCTGCTAAACTCATTGTGCTCAATGAGTTTGGGCAACAAGGCCGTAGGTCCATGGTGTTCATCACTGGGTTTTTTATTTATCCACCTTGGGCAGAAGAATGTTCTTTGCAGCAGAGTACATACGTACCGGGTGCCTGATACAAGTAGTTATGGAATGCATGCGTAGTCGTGGATGGCTTATTTATTTCACTGACTTTGCAATAACGAGTTTTTGTTGTCAGATCCACGTAACGTGTTGGGAATCAGCCGTGATATCTCTCCAGAATGGACTGGGTCGTGCATGTTCTTGGTCAGATTGACTCTGGAGGAACGTGACTTGTTTGCAATTAGCTGTGAAGAATTGAGAGGATGACCACATTAACAAGTTCTCTAATACTCAGGATCGAGTTCCTGGCTATGAGAGACATGTTGGCTGTGCAGTACTTCTGGTTTTTCTTTTCTTCCCTAGGGGAGCCAAATACGCAGACATGAAGCAGCTGTTCTATAACTGGTAAGTAGGTGACTTCCTAAACCTTCCTTTTTCTCTGTATGCCAGACAGAAGCGTTCTCTGTCCCCGGGTTCCTCACCCCCGCTGATGTTTGGCCTACCTAATCTGTGTGACACCTCCTAAGGATAATGAGGGGTGTGCTGGGGGCATCCCACAGGGTGGCTTTTTTGAGGAGGCAGTACTTACCTTAAGAATGTCAGCGTGTGTGCGAATTTATAGGGCAAAAGGCAGGAGGTTGCAAAGGTGAGGGCTGCACAAAGGCCAAAATCACGGATCATTGAAGGGATTGTAAGGACGTCCATGGATGAGCCTAAGCTGGTGGTTGCGTAATGAGAGGAAAGCATGATGAAAGAGCCAAGAGCGCCATTTTGTGAGCCTTGCCAGTCATGGGGGAATGGGAAGCCATTGGACTTGGTTAGGGAGCATTGCAACCAGATTGGTACATTGATAGGGTTGTTCACCTTGGCTACATTTTGGAGGGTGCCCAAGTGACCAAAATGGGACCAGTCAGGCCACTTGGAGAGTTTTGAGAAATCCAAGTGAGAGACACCGCGAGTTACTTGGCCTGCCATGACGGATGGATGCAAATGGGTTTAAGATGCATTTTCTGAGGTAGAGCTAACAACTTATAATGGATCAGATGGAATTTGGGGTTGGGGAACCCATTTCCTGCATAAGACAATGGTCCTCAACTTGGAGCAATTTTGGTCAAAGGCTATTGTGTGTTTTTGAGCATATGATAGCCATTAGCAGTAAGGATTGCGTGAGTGTACAGCTTAACACTTAGTAGACTATATAAATATGTTAATTTTCCTTTTTCAGATGTTAAAAGAATTCCCAATGTTATTTTAAATATGTATTTTAATGTATTAAAAAGTACAACTGAATGTCCAAAAAAAAAAAAAAAAAAGCTGACTAGCAGGCAATTAGCCTCCGATTTTCTATTTTGCTTACATTTTTATTCACATAAATCAAATTATTAGGACTTCCTAGGAAGTTTCACCACTATTAGGTCTTCTTTTAGGAATCTCATATCGTGAAACAGTTTGAAAAGTTATAAGAAAAAAAAAAGAAAAGTTATAAGAATTTAAATATCACAAGGCATAGAAAATTAACGTTAATTAAATCAAATTATTAGGACTTCCGAGGAAGTTTCACCACTATTAGGTCTTCTTTTAGGAATCTCATATCATGAAACAGTTTGAAAAGTTATAAGAAAAAAAAAGAAAAAGAAAAAAAAAGAAAAGAAAAAGAAAAAAAAGAAAAGTTATAAGAATTTGAATATCACAAGGCATAGAAAATTAACGTTAATTAAATCAAATTATTAGCACTTCCAAGGAAGTTTCACCACTATTAGGTCTTCTTTTAGGAATCTCACGTCAGGAAACAGTTTGAAAAGTCACAAGAATTTGAATATCACAAGGCATAGAAAATTAACGTGTATGTTATACGATGTTAACATAAAACAAGACTTTAAAGACAATTCTGGTTTCTGAATAAGGCAGGTCAGGTGCGCTGTGTAGTGGCAGTTGGTAAGGAATAGCAGGACTTCAGGCTTTCAAACACGGATTGACGGCGCGTGTTGTGTTTGTCACGTCCCCACATGCTTTCAGGACCTGCCGGCTGTCGCTGTGGCTGTGCTGCTGGTTTGGGGGCCTGAGCGCAGGCTTCATGACCAGAAACTCCAGGCCCAACATTGTGCTGCTGATGGCGGACGACCTGGGGGTTGGGGATCTGTGCTGCTACGGTAATAACACAGTGAGGTAAAGAAGCCACCCCGCTGTGGAGGGGGTGCCTGGGTCCTCTGGTTCCTTCTGAGGCTCTGTCTTCGGTGTGTAGACCCTATGCCCTCACACGGTCATCCGTCTGTGTGTGTCCTCATCTCCTCTTCTAAGAACACCCTGCTCCTCTTGGGACCCACCGCTGACCACTGACCCACCACTGACTTTAACTTAATCTCCTCTTTAAAGACCCCACCTCCAAAAAAAAAAAAAAAAGAAAAGAAAAGAAAAAAAAAAAAAAAAGACCCCACCTCCAGAAACACTCCATTCTGAGGTCCTGAGGGTTAGGGCTCCTACTTACGAATTTGGGGAGACCACCGTTCAGCCCATGACACACATTACGTGCCCTTTCGTGTCTGGTTTCTTTCACGGAGCAGCATGTTTTCAACAACGCGGTAGCAAGTGTCATTCCGTCCTGTCTGTAAGGAAATAACATTCCACGGCCGAGATGAACGACCCGTTAGAGATTTTTCAGGATCTTCCCTGATTTATTACTGAAGCTTTTGGTGACCATGATCCTTGCTCCTCAGCACCAAACAAGTCTTATTCGTGTGCAAATACACGGTGCCTCCTAGCGTGAATTTAAATACCACCGGTTCTCCTTGGAATGTGTCTCACGCACTAGTCCTATATTTTTTTAAAAAAATTTTTATTTATTCATGATAGTCACACACACAGAGAGAGAGAGAGAGAGAGAGAGGCAGAGACACAGGCAGAGGGAGAAGCAGGCTCCATGCACCGGGAGCCCAACGTGGGATTCGATCCCGGGTCTCCAGGATCGCGCCCCGGGCCAAAGGCAGGCGCCAAACCTCTGCACCACCCAGGGATCCCCTAGTCCTATATTTTAAGCAAATTTTTGTACTTTGAAAGGAGCTGGTCTTCTTAAAGGCATTTAAGGTCTGCATGAGCACATCTGTTTCCCATTTAAACTCCTGCAAGGAAGTAACGGGTAAGGCAGGAGACGTTGCCTGGGAATCTGGTACTGTCACCCTCAGCCAGATGCTGACTCTACTTGCACAAAATACCAGTCTGCACAGACGGACTCTCCCCTACGCAGATGCTGAGAGTGTTTGGGAATATGGGGCTCTCTCCCCCCTCACATTGCTGTGGGGTTGTCATTCGTGTGTTATTAAGATTGTGGATACCTTAGTTTATGGGATTTGCTAAAAGCACCTGTGTGAGCCTATATCCTATAGATGCTCCAAAAAATCTTTGGAGATCGTAAAATACCAGATGAGCAAAGTGGGCAGTAAGTGAAACTCCAAAATGCTACCATTCCTTTATTTTTAAAAAAGGATACATTTTACTACAAGAAATACGGTTCAATTTTATGCAATCCAAGTCACCCCTTCATTTCGGGAATATAATATGAACAAATGGACTAACGTTTGCATTGAAATGCCTATGAGCTCACACTGGTTATAGTTTAATTATACCCGCGGACCTGTATTAGTCTGCAATTGTTTTCGCCTGAAGATATGTTGTTTTAAAGTGTGCTTTCCATTTCCTTGTGACCGTGGATGATGCATCTAAACAGGTAGATGGGTTGAAGCTTTAAAAGCATGTATTTTAGGTTTACAGAAAACATTGGACTCAAAACGGGATGGCTTTGAATCTTCTTTATTTTGTTGAGAATTAGAAACCCACGTGATGAACCCTCCTTCTGTCTATAGCACACCCAATATCGACCGCCTGGCAAGCGAGGGCGTGAGGCTCACCCAGCACCTGGCAGCTGCCTCCGTATGCACCCCGAGTCGAGCTGCCTTCCTGACAGGGAGGTACCCCATCAGATCAGGTGAGTCAGGGCAATGCAAGGCCAACGTTGTCTATATGTCGTGCTTTCTTCTTATTTATTTTTTGCTACTCTTCATAAAGACTCTCCAAAGATCACTTACAGTATTAAGGATCTAAATACAAATGGGGATGGTATTGCTCTACCTGCAGATATTAAATAGGTGGGTCTCTTGCCGGGTGCCACTAAGCCTGCTCACCTGTGTGCATACAGCAAAGGGTTTCAGGCTCTGGTGAGCAATTTCCCAACTGCTTCTAGTATTTGCAGGTACGTGTAGTCAGAGCCTTCAAAGTGTTCCTCTTGTCTTCAAGCTAGCAGAGAGCATGTAGTAGTTCCAAGAAAAGTGGATCTGTGCAGTGTCTGGGGATGTGATTGGAACCAGAAGGAGCTCTTGGGGAGGACATGGAAAAGAATGAGAGTCATACATTTTCTCTCTCTCTCACACACACACACATAGAACATAATGTTGTAGAATCAACATTACAAATATCAATGTTTATACTCAGCTACAACATATCAAACCTTTTATGATGAAGAAGTTACCGATATTCCCGATCCCTAAATTTCCACATTTCTACCTAAGTATAGAGGTGTCTCGATAGGACCTCCACTTGAGAGGAGGGCCTGGAGGAGACATGGGTTTCTCACCATGTAGAAAGATGGGATCGAAGTTCTGCTTATCAGATTTTCTTAAAAAAATTTATTTATTGAGAGACACACAGAGAGAGAGGCAGAGACACAGGCAGAGGGAGAAGCAGGCTCCATGCAGGGAGCCCAACATGGGACTTGAACCTGGGACTCCAGGATCATACTCTGGGCTGAAGGTGGTGCTAAACCACTGAGCCACCCGGGCTGCCCCTTCATCCGATTTTCATACACACACTAACATCTGTACATATATTTATAATTAATTAAAAGATGTAACCACTTTTCTTGACAATGATAGGTAGGCTTCCATCTTTTAGGATTTGGCAAAAGGCACCCTTTTTAATGTACCTGTTTCTGTTGAGAAGGGAAAAGCAAGAAGCAGATTGGATCACTGCTATTTTAACATATTCTGGTTTTTTTAAAAAATTGATTATGTATGTTGGTGTAATACCTTTCATTTATAGGTTTATTCTTGGTAGTTGTAATTTAAGTAGGATATATTCACTTCAAAGTGCAACTATCCCAGTGGTCGTTCAATGAGCATTGGAAGCCCATAGGAGCCCATAAAGCATCCCAGGAGAATCCTCCTGGATGAGGTTCCTTGAAATGTGAGGAGTGAGAAGTGAGGGTGTGCTAGTAGAGGTAGTGGCATGCACAGATAATGCAGTCACATGTGAGTGCACTAGGAGAATAAGGCAGCCACATCAATAATCAGTCGTCTCAAACTGTCTCAAATCATCTCAAATCAGTTGTTATCAAATACTGTGTAAGCTATACCCCAGATTAGATTTAGATGGACAGATAGTAATGAGGTTTGACCAGGGGAGGGACATGGGTTGGAAAGTTCTTCAGAAGGTACCTGAGATGGTGGATGGAGATCACCTGGTGGACATCACAGCACAACCCAACTTAAGCTCTACCCCAAAGCTATGGCATCAGAGATAAATATCTGAATCGTTTACCAGGGTAGAGTTATCAGGACTTGACATGGGATTTGACGGAAGAGGCAAGACTGAATGAGATGGAGGATTCCAAAGGCATTTGTGCATTGAGTGGCTGGGGAGGGGATTCTGGTGTCCTTTGTTGAGGCAGGATTGAAGTACGATAACCATCGACTGACTGTGTTGCTCACGTTGAGATCAGGGTTCCTAAGTATAGAGACGTCTAGATAGGAACTCAACTTCAGAGGGTCTGGGGAGATGTGGGTTTCTCACCATGTAGAAAGATGAGATCAAAGCTCAGAACTGAGGTCCAAGGATACCATCCAGAGTAACATGCACAATTACATTTGAATTTTGAATAATCAATGAATAGGTCTTTAGTACAAGTATGCCCTGTGCAGCATTTGGGGCATGCCTGCACTAAAAAAAAAAAAAAAAAAATCATTTGTTATTATTATGAAATTCTAGTGTGACCCGATATCGTGTATGGAGCTGGTGGTCCTGATCCCAACAGGATACCTGCATTTGACAAATGGGAGGACAAGCTCAGTAGAGATGAAAAAGCAAGGGAAAGGTCAGGAAAGAACAGAATGGTGGAGGTGCACTAGCACACACTGCGAGGAGAGGAAGAAGAATCCTAGAGTTTGTCATGAGTGTCATGAATGAGGGACTACGATACTCATTTGGTGCCCCCTTCTGTGACCTTAGGAATGGCGTCTCCCTACAACCTGAACCGCGGGCTCACCTGGCTTGGAGGCTCCGGCGGTCTTCCCACCAATGAAACGACCTTTGCCAAGCTGCTTCAGCATTACGGCTACCGCACAGGCCTCATAGGTATGGCTCGCTGAACTCTGCCTGGGAAGCGCGGTCGTGCACATCCCGTCTCACTGGGGCTCTGCCTTCCCTGGGGACATCAGCTGGACTCACGCCAGCTGACTACCTGTTGAGAGGAGATGCGAGCAGAAAGGATTTAATGCACGATTGTTCAGGACCTTTGGTACCTAGAGCAGGGTGTCGGAAGAATCACGGGAACGAATCGCAAATGTGCTCATCCATTGTTATAACCAAAATGGAATATTCTGTAGGGAGTTCGGGGTGGGGGAGGGGGGAGGAATTCATACTTTGATGACATCATAACTAGCAGAGAAGTGAATGCGTTTTGATTTTTTTAATTTTTTAAAATTTTATGGTTTTAAGGATTGACTTACTTAATTTAGAGAGACAGTGTGTGAGTGTGTGTAGGGGGAGAAGCAGAGGGAGAGAGAATCTCAAGTAGATGCTATATTGACGGTAGAGCCCCATGCAGGGCTTGATCTCACAACGCTCAGATCATGGCCCGAGCCAAAACCAAGAGTCAGATGCTTAATTGATGGAGCCACCCAGGTGCCCTGGGAGTGTGTTTTTATTTTTTATTTTTTTTTATTTTTTAAAGATTTCGTTTATTTATTCATGAGAAAGCCAGAGAGAGAAGGGGAGAGAGAGAGAGGCAGAGACACAGGCAGAGGGAAAAGCAGGCTCCATATAGGGAGCCCGATGTGGGACTCGATCCCGGGTCTCCAGGATCACACCCTGGGCCGAAAGCAGGTGCTCAACCGCTGAGCCACCCGGGCTGCCTGGAAATGTGTTTTTAAACAGCTCCTCTTGAGCTGGAGAATCAAAGGCATGAATAATGATCAAGATGAGGTGATTACTACATTTGACCCTTGACTAATGAGGGAACTATGGACGCTGACACCCACCCCCCGCCCACCCCGCACAGTGGAAAGTCCACGTACAGATTCTGAGTTCCCCCCAAATCAACCGCCAACAGCCTGCTGTTGACCAGGAGCCTTGCCAATAACATAAACAATTGATTGACGCGTATTTGTAAATTCTACGGATTAAATGCCATGTTCTTACAACAAAGTGAGCTGGAGAGAAGACACTGATCCCACGAAATCCCCGGGGAGAAAGATACATTCACAGGACTGTACCGCATTTATCAAAAATAGTCCCCGTGTAAGTAAACCCACAGAGTTCAGACCTGTGATGTGTGACGGCCAGCTGTAGTCTACTTAGCCGGGTCACCTGATATCTTACGCCCTTTTCCGGGGGGAGGCGTGACATTTTGACAGCATCCCACCACATTTATTCTGTGGAATTCCAATCCAATGAGTAAGATGCTGTGAGCAAATAACTTTCAGAAATGCCACCTGTTTACTATGTGCATGGTTTTTAGGATTGTCAACGTGGGATGTCTGACTCTTAAATGTTTTGAGATGTCCTCCCTTAAAGGAATAAATTAACAAAAGAATGACTTTGTACCCCCCCCACCATGTGACCAGTACGGTGTTTGTCCCTATTGAACTGCAAGCAGCGCGGTGTGGACGGAGACCTCATACACTGTGTGTCTGGAATACTCCAGAGCACGGCCAAACCCAGGTTGAAATTCAGCTCTGCCATTATTAATTAACATGACCTCAGGGTTATTAATCCATCTACAGGGTGAATTTCTCTTTGGCAATCGAGGGCCTGGAGTGGATTAAGTCCAATAGTGTGCGGAAGTGGATTAGTAAGAGCTCAATAAAACGAATAGTGAGCATCACCTGAAGCCTTTTGCTTACGGCTACTCTTTTGCCGTTACCTCGGACCCTTGGAGCAGCTCCAAGGTAGAATTGGTAGAATTTTGGTTCCCTTTCAGTGGGATGGAATAAAAGAGTCAGAAGGCACTGCTGGACAACAGATGCGGGGTGTAGGGAAAGCGGTGTAGGTGACAAATATGGGGACCTTCTTAGCATCTCCCAGGGAGGTGGTTGGAGTACCAAGGCGATACCCTCATGGCGAGCGAGTGCGAGTCATATTTAACTTTTCTAAGCGAAGCCCACGTTCCGGAAACTGGTGGATGTATCTGCTCCCCTGGTGCCATTTTGTTTCTCCCGCAGGCAAATGGCACCAGGGTTTGAGCTGTGCCTCTCGGAATGATCACTGCTACCACCCCCTCAACCACGGGTTCGACTATTTCTACGGGCTGCCCTTTGGCCTCCTAAGCGATTGCCAGTCCTCCAAGACGCCGGAGCTCCACCGCTGGCTCCGGATCAAACTTTGGATCTCCACGGCCGCGCTCAGCCTCGTCCCCCTGCTGCTCCTCATCCCCAAGTACGCCCGCTGGTTCGTGGTTCCGTGGAAGGTCATCCTCACCTTCGCTCTCCTCGCCTTTCTGTTTTTCATTGCCTGGTACTCCAGTTACGGGTTTACTCGGCGTTGGAACTGCATTCTTATGAGAAACCATGAAATCATCCAGCAGCCAATGCGGGAGGAAAGAGTGGCTTCACTCATGCTGAAGGAGGCCCTTGCCTTTATCGACAGGTATGGGGTCATTTCCGGCCCGATTCCTTGCACGGGAATTTTGCTTGTGTTTCGGAGAAGTCGGGTTAGGCCTCCTTGTGTGTGCACGTGTGTGTGTGTGATATTTGCCATATACTAGGATCTCCCCTTACAATAAAATTGAACATGAAATTTCCTGAAAAACACTAAAATGGTAAATAAATATATTAAAAAAAAAAAAAAGGGACGCCTGGATGGCTCAGTTGAGCATCTGCCTTTGGCTCAGGGCGTGATCCTAGAGTCCTGGGATCGAGTCCCACATCAGGTTCCCTGCATGGAGCCTGCTTCTCCCTCTGCCTCTGTCTCTGCTTCTCTGTGTGTGTGTCTCTCATGAATAAATAAATAAAAATCTTTTTAAAAAAAGAAATATATTTTGGGACCTCTGGGTGGCTCAGTGGTTGAACATCTGCCTTTGGCTCCAGTCATGACCCCCGGGTCCTGGGATCGAGTTCCACACTGGGATCCCTACAGGGAGCCTGCTTCTCCCTCTGCCTGTGTGTCTGTGTGTCTCTCTCTCTGTCTCTCATGAATAAATAAATAAAATCTTTTTAAACAATCTTTTTTTAAAAAAAAAGAAATAAATTTTATTCACTCTTTTTTATAAAAACTGGAATGCCTATAACTTTGATCTATATCACTTCAGTGTGGATTGGGATCTAAACTGAATCAATCTTACGGATCGATCTTGATTTTGGTTTGCCTTAGAAGCTGCCCGAAAATACTTCTCTAACCGTGAATGATGAGGGAGTGATTCTAGGCGTAAATACGTAATTTGAACTTTTATGTGTTCAGTAGAAGCCACGTGAGCGTGAAGGTGAAGGTCTCCTGTCTTCTGCACGCTAGCTCCCTTCTAGGTTACCAACTAGAAGCAGATTGAGTTGTAGGTGTGGATGCTCATCCATCGGCTCTGTCTGTGCTATTGGGGAGTAGATGGAAGAAGAAAATGATAATTTTGTGGGATCAATGAGTCCAACGATGGAATTTCACCCACTCATATGCTTTGATTGTTTGCTGCATGTAACACAGCGGTCAGAATGCGGTCACTGAGCTCTGCTTGCCACTCCCATGCGCCGTCTTTGACAGAACACACCCAGTCTCTATGCCCTTCCCCCTTTATCAGGCCCGGTTGTAAAGGTGTGAAGGAGAAATCTTAAATGGCTCCATATGACATTAAAATGCATGACACACAACAAATAAGGTGTATTAGCACCTTAGCTCCTTCTATGTTGCTTCCCGGGATTCTGTGCAAGCAGCCTCATGGTCCAAAGTTCATGCCAAAGCTCCAGCCATCACTTTTATGTTTCAGGCAGTACTGAGAAGGAAGAGGAGGAGGAAGGAACGAAGACAGATTGCACTCACTGCTTTGTCGCTACTGCGAACGTTCTGATATTCTTTATTCCTACTCATGGCCTTTCCACTCACGTCCTTCTGCTACTGCATTACTTGCTACTCGTTGTGGGTGGTTAAGGTGACGTAAGGACATAGACAACCTCTATCAACCATTTCGGGATCTTTCGACTGATGCAGAGTCATACCTGAGTGGAGAAAACGCCTCGGTTTGCGATGGTAACTCACTTCTCGTGTCCCGCCCCCTCCGACTTAGGTACAAACGCGGCCCCTTCCTGCTGTTTGTGTCTTTCCTGCACGTCCACACTCCGCTGATCACCAAAGACAAGTTTGTGGGGCACAGCAAGTACGGTCTCTACGGGGATAACGTCGAAGAAATGGATTGGATGGTGGGTAAGTATGGAGGGAAATCATCTTAACTGTGTGAGGCGTGAGAAAGCGAATCCGCACCGGCTCCCTCAAACAACGGACAGCCCCTCGGGTAGGTCAGCCGGTCGCTGAGTAGTTGTTCCCATGAACAACTGTGCAGCGAGAGCAGCCACACTTAGAAATACGGGCTCCCCCGTCCTTAAGGTCGAGACCCGTTGTTCAAAATCGATGAAGGTGCCTCGTGAAGGATACAGCCCTTCCCCATCGTTTGGATGCATGTAAGTGCAAAGGCCTCATTCTCATGAGCTCACTGTTACGAGAAATGCTTAGAAAAGCAGGACGGAATTTACCAAAACCGAAGCCCTGTGTTTAGAAGTCATAAAGCGTCAATACAGACATCAACACAAAGGGTCATAAATAAACGTGCATATCAATAAAACAACCAATCGTGTTTTCCGAATAGCCTCTTTCCTCAACTGGACGTGATGCAGGATTTCTTCGGCTCAAAATAGTATTTTACTTTCGAAACACGGGACTTTTTTTTGTTTGTTTGTTTCGTTCTACTAGTGGAGGCCTCTGAAAAGTGCTCTGTGCAGAACCACCTAAACTAATATTCACAGAATTTTACATTTTTTTAAGTTTCTTAAAGATCAAAATGTTACTTTTGGATATCCTGAATACATATAAACATGCATTTAATGTCTATCAATATGAAGTCAATGAAGCAAGGAATTAATTTAAATTGATATTTTAGATATATCCTTGCAAGTTAAATATTAATGTTCATATATGTGTACATGCACTGTTTATATGCCTTTATATGCATAGTATATACTTTTTTTTTTAATTTACTGGCAGATACACACAAACATTGAGAGCTAGTGACACCTGCTGCAGTAAAAACAGCTCTAACATTATGACGTCAGTGTAACTGTAAAAGATTATGATTTCTTGCCTTGACGTTTATCCTCCTCCAGGATAATCTGCTTTGGAAACAAGGCATTTTGCTGCATTTCTATCTCGAGGCCAAGAACACTTTTATGCAAAAGGACTTTCTGCCCATGTTTACATGTAGAGTTTGCCATGAACAGCTAATTACGCTTTTATTTTTATTTTTATTTTTTTTGAATTTTTATTTATTTTTGCTAATTATGTTTTTATTCTGTTGTCTATGTAAATACATGACGGAGATGTGCGGTGACTACTACTAATTGCGTTTAGTAATACTATTAATTGCATTCCTGGGCTGATACTGTTCACATGAGAGACATGAAAAGTAGGTATTTCTCTGCAGGACATCTTCCAAATACGATGTGTGTCCCCCCCCCCCCCCCCGCTTCGTGGCTGATGACAATCCTATCAAAACCAGAGGCAGACTGAAAATCAGACAGGTGTCTTTTGTGTGCGTGTTTTTTTTTTCTACTTGGCGATATGGTGATAAAACTTAGGACCATTTCCTAATGACTTTCTCAAGAAGAAGCTGCCCCAATGCTAGACTCAGAATGACACGCAGAGTGAATCTTCCAAATGCCCCAAGCATTCAGCAATATTTTAAATTCTCTGTTCAAGGGCACTCGTATTTAAAAAAAATATATTTTAGCAGCTTTTTATTTTTGTCTCCTTTCCTTGCATTTTTGTCTAAGAAGTTTCATGATTATTCTTCTGCAAAACGCACATACATATGCACACACACTCCTATAGGTTTTATGCATCGAGTCCACAGAAGGTTACAGATATGGATTTCCAAAAAATAAAACGATTCGCATGTATTTTATTTACTTAGTATAAATAGCATAAATCACCATGATGCTAAATATGATAGCCAGCTCTGATAAGAACTGATAATTTACATGTAATTATTTTCTTACCAAGAAGCCATAATTTTGTTTACTTTACAAAATCTGGGTTGTAAAATATTTTATTATTATTTTTTGTAAAATATTTTAATTTCTAGCTGCAACATTCCTTTCTTTCTTTCTTTTTTTTTTTTTAGCTGCAACATTCCTAAAAAATGGTCAACGTACCTTCCAAAGCAAATCACTTTTAGACAAGGAAGCCAGGTTAATGAGTTTATGCTTAAACCACTTTTCTTCGAAGCTGGTCACGTTGTCTTTGCATGTCTGAATGGGACAAGGTTGCGGCGGGTGGGGGGTGTCATGCTGGACGGTAGGACCACAGTGCGACACGAGAAACCCAGGGCGAACGTCCAGCTGGAATCAGAAATTAAATCAGCATGGTTTGGGATGTGGCGACATCAGCTTTCTACTCGTTTTTTTCGAAAACCTTTTGTCCCCTAAAGAGAGTGTCTACACGGCAGCGCAATGCCTGCTGAGTCTAGCGGATGTACTAATTATGGTCCGAGGCTTAGCTACGAGCTAAGCAGCAAGACTAGCCGGCCGGTCAGATGAGAGAGGCGAGGGGACAGTTCATCCTTTGCAGGGTGGGGCCCATGCTCTCTGCAGCAAGGCTAGGGCTCTGCTAATTTACTCCTGGACGTGTCTGGTTTCAAACCGTCTCCTGTCTTATTAGCATTCGTAAGTTTCTTTTAACGGCCAGACCTAGTATTTAATGGCTACTTGTACTTTGAGTGATGATGATACTGTATACTACATACTAGTTCAGACTTTCTAATATAGTGTATGTGTATATGTAGTGGGTGTATCTGATATGTGTATATTATTACATGACTTGTAAAATATATTTTCTTACATATTATGTATAATATGTCTCTTGTGTGTATCATATATAGTCTTATTTTATGTATATTACATATCATATTTTTAAAATATTACATAATGTATGTGCTGCCAAAGCGAGCACTTAAATATTAGAGAAGAAAATCATTTATTTATTTATTTATTTATTAATCTATTTATCTATTTATTTATTTATTTTAAAGATTGGGTGTTCCCATTTTTATTTTATTTATTTTTTATTTTTTAAAAAAGATTTATTTATTTATTCATGATACACATAGAGAGAGAGAGAGAGACAGAGAGAGAGGCAGAGACACAGGAGGAGGGAGAAGCAGGCTCCATGCTGGAAGCCCAAAGTGGGACTCGATCCCGGGACTCCAGGATCGTGCCCTGGGCCAAAGGCAGGTGGTAAACTGCTGAGCCACCCCGGGATCCCCAAGAAAATCATTTATTACATACTGAAATGATAGATCAAATGTCATATAATAAAATTACACATTACACGATAAAATATCCATTAGTATTATAAAATAAGTAAATATTATATAATGCTATTATATAATATATAATGATTAAACATTATACAATATTTTAATAGATTATACTATATAATAGATTATATACTATATATTATATATTCAATATAATATTTTAATATATTATCAATTATGCTTATAAATATTTCACTATACCTACATATCATATATTGCATATTTGCATATCATATATTACATATTAGTTTATAATACTCATAGTATAAAAAGTACACAGGATTATAATATGTAAATTATATTTTATATATTTACATACAAATAGTATATTTATCATATATTATCTATTACAATTTAATATCATCTGAAACATATAGGAACAATTTATCATATATTATGTACTACAATTTAATATCATCTAAACATAGGAACATCTTTTATATTTTGAAATATAATAATATTTATTGTTATATTATTAGCTATAAATTACTTATATGTTTACTATTTATTATGAATTTATGTTGAATATATTCTCTTATATACATATATAAAATATTACAAAATATAAAATATATAATAAATAACTACAAATATATAAAGCTCAATTTTATATTGTATACTATCTAGTATATTCTATGGCATGTAGTATATATTTATATGTCTACTGTATAGTCTACTTATATATGCTACATGTGTATTAGAGTGTGTAATAGCGATTTACCATATGCTACGATAGCCTATACAATGAAATAACCCTTAATTATTCTGTTGTGCTAACAAACCCCTAATAATAAAAACACTGTGAAAACTGTGGTCCCTGGTGAAAGGTGAGAGTGTCTTGTTTCCACCTGCAGGTAGGATCCTGGAGACCCTGGACCAGGAGCGCCTGACCAATCACACACTGGTGTACTTTACCTCAGACAACGGGGGTCGATTGGAGGTGCAAGAAGGCGAGGTCCAGCTGGGTGGCTCCAACGGCATCTACAAAGGTGATGTGCACAGTACCCATGTGGTTTAGTTATAATAATAATAATAATAATAATAATAATAATAATAATACTTCAGTACTGTCTACTCCGTTTTGTGTGCGTGCACATTCATTCACAAACTCGGTTTGGAGATTATTGTGGGAGTTATATTCTCTTATGAAACTAGATGGGAAAAGTTGCAAGTTCTGGGGCAATTTCTGAGAATGTAAGACAAAAATGCCTGATGTAATGAAAGCTTCTTGAGTGTCAATGTGTAGGGTCTCAAAGACCACCTATGGCAGGTCTCTCAGCCCTTGTACTCTGGGCATTTGAGGGTGGATGGCTCTCTGATGTGGGGCACTCTGGGAACTGTAGGGTGTTGAGCAGAGTCTCTGATCTTCATCTTCCAGTTGCCAGGAAGGCAACTCCTTCTACTCCCCTCCCCAACATAATAGTGACAACCAAAACTGTCTCCAGACATTCCCCAATATTCCCCCAGGGCCAAAGTTCTCTCTAGTTGAGAGCCACTTGCTCTGAAATAATACTCACTTGAATAATCAAATTCAGGTTTTTCATGGAATAAAACCAATTATGTTACCACTATGCTTCAAACACTGTGAAATGATCGTCAGGAAAGGACGTATTCACTTGGAGTGGGTGCCTTCCTCCTCATTGCAAGTGGACTCTTCTGACTTCTTTGATGCACTCCATGCTGGAATATTCAGTAGCTCCAGTGAGTCTGCCCTTATGGATCAGAAAAACGGATGAAAACGAATATTTTAAAAATGAATTTGGTGCTTGCTACATCCCTCCTTCTATCCCCAATCCCAATCAAACAAAAACAAAAACAAAAGGGTGTCAAAATCGTCATCATTACAAAAATCAGAACTTTAGTAGTTCCTTGTACTTTATGGAACAATTTAGGATAGATTGGTAGACAGATGATGGATGGATGGATGGATGGATGGATAGAATAGATCGAGGATAGATAGATAGATAGATAGATAGATAGATAGATAGATAGATAGATGAATGGATGGATGGATGGTTGCAAAGACATGATAGGTAGCTGGATGGGTAGGTAGATGACGGATGGATGGATGGATGGATGGATGGATGGATGGATGGATGGATTGGTGGATAGAATAGATCAATGATAGATAGATAGATAGATAGATAGATAGATAGATAGATAGATAGATAGAAATCATATATAGATAGAAGATAGGTAGGTGATAAATCGATGGATGGATGGATGGCTAGATGGATGGCTGGATGGCTGGATGGACGGGTGGAAAGACAAGATAGACAGGTAGATAATCGGTAAATGGATGATAGATATATTGATTTATCCATACATAGATAATACATGATGGGTAGATGATTGATAGATGAATCGATGACAGATAGATGATAACTAGATAGATAAGTAGTAGAAAGATAGACATGATAGATACGTTATATGTTGTGACTGACAGCAAGTGAACTCCTAAATGTATTCACCTTTTCTGGTGGGTCACATCAGCTAGCATGGACTAAGTTGGTGCCAAGCCTAGTAGAAACGGTGTGTAATAAAATTAAGTCACTCTATATATACCATCACATGAGCTGTGATTATATCAATAGTGATATTGCTTGTGTGCGTGCGTGCGTGTGTGCGTGCGTGTGTGTGTGTGGTGGAGGGTTGTTTGTGCATAAAACCATCACTCTAGAAAGCTCCTTCATATGTCTCTCAAAGACACATGGCGAAATTGTCGTGAGCAGTTTTTAACTTTGGAACTGGCCTCCAGCTCACCAGGAGGACAGACACCATGTGTGGGTAGATGATTAGTTTTGTTGTAGGTGCCTACCACAGTCGCTGGCCATTAAACATGACCGTGGAAGTGTCAAGGTGGATTTATGCTTGCTCTTTTGTCCGTTGCTCATTGGCATACAAAACAAACACAAATTCAGTGCAGGCAGCTTGTTAAGTTTTCCAGAAAGAATGGTGCTGATGAGCCGGGATGGCTTTGGACGCTGGCTAGACCGGTGTCTTTGTCCCTTAATGTTTTACCATTTAGCGTCTCTCCACTTTCACAGAGAGACCTTGTCTTTTTCTTTTCTTTGTAATTCATGCTACCAGAGTGATGGCATGTGAAGGGCATTGCATGAGCATTTCATGTTTGTTCTACTTTGGAAGAGTTTCCTCTTACCCCACCCAGAGAATCTGATTGTTTTCCCATAAAGACATTATATGATCTTGACCATGTCACTTGGCTTGGGACCGTATCTCTATTCTGCATGAATGTCTTGACCTCAGGATAGGTCCCAAAGCATGGGCTTCTTGTATTTTGTGCCCAGGAACACCCGGAATGACCATAGTCTGAGATGCGATCTTGAACAGTTTATCGTTCTCTGCACCCTATTCATGTGACTATGACCCCTCCGTCTCCATCCATATGGGGGGATCACTGAATAAAAACCAAATTCCTTATCGTCTCTCAAGATTCAGCATGACCTAGGTAGAACCTGTTTCTCTGGTCTTTCTTGGAGCTTCATTTACGTATCCATCTTTTAGAGTCCCTTCATTTGATTCCAATAAAGACTGAAGATTTTCCAGAATGTTCTTATCTCGTAATAGTGCAGCTGTGTTGGCACTCTTGGCACAAAATAATGCTCTGTATTAGGACAACACTTGTTTTTATTTATCATACCTGGGTTTGTCGATTGAGGGCCAGATGTTCAGAAGTTGCATTCCAACTTTGTGAAAGCAAGAAATATATCTCAGGTTGTCTGTATCTCTGCGTGTGTGTGTGTGTGTGTGTGTGTGTGTGTGTGTGTGTGAATATAGCACACTGGCATGAATTTGGAAGTGACAGGAAACGTTCCATCTAGATGTGATTTCCGACTAAGTGGACAAATGCAGTTGACTCGAATTCATCTTTGGCTTTCATCTTTGGTTTCAGGTGGGCAAGGGATGGGCGGATGGGAAGGCGGCATTCGTGTCCCAGGAATATTCCGGTGGCCGACAGTCCTGCAGGCTGGGAAAGTGATTAACGAACCCACGAGCCTAATGGACATTTACCCGACACTGTCTTACATAGGCGGAGGCATGTTGCCCCAGGACAGGTATGGACACAGTGCTGGCTCCTAACCTAGGGAGATATAGCTGACGTGCACTTGGACGCATCAGTGAATGTTCTATGGGGTCTATGTGGTGATTACTTCATTTTTCAATATTCTGCTAAGATAGACAGACAACATCTTTCTCTACCTAGTGGATGGTGGGAGAACTTCTCTGTTTCCCTATTGGAAAATATTCTACTTTGTCATAGTTATGCAGACACAGGCTTGGTTGTCCTCATGTCCTCAGACACAGGCTGGGATTGACCCTTTCAGATGTATATTCCCACACAGCACCCAGACGATTAAGCAAATATTTATTAGGTAAATTACTGAATAAAAGTAAATATGGGTCAGGGCACCTGGGTGGCTCAGTGGTTGAGTGTCAGGACGTGATCCCAGGGTCCTGGGATGGAGTCTTGCATCAGGCTCCTGCTCGGTGGGGAGTCTGCTTCTCCCTCTGCCTGTGTCTCTGCCTCGCTCTCTGTGTCTTTCATGAATAAATTAATAAAATCTTCAAAAAAAGTAATTATATGTCAATGTATGTGTGATGAATTATGCTTTATTTCTCTATGGGTTCCCAAGATGCATAAATACATCCCGTGCTCTAATGGTTTAATTCCATGTGTGAGGACTAGTATCTGTTCATCTGCGGTGGAGTTTTACTTGAATTCAATATATGTCGAGAGCTCAGTTCTCTTTTTTTTTATTTTTATTTATTTATGATAGTTACAGAGAGAGAGAGAGAGAGAGAGAGAGGCAGAGACATAGGCAGAGGGAGAAGCAGGCTCCATGCACCGGGAGCCCGATGTGGGACTCGATCCCGGGTCTCCAGGATCGCGCCCTGGGCCAAAGGCAGGCGCCAAACCGCTGCGCCACCCAGGGATCCCAGAGCTCAGTTTTCTAATCCACGATACTCATTCATAGCATCCTACAAGCTAGTGGAATAACACCTCTAGCCGCTCACCTCTTCTACTATCTTAAAAATTATGAATTTTACCTCCTTTTCTGCTTTTCTTTGTTGTTGTTATTCTCTTTGTTATAAAATCAGTGAAGAGGTGTGCTGTTTTTTCAAGTCCTCTTCCTTTTCTCTCCTTCCCTCCACCTCCCTCTCTTCCTCCTCCTTGTCTGCTTAACTAACTCCCCCCTTCCTGCTGTCATAATATGTGTGACCAAACCATGCCTCTCTCACCACTTTCTGCATCTCTTCCTCTCTCCCTAGAGTCATCGATGGCCGGAACCTAATGCCCCTGCTGGAAGGCAGAGTGTCCCACTCGGACCATGAGTTCCTCTTCCACTACTGTGGGGTCTACCTGCATACAGCCAGGTGGCATCAGAAGGATTGTGAGTATGAAGATGGCAATTGTGTGGGAACATGATAGAGACACAGCCCTGTTTGCTTTTCCTCTTGGGAGAAGTTGTGCCATGGACAAACAGCATCCAGCCACAATAATTCTTTCTCCTTAGGGAAGTTAGTTATGCAGCCATTGCTCTATGGTAGATTCTAGAGGTGTGTGCAAGCTCGTGTGCATGAATACATCAGAGAGAGAGAGAGAGAGACAGAGACACAGAGAGAGAGACAGAGAGAGATTCCACAACTAAGGACCCTGGGACAATTAGCAGCAAGGAGTAAAGTCTGCATGTAACCCGCACAGCAGTTACTGTCTCCTTCCAATTAATCATCTCTGCCTCACCTTCGTGCTATAGGATTCATGCAAACAAATATAAATTAACAGGAAATACTCATTTCCTTACATCTGTAGAGAAAGCTCTATCACAGACATTTGGATAAAGTTCCAGAATTCTTGTTTGATGGGAGATAACTTAATTTTAAGAAAAGATGTGGATTTTCTCCCATGTGATGCATCACTTGTGATGTGATCCATTCTTCAGGTCTCTGTGGATGAATGTCCCACATGAAATAAGAACAAACACACAAAAACCTCTTCCTTCTAGATTCTGTATCAGTTAGGGGCATGTTCAATGGTAAGGAACAAGAAAACAGCTCCCCTCAACAACCAAATCTTCCCAGATTTAACTACCGAGGGTTAAACAAATAGAATTCTACTTGTATTTTCATAATAAGGATTTCAGAAGTTGGAAGCACAGAGCTGGGACAGTGCTCAACACCATGACCGGGATCTGGGTTCTTTCTCTATCTCCACTCGGCCCTCTCTGGCATGCTGGTTTTCATTCTCTTCATTCTCATGCTCCTTCTAATGCTGTGGTTGCAAAGTGGCTGCTGTTTCTCCAACCATCACCTTTGCATCCCATGTAGGAAGGAGAGGGAGGAGCAAAGGGTGTGAAGGACCGAGTCACGTGATTCAGCCTAATTTTATTAGAAAAGCCTAGTGTTTCTGCAAAACCCCACCCACAGCCTTCTGAAAAAGCCTCATTGACCACAGGCTGGAGAACACTTACAATGTTTTCCAGTAAAAATGATCTCTGGGAATAGAACCACTAACCATTTATACGGGAAGAAAAAAAGGAAACAAGGAAGGAAAAAAGAGAGAAAGGGGGCCAGAAGGAGGAAGAAAAGAATGAGGAATGATGGACTTTGCCAAATGAGCTTTGTCCATTTCAGACTGGAAAGTGGTATTTAGTCTTAGAAAATTTTCCATTTAAAAAAAAAGAAAAGAAAATAAAAGAAAAGAAAGAAAAATTTCCATTTTGCCTATGCCACGTCAGGGTGAAATAGTGATTGGAGTCAGAATTTCCAGGATTATAGCAGCCGTCCAAGTGGTGGCTATTATCTCCAAATGCCCTCATGATAAAGTCAAAAGAAAAGTCTTGAAATTTGCAGCAAAATTGGGAGTTGTGCCTATGGTTGAGGAAACGCTACGGTTGCCGAGTAATTCTGTGCACTAGATTATCAGTTGTTGGCAAAAGCATTTAAGAAATGTATTTTCAATGGAAAGAGTCCTAAAATGATATGAAACATGGAACTGTAATCAAGCTCTGTTTTCTAGGTGCAACCGTGTGGAAGGCCCATTACGTGACTCCCAAATTCTCCCCCGATGGAGCTGGCGCCTGCTATGGAAGCGGAATATGTCCATGTTCTGGAGATGTCACCTACCACGACCCTCCGCTGCTCTTTGACGTCTCAAGAGACCCTTCTGAGACCCGACCCCTAAACCCTGACAACGAAGCATTATTTGACTCAGTGGTCAAGAAAATCGAGGCGGCCATAAAAGAGCATCGCAGGACACTCACGCCTGTCCCACAGCAGTTCTCAGTGTTCAACACCCTTTGGAAACCATGGCTGCAGCCCTGCTGTGGGACTTTCCCCTTTTGTGGGTGTAATAAAGAAGATGACATCCTATCCACTGCTTGGTGAGCGGAAAGGGGCCACTGGTTCGTTCAGTCCATGTGGGATAAATAATTCTTCCCTCCACCCTCAGATTTCAGTTCTTTCTTCAAGTCATGTCCAGGAGCTCAATGAAGTGAAAGTGGATCTGGACGTTAGTGTACCCAGAGTTGTGCCATGTTTTTATATAATCGAGTCATTGTTCAAGCAAAAAGACAGGCCAAGGTGACCTTCTGCAGATTCTTATGGTTCTGTGGTTCTTAGAAGGTGATTCGAAGCAATAGGTCGAAGGCATTGTGTTTACATAGTTCTGGTAGAAACTTCTCCTTGCGGATCCTAAACCGAGACGTCTTATCTTTGTGATCAGTAATGATTAAGTATTTTGTTTCATCCTGAAGCAGACGGTGTACATATTACTGGAAGTGATGCCACACTCATTTCTACTCCTTCATTCCCCGTCTTTTCTTCTTTCCTCCTCTTCCCGTCTTAAAAAAGGTCTGCCGACACGTCTTTGTCCTGTTTTGCTGACCTTTGATTGGGAAGGACTTGTTGTGTCTTGGTATTTTCGTGTGTAAAATGGAGGAAACCAATGTCTCTTGTGTAGAGTAGCTGTGAGCACTACATGCATTAATTCATCTGAAACCCCCTATATCCAGGAAGCACTCAATCAATGTCATTGTTACGAATGTTGTCATTGTTGTCCATTGTAATTCATCATTTCCTGTGAAGTTCACAGGAAGGAAGCATAGAGAAGAGGCAATATTTAAAATAAAATAATATTTAAAATAAAAATGGATGAAAAAAGCTTTTAGTTGATGAAAGGCATTCAGGAAGCACACTTGGGAAACAATTCTAAGCAGTATAAACAAAAATAAATTTAAAAAAACCCAAAAAATAAATAAATAAATAAATAAATCTATACCTTGAGCAATCTTGGGAAAATGGCCGGGTGCAAGACCAACAAAATATCTTTAAATCGATCACAGGGAAACATCAGATTTCCTATGAAATAAAAAGTATTAAGAGAAAAGTGGGTTTGCTAATGGCTCCAAGGGAAGCCATAAGACAAGGGAATAATCTCCTTAAACTACTGAGAGAAAATTGTCAACCCAGGTACTGCTTATGTTATAATGATGGTAAAAAATTTAAAAACATAGACAGTTACTACTTTAGAATTTTTATCCCTCTGTTTCATCTGCTTTCCTGTATTGTGAAGCTCTCTGGTATTAGAAGCTTTTTAAACAATTATTTTCCTGATGAATCAAGTCTTTAATCATTATGCAATTTACCTCTTTGTATCTGGTAATGCTTTTCATCTGGAAGTCCAGTTAAGCTGAAATGATCATAGCCATAGTGTTAAAATTTAATTAAATTGGGACACCTGAGTGGCTCAGTGGTTGGGCATCTGCCTTTGGCTCAGGGCGTGACCCCGGGGTCCTGGGATCAAGTCCCACATTTGGCTCCCTGCATGGAGCCTGCTCCTCCCTCTGCCTGTGTCTCTGCCTCTCTCTGGGTCTCTCATGAATAAATAAATAAAATCTAAAAAAAATAATTTAATTAAATTGAAAATTGCTTAGTATTTAAATGGTGTGCCTTTCCTCATCCCTTGAACAGATGTGTGGCTTTGTATTTAAAGTCCTTCTCATTGTGTGTCAACTACTGTCAAATAAAAAATAGATTAATTGAAAAATAATAAAGTGCTTCTTCTCTGGACCTCATATTGGGTCTTGCTTTTTTTTTTTATCTATTCTGATCACCTCGGGTATTAATTGCAATGTTTTTTTCCATTAACATTTAGTGTAATTATTGATATGGTTGGATATGGGTCTTCCAACTCTGTTTGCACCAACTGTATTGCGTTTCTGGCTTCTTTGGGTTCTTTGGTTATTTTTTCTTTTAGAATATAATTTTATCTTTTATCTTTTTGCTATTCCTCTTTGCTAGTGCTGGATCTAGAAAATATAATATATATGTTTAGCTTACTATGGTCTAATTAGAGTTAATATTCTATCAGTTCCCATAAAATGGGAAGCTTTGCTACTCTATATATTTGTCAGCACTCCATCATTCTTTATGCCCTAGGTGTTACATGGATTGCAACTACATGTGTTATGTAGCTGCCAGATTGTGTGATTATTTTGCTTTCAACAAGGTGTACATTCTAAAGAAATGGAGAGAAAAAAATAGTCTTTAGCTCAGCATTGACTTTTTCTCATGTTCTTTGTATCTGGGGATTTGTGTTTTCATCAGTCATCATTACCTTTCAGACTAAAGATAAACATTTCCATTTTGTGGACAATGTGCCTCGATATGGTTTTCTTTATATTTATCCTACTTGGGTTTTCCTGAACCTACTGAATCCGTAAATTTATGTATTTCAGAAAAGTTTGGAAATTTTGTATTTATTCAAATAATGTTACTGTCCTATTCTCTCTCCCTTCTCCTCTGTGACTGGACTTTAGACTTTTTGATATTGTTTTCTAGCTTCATTTAAATTTTTTTCATCCTGATCTGAAAATTGGATAATTTCTGCTGATCTGTTTTCTTTTTTCTTTTTCTTTATACCAGTTACTGATTTGTTATATACACATACATATGTATGTATTGACTCTTCCCCTTTGTGCTCTAGTTTTTAGGCATTTATAGCAAATTTTTATTTGAGTTCTGCATTTTGATTCCAAAATTTACATTTAATTCATATTTGATTGCTACTATGTCTTTGCTGAGATTTACCATCTTGTTTTTGTGATGAACATATTTTTCTTCATCTCATTGAGTATAAAGATAACAGTTGATTTAAAGTCCTTGTCTAGGTCATCTTTGGGTTGGTTCCTATTGCTATTTTGTTTGTTTTATTCTTGAGAGTGGGTCATATTATCCTGGCTTTGCATACACTGCATAATTTTGGACTCTATCCTGGACGTTTTGACCATTATGCATGGGGATTCTGGTTTCTGTGATATTCATCAAAAGACTGTTGATGTTTTTGTTTGATCAGGGAATTAACTTGGTTGGACTCAAATTGAAAGCTCTGGTTAGGGATGCCTGGATGGCTCAGTGATTGAGTGTCTGCCTTTGGCTCAGGGCATGATCCCGGGGTCCTGGGATTGAGTCCCAGATCGGGCTCCCTGCTTCTCCCTCTGCCTATGTCTCTGCCTATCTCTCTCTGTGACTCTTGTGAATAAATAAACAAAATCCTTTTAAAAAGAAAGAAAGAAAGCAGGCTCTGGCTACTAGATAACAGCTCAGATTCCTGTTCTGATCTTTTATCTTTAATTGGTCATTTTGTGTTTGCCCCGCATTTGTGCAGTTCTAGCTCCAGACATAGATCTGGGCAGAGCTTACGTGCAGTGTTTACAAATGTCTCACTCGGGCTCTTTCTTTTCTTTCTGCAATGTTCACCTTCTTTTACATGTATTTTTTTCTTTTTTTTTCTTTTACATGTATTTTTGATGTTTTGGACTCTACCCTCGAATCCTATGTGAGCTTTAGCTGCCCCTTGTATAATCTGTAGGCTACTCTCAGATTAAGAGCCTTAAGAGCCTTAAAAACCAAATTCACCTTTTGATGGTCCCTTCTTCCAAATGTTGACTCTTCTCCAGAATCTGCCTTTTTTGCTCCACTCTCCAGAGCTTTCACCACTTCATTTTTGTATTTTGTGTAGAGATTACAGCTGTGATCTCTGGGGAGATAGGTCTGTCAGGAGCTTGCTCATCCATTCTTGAAATAGAAATCAGAGGAATTATTATTAGTGAATGGTTTTGGGTATCAGACATTGCAATAATTCAGTTCAACCATCCTCAGTGACACTATTACATTTTTTATGATTCAGTTTCATGGATGAGTTATGGGAATTGTTAAGTGTCTGTGAACTGATAGGAGTATGTATGTTCTAACTTCTAAGGATCTTTGTTCAAGTGGAGCAACAGGCTTATTTCTTGCTTAAGAGAGAGAAGTCAGCCAACTTTACTAAGTAGACTAAGCCCCACGGCCAAACTCATCCCATCTCTAAGGAGAGTCACCTCTTGATAACCCTGTAATATCTCATCTGGGAAATGTAGATAGTCATCCCTCCTCATTAAAGGTTAATGATAGACATCATGAATTTATTTATGATGTAAACCCCACACAACTATTATCACCCATATAGTGACCACAAGAGTCTCCCATTCATTAAGTATGGAAATTTCCTCATTGGTCTCACAGGATTACTTTTAATTACTACTGTGTTTTAGGAAAAATACATATGTTTCTTTATCAGAGATTTATCTCAATGTACTCAGTAATTAGAGTGATATCTTTTTCTTCTGTAACCCTCATGGTGATTTTGTGGGGCCAGGCACATATTAGGTGCATAAATACACTGTAGATTCAAATCCTGCAGGATTCCATTCCCATGAGGCGTCAGAAATCGTCAAACTTGTAGAAACATGGAGTAGACTGGTGGTTGTCAGAGGCTGCAGGAGAAGGGTCACAGAGAGTCGTTCACTGAGCACCTGGGTGGCTCAGTGGTTGAGCATCTGCTTTTGGCTCAGGTTGTGATCCCGGAGTCCTGGGATCGAGTCCTGCATCAGGCTCCCACAGGGAGCCTGCTTCTCTCTCTGCCTGTCTCTCTCTCTCTCTCTCTCTCTCTCGCTCGCTCTCTGTGTCTCTCATTAGTACATAAATAATAATAAAATCTTTTATTTTATTATTAAATAAATAATGCAGGGAGCCCAATGTGGGACCTGATCCTGGGATCCCAGGATTGCACTCTGAGCCGAAGGCAGATAAATGCTCAACTGCTGAGCCACCCAGGCGTCCCATGAATAAATAGAATTAAAAAAAATTAATTCAGGTATGCAAGATGAATAAGCTCTAAAACACCGTGTCTACAGTTAACCATATTATATTATGCACTTAAAAATTTAAGAGGGTAAAATCTATGTGAAGTATCGTTACCACAGTAGAAAAATAAATAAATAAAGGAAGTTTCAAGACTAAAGCTAAGATGAATGAAGGGCTAAACATCTGAACTTTCTTGTAAAAACCACCACACATGCCTAAAATGTATATAATGCATGCGTGTCATGGTCACATCCGTGATAATGAGACCTGTCTGGAATCTAAAGATCAACATAGCTTTGTGCTTATTGTAAACCATATGCCCTAAAGTTTTGAAGTCACTGTATTCCTCACTGATTTTGTTTGTTATACTCAAGAGCAGTAGACATTTTTGCAACAGGGGCTGGCATTCGGGGCAACATTTTCAGCCAGCCAGATGGAGACAGATCACGGTGCAGGATAAGAACAGAATTACACACACACTGACCCCAGCGTCACTGGATGCTGTGCTCATGCCTTTGGGAGTTAGATCCTATTCTTGATGAGGAAGTTAACATTTTATTCATTGATTTGTGGTCTCCAACCAACTCACAATAACTTGAATGAAAATAACGTTGCATTCTTCAAGGTGGAACGTAAGTCCAAGAGCTGTGTGCACGTTTTATAATGACCCTCATCGCTAGATGGCATGTTGTCAATTATAGGTATGGCCCTGAATAAAATTGGTCCAAAATTGGATGTCCTTGCTACTCCTGGCATCCTTGGAGGGCTCCTGGAAAGGAATCCCAGATTTGCATCCCTCTTGAGGAAAGTAGGATATAGGACTGGAAGGATAGCTAAGAGGCGGGACGTGGAAACTATTAATGGTCACAGAGCTTGAAAAAAGGTAAAGAGGGACACCTGGGTGGCTCAGTGGCTGAGTGTCTGCCTTTGGCTCAGGGCATGATCCTGGAGTCCCAGGATTGAGTCCCACATCAAGATCCCTGTGGGGAGCCTGCTTCTCCCTCTGCTTATGTCTCTGCCTCTCTCTCTGTCTCTCATGGATAAACAAATAAAATCTTTTAAAAAAAAAGTAAAGAAAAAACTTTTGGCTGATGAGTGAGTGACAGATCAAAACCATATCACCTCATCAAATAATTGCAAAATTGTGCCCTCTTATTATGTCCTATAAAACATACAATTTGCAAAGTCACAGTACTGGTCATATGACGTGCCTTACTGTGTTTATAGTTTCTCCACTTAGATATGAAGAAGCTTGTGTCCAGATATCGCATATATTTTTGGGTAGTTTTAATTTTTTCAGATGGGAGGGTGTTTGACTGGAAGATTCACTTGTATAAAACGGATACTGAATTTATACTCATGAACTTGCTCCTTGTAGAAAAGAAGACTGTTTTCTCCCCTCGGAAGGCTGTACAGAGTTTGTGAGACTTGTTGCGTTCATAGGGTTCACACCACCTGCCAATGGCCATCTCCTGCTTTGTTTCAGCTCCTTTGAGGCAGATGTTAGTTGTGTTCTGGCTTCCTGCTCAATCTCTCTTCAGTTTAATGCCTCCCTAAAAGCTCAAGAGTATCGGGACAGAATGCGAAGAGTCAATGTCCAACCTATCACTGTGTGAAATAATCCACCATGAGGTCCCTGTGAATGTACTGAGTGGGTGGCATCGTGGAAAGATACTAGTGAAAATATACTTATGAAGTTATGCCTTCCAAGGGTATCGACCCAAGAGGAATGAGACTCATGGTCATGAAAATCCCCGTACAAGGATGTTTACAGGACATGTTGGTTTCCAAACCAACTAGTCAACCACTGGTTTGTTTGTCTTATTAGGGAAATGAGTCTTTGCCATATTTTTATCAAATTTTTTCTTTCTCTTAAACTTTGGTTGTTGGG